CCAGGATGGAATTATATCCATGGGAATTTGGCAGCTCCTCGATAAAATCCATCGAGATGCTAGACCAAGGTTTCGTAGCTACCTCCAGTGGTTTAAGCTCCCCATGAGGTTTCTGTCTGTTAGTCTTCGCTCTCTGACATACCGCGCATCCAGCAACATAATCTTCGACATCCTTCCTTACTCCAACCCAGACATAATCCCTCAGGACTAGTTCAAGGGTCTTCGCCGAACCTGGATGACCGGCCAAGGCTGAGTCATGTCGCATCTTCATGATCTTCAGCCGAGCATCGGCGTAGTTCGGCACATAAATGCGATCGTCGAATGTGAGGAAACCTCTTGAGTTCCACCCCCCACGAAGGATTAGAGGAGACCGCGAACTACGGCGTAATTCGGTGATTGATCCTGGTTCCTGCACGTTATCGTTACACGTAGGATGAGAACACTCAGCGCAAACGACTCCTAATAATTCTTCTCTGACCCCTTCTATGTCTTCGTCCTCCTGAACTCCAAGTACTAGATCCATAGGGTCCACAAGATCATTTTCCTTTACCTCCCTTGCCCCTTGCAATGCTCGAAGGAGGTGACGCAACTCCGACGTGGTGGCGTCAACTTCGTCGAACTTCGGCAGACCTTGGATAAGGTTGCTCTCTTGTACCATGGTACTTCCTTTCCCGGAATGATAGTCCGCCCGTCTAGATAATCCATCTGGAAGACTTGCCTGGGTTCCTGGCCGATAAACCATTTTAAACCTGAAGTTAGCTAGCTCCTCTACCCACCTACCTTGCCGAGGACTGAGTTGTTTCGGTTCCATCCAGTAGGTAAGGTTTAGATGGTCGGTAAGTACTGTGGTTTCCACCTGCAATAATAAGTGTCTCCTTCTTCTGAAACCCTCCACTACAGCGAGGAACTCCTTTTCTCCTACCGTATAATTCAGTTGAGCTGTGTTGAAAGCACCAGACTCAATAGCTACCGGGTGTTCTTGACCAGCCGTGTTGATCTGCGAAATTATGAACCCCCAGCCGAAGAACCACGCATCTGTCTGTAATATCGTCTTCAATGTAGGGTCAAAATGGGCTAACACCGGCGCAGTACACATCCTAGCCTTCAACTCTTTGAAGGCTGACTCCTGTTCGACTCCCCATACAAATGGTACCTCCTTCCTTGTCAAGTCATTGATAGGTCTAGCAATCTTCGAGAAGTTGGGGACAAAGCGCCTGTAGTAGCTTACAACTCCAATGAATCCCCTTGACTCTCGTAGATTCTTAGGACGTGGGAAGGAAGTGATGGCATCAATGTATTCTGGGTTCACCGATACACCTTTAGAGGATACCACGAAACCCAGAAACACCACCGAATCTCTTTCGAACTCGCACTTACTAGCTTTCACGTACAGGCTCGCCTTCCGCAGTACCTCAAAGACCTTCGCCGTAGTTCCTCGTAATTCCTCCAACGTATTCCCATAAATGAGGATATCGTCAATGTAGACCACGACTCCATTCCCTAGTAGCTCTCTAAACACCTCATTTAGGAAGTGTTGGAAGACCGCGGGGGCGTTTCGCAGCCCATCACGAACAACCAGAGATTCAAACATACCATACTGTGTCCTGAACGCCGTCAGGTGTTCATGTCCCTCTGTCACCCTCAACAATTGGTATGCTCCAATTAGATCTAGTTTGCTGAAATACCTTGCTTTTCCAAGTTCTTCAGTAATTTGACCTATTAGAGGGAGAGGGTAGGCATCTGGTATGGTCGCTTCGTTCAGTTTTCGATAGTCGATGACCATTCGCCACTGTCCTTCGGCTTTCTTCGGTATCATAAACATTGGTGAGCCGTATGGCGAGTTACTTGCCCGAATTCGGCCAGCGGCGATTTCGCGATCTAGTATGTCTCTCAGCGCGCGTCTCTGATCTTCTCCTTGAGCATAGAGGGAGGCGACCTTAAGGTTCGCCCCCTCCTTAAGCTCAAACTTCAAATCGTAGGACCTTGAAGGGGGAAGGGTCTCTCCTCCCTTCTTCGGATTAAAAACGTCAATGTACTGGTGGTATTGTTCAGGAACTACCTGGAACAACTCGTCTTGTTCCTCCGGGCTCAGCTCTTCAAGCTCATCTTCGCCGCGGAGGTCTATCGCGTCCGTCAGAGTCGGCAGCCCTATGGCCGCTAACTTCGCCGCACTTGGTGGGGTTGGGATGGGAAATTTCACCGAGTTGTCTCTTCCATCAAGGACAACCCCTTCCTTCCTCATCCAATCCCACCCTATCACAACATCTGCGTCGCAGAGCGTTGTTACATCGAGACAAACAGATCGCACTTCGGCGTCCTTCGTCAAACTAAATCCGACTTCGACAAACTCGGTGATGGGTCCAGCGACACTCACCGAGCCGTCGAACATGTGAACGGGTACGCTCACCTGATATCGCCTCTTTTCTACACCTATCTTCGCTGCTGCCTTAGGGCTTATATATGAACAAGTAGCTCCAGTGTCCCAGAGCGTAGTTAGCTTTATTCCATTAATGAAAATGTCCGATTTAGGTTGATCTCTGGAAACGGAAGGGATGAGGAGATGATTATCGACATTGCATGAACAAGGGGTACTGAGTGGTGTATTTTTGTATTCACAATCCTCTGGCTCCATCAGCTGTGTTTCTTTTATGGGTTTGGGAATGGTGGCCGAGAGAATATGGCGGACCCGCCGAGCCTCGCCTACTGCGACAGGTCCTCTTCTTTTCCCTGGTCCTCTTCCAAATCTACTTCTCCTCCAACCGCATTCAAGTTCCTCCTCTGTCCGAGAGGTACTGCGTTCCCTCCCGATCCTCCACCACGTTCTCCGAACTTCTCCCCCCATGGAGGCAACAGTCCAACCTTAACCTTAGCCTCCCTTACAGGGCATTCCTTCAGCCAATGTCCTGCTTCACCACACTCGGTACACTTCCCCTCCTTCCTCCTTGTCTCCCTCAGATCGGAGCTCGGCCTAGGCCATCTTCGGCGAACTTCGTCGATGTTTGGCGGTGTACTCTTTACCACCGTCGACATCATAGCCGCCTGGACACCACCCTGCGCCGAAGGTTGCCCCTTTTCCCATTTCTTCTCTTCTTTCTTCTCCGTCCTCTGACTTTCCACCACTGTCGTTGTCCTTATCCCTCCTTCCCTTTTCCTCTCTGCCTCCTTCTCCACTTGTCTCCTCCACAGGCGGTTGTCCAAGGGAATCACAAACTCCAATAGCTCTTTCACAGTCCCAAACGATCTACCGTGTCTTGCAATTTCATCTAGAAGGTGCGATTTTAGTCCTTTCTTGGCTCGGTCAACTAGGTTTCCATCATCAGACCACTTAAGAATCGCAACATGTCGCTGGAAGGCGGAGAAGTAGTCCGAAGCAGACCCGGTTTGCTTGAGGTCGTTAAGTTGTCGGGCCGCAGTTCCTTCTTCGTCTGGATCACCAAAGTTAGTCTTGAGGTACTTAACGAACTGATCGTGTGTCGTGAGGTACTCAGGAAGAGGTCTTTTGGATAGATCGGGCTGCACTGCAAGAAGAGGTGTTTCGCGTAGATGAGAGATCATGAAAAAGACTTTCTTAGTGTCGTCGGGGAAAAGATGAGAGTTCAATTCGAAATGTACGTCGCACTCAGACAGAAAGGCGGTTAACTTGTTCCGATCTCCTCTCCAGAGGTCTGGGTTAGGTAGCTTTATCCCCTTCCGTTGTTCGCCCACTACGCTTGGGGTCGCCGAAGTTTGCCGTCCCATGGCGTACCTCACCCCTTCTGATATCCCTTCTGCAATCCCGCCCACTGTATCCCTTTCTCTTCTCTGTTCCCATTCCTCCCTACGTCTTCTCTCCTCCATCATGTCTTTGTTCATATTCGCCACCATCTGCATCAAGGCCAACACCACCCCTTGTGTTCCTTCTTCTCCCAAGTTCGCCGTACTTCCAGTGTTTTCTCTTGGGCGTGGGGTTTGGTCTGATCCAAGTGGGGATCCCGCAGGTGGGAGAGCATTAGACGGAGGAGAAGGAGGGTTAGAAGGCACCGGTGGAACGAACTCATCTCCTTGAATTGATCCCCCCACACTATCCTCCACTCCAAGGTCCTGCCCCATTGCTCTGCTAAGCTCCTCCAATGCTCTCCTCTCGTTCTCCTCCATCCTGTCTCCATCCCTACTCATCCCTCGTGTAATTCTTCTTTCTGGTTCCATATTATCTTTGTACTTCTCCGAGGTTCGCACGGGTCGTCGGTAAGTGCGATCCTTGATACTGTCACGGCCGTCGAACAACTATTTCTTAATAGACCGACGGTCGACGAACCTCGGCTAACTTCACGCTCTGAGTCGATGTCTCACCCAACCAGGAGGGCGCAGACGTCGAAAGGGGTGTAACTACGGCGTACTTCGGCGTAGTTACTCTAACTAGGGTTTTGTTCTACTGATGGCGATGTATCTTGATTTATAGCTATCTCTATCTGTCTTTCACTACTGACAACAATCAAGGATCGCTGAAGAACTTCAGCGATCTTCTCAGCTAATATTATCTACTCCTCCTAGACGTTCATCCAACCCTCTCGCGCTTTGACGTACTTCAACGCACTTCGTCCAACTTCCCCGAGCCCTCGGCCATCCTCTTCCTCCTTCGACTAACTCCGCCTAACATCGCCGCACTTCTGCTCCCATTGTCCCTACTTAGCCTAACTCCGTCTAACTTCGCCGTACTTCTGCTCCCATTGTCCCTACCTAGCCTAACTCCGTCTAACTTCGCCGTACTTGGTCTCAGAAGTCCTGAGTTACGTGTAGAGTAAAGAGGTTAAGGCGTGATGGGGGTTTTGATGGTCAAAGGAGGGTCATTGTTGGTGGAATAATCGAGGTGTCACGACGTAGTTCGTGACAGGCTGGTCCCAGAGGAAGAAATACCAACAAGTTCTTCGAGAAGTACCATTTCACATGATCTCACGTCTACTACCACTACCCCAGATCCGCTAAATGAATTATCGCAGCAGTTGTCACAATTGTTAGCCATTATGACGATGCAACAAAAGGAACAAAATGCATTAAGGGAAGAACTGGCTACGATGAAAGCTGACCGACAGAACCAACAGATACTCACATCGAAAGGGGCAAGTTTGATCGAAGTCGAAGAAAACAAGCCGTGTTTGGAGCCAAAACTTACCAACAACGAACGAACAGGAAGAACCAGGTGTGCGGATCCACCTACCTTCAGTGGAGAACGAGGAGAATTGGACAACTTCCTTGCAGCATGTCACATGAACTTCGAATTCAAAGGGGCAGAGTACGCCACCGATCGCAGAAAGATCCTGTTCATGTACGGGTATCTTCGAGGCACCCCTCAAATGCTTATAACCCCGGCCATAACCAATCCAAGTATATGGAATTCGACCGGATGGCTAGAGAGCTACGACAAATTCATCCAGCATTTACGAACTCAATTTGGAGACAGTAACATGGCAGGTACGGCTATGAGGAAATTGCAGGAGTTAAGACAGACGGATACGGCCGCCGAGTATTTTGCCAACTTTGAACTTTGGTCCACACACCTTGGAAAGGTACCCGATGCCATGAAAATCGCCTCAGCCATACAGGGCCTGAAGGAAGAGCTACTGAAAGTGGTAGTGGTAAATAACACCGATCCTCGAACCAAATCGGACTGGATCTATTTCAAACAACATGTGATAGGGACTGAGGAGAACCAACGGATGGCTGAAACGATGATTGCGGCGAATCGATGGGCTGCTAGACGCAAAAATGAGACGACCTGGCTTCCCCCTCGATCGAATTCGATGCGATTGGATACTAGTCCGCCCAACCCGGTAGAACGCCACTCACAATCGACTGGTAGAGGACCCTTGCCTGGTGGAAAACCAGGGATGATGAATTATGGTCTACCAAATGACCCTCCGGTCACTTGGACAGAGGACGGAGGACGTCTCAGCGAGAACGAAATGACTTGGAGGAGGGAGAACCGACGTTGTCTCAAATGTAGAAGTCCAGAACATTATGCCAACAACTGTCCGAATGGAGGAAACACGAGAAACAGTATTAGGGGATCCCCAAATCCGCATAACTCACCGATTCCTAGTGGATCGAACTCGATCACAACTGGATCCAAAGGGCCATTAGTTCGAGGAATGGCGGTGACCTTTGAAGAAGAGGGAAACGACTACCTGGCCTAAGTGATGCGACCACTTGCGGCCAGGATCTGCCCGGATCGCAGAGAATTCAAATACCAATAGATCTCAGTAATGACTCGGCCATAATCTATATAAAAATACAAACAAAGAAAGATACCCTACAGATGGGAATGTTAATCGATACCGGGGCTACAGGAAGGTATGTGCAGCCGGCCTGTCCATTATACCATCTATTCCCAAAGAAACAATATCAGGTACCACGAAAAATTAGGTTCCTGGATGGAACTACCGCGACCTTAGTGACCGAATATGTAGAAGCAGAATTAGATCTAGGAAAAGGACTCAGGATTGCAACTCGACTGGATGTTATGGCATACGAAGGACCAGAAGTACTAGTAGGACTAGATTTCTTGAGACAGTTTAGGGCAAGGATCGATTGTGGAAAGGGACTGATCGAATTCGACGGAATTGGACGAGATACTGGTTGGAAATACCCAAGATTAGAAGAAGGATTAATAAGAGGAGCAACACTGGAGAAAGGGGAGGACGAAATGAGTGAGGAGGAACTGCGACAAATCATACCGACACAATGGCACCAGTACCTCGAATTATTCAAGGTAGAAAGAGCAAGAAGACTACCACCAAGAAGAGAATGTGACCACGAAATCGAATTAGTAGCAGGGGCTGAACTGAAACCAGGACCAATTTACCAACTGGACGAGCATGGGGATGCTTTCCTGAAGCAGTGGATCAATGATGGACTGACTAGTGGACATCTGCGAAGAAGTAAATCGCCCTATGGGTCCCCAGTATTCCTGGTCCCCAAGAAAGGAGTCATTCCCTATCGAGTAGTTACAGATTACCGGGCACTTAACAAGGTAACCATCAAGGATTCATACCCAATGCCACTCATCTCGACACTACTCGATCGACTTCAATTAGGAAGGATCTTCACTAAACTCGATTTGAAAGGGGCTTACCAGTTAGTCAGAATAAAGGAAGGAGATGAACATAAAGCTGCCTTACGAACAAGATACGGCAGTTTCGAGAGCACAGTCCTAAGGGATGGGTTGTGTAATGCACCAGCCACCTTTCAGAACTTTCTACAAGACATGTTTCACGATCTACTTGACGAAGGGGTAGTAGTTTATATCGACGACATCACGGTATACTCCGACACGATCGAAAACCATCAGATAATTGTCCAAAAGGTGTTAGATCGACTACTTGAAAACGATTTGGTCGTCAGTCCGAGGAAATGCGAATGGAGTTCAAATGAAGTGAAGTTCCTGGGGTATGTAATAGGACACGAACGGATCGAAATGGATCAAGAAAAGGTGAAAGCTATTCTAGAATGGGGAGAACCCATGACAGTCCGGGATACTCAAGTGTTCTTGGGCTTTGCAAATTTCTATCGGAGGTTTATCAAGGGGTTTTCGCATATTGTGGGACCTCTCACACGATTGACCAGGAAGGATCAGGCTTGGAACTGGACACAAGAATGCCAAAAGGCTTTTGACGATCTAAAGAAAACATTCACCACAGCACCGGTACTTCGACATTTTGATAGAACCCGACCAACTTGGATCGAAACCGATGGATCCGACTGCGCGATAGGTGCGATAGCGTCTCAAAGATTCCCTCACCCATCAATAAGGGGAACCACCGAACTTCACCCCGTTGCGTATTGGTCTCGAGCAATGACACCCTGTGAACTAAACTACACGGTAGGAGAGAAAGAATTACTAGCCATCGTGGACTGCCTGGTCGCCTGGAGGCCCTACTTGGCTAACAGTAGTGATGTTATAAAAATCATTACAGATCACAAGAACTTAGAGTACTTCCAAAGCAAGCGACAACTAAATCGAAGGCAAATGAGATGGTTGGAAATATTGGGAGACTTCAACATAGAGATCACTTACCGACCAGGTAGCAAAAATGGGGGAGCAGATGCTCTGACAAGACGAGGAGATTATCATCCGGGAAAAGGGAGTAGCAAGGACCCGGATCTAAACAAAGGCAACTGGCTACAATTGCTATTGACACACGAACAAGTTGGATCGAATTCAATGGACTCAGAACACAAAGGGCCAAGACACATAGTAAGAGGAGCAATCCGAGAAGACTCATTATTCGGACTCATCAAGAACGGACTAAAAGACTCAGAAGACATAGCAAACATACGACGACTAGGACTACAAATGACACAGATACATAGCACACAGGACACACAGAGCACACAGGACACACAGAGCACACAGGACACACAGAAGACACAGATTAGCAACGAGACGCCAATAGTATCTTGGACACAAAGCGGATTACTCTTGTACAAAAACAGAGTAGTCATACCAGAAGGACAAGCAAGATTAGAAGTAATGAAAGCAAGACACGATTCGATATTAATAGGACACCCAGGAAGAGATAAAACCATCACCTTAGTCAAAGAGGATTATTACTGGCCACATTTGGACGAGTATATTGCGAAGTACGTAAAAGGATGTGAGATCTGTAACCGACATAAGACTCATCGACATCAACCGTATGGACATCTAGTCTCTTTACCAGTACCCACACTCCCGTGGACAGATATCTCTATGGATATGGTGGGACCCCTACCAAAATCGACCGAGTTTGACGCGATACTAGTGATAGTCGATCGACTAACCAAGATGGCTAGATTTATTCCATGTACAACTGGACTAACAGCGAACAAAGTGGCCGACATCTACATCAAGGAGATCTTTTCAAAACATGGAGTACCTCGAACAATTGTATCAGATAGGGGAACTCAGTTTACAGCGGACATTTGGAAGGAAATATGTCAGTTCCTGGGAATAAAAAACTTATACTCGACTGCGTATCACCCTCAAACAGATGGACAAACTGAGCGAGTAAATCAACAGATGGAAATCCTGCTCGGAATGTATGTAAACTACAACATGGACAATTGGGATCAACTTCTACCAATTGCTGAGTTCGCTTATAACTGTTCGCCACATAGTAGCCACGGTCTGTGTCCCTTTGAAGCCTGTTACGGTTATGTGCCACACTACGACATCCATTCGCACGATATTCGATCAAAGTCAAACAAGTTGGAGAGGAAATGGAGAGATATGGGAGAATTACATGCGACTGTTCAAGAACAGGTCAGGATGGCAAATGAAATTAGTGCAGAGTACTACAACAGGAGACACAAGAGCATACCAGAAGAATTCAGAAAGGGAGAACAGGTACTACTAAGTACAAAGTATCTTACGACGGAACGACCCAGTCGAAAACTAGAAGCAAAATACATTGGCCCCTTCAAGATCATAAGGAAAGTTGGAAAAAATGCTTTCGAATTAGATCTACCTCCATCAATGAAAGTGCACAATGTCTTCAATGTCACGCTGTTGGAACCATATCCTAATGATATGATACCAGGTCGACAGATACCACCCCCACCGCCTGTAGTAATTAACGGCCAGGATGAATTCCATGTGGAAGCAATCGTGGACAGCAGAATTCGACGAGGAAAGGAAGAGTTCAAGGTAAAATGGTTAGGATACACAGGAAATGCGGGCTATGACTGGGAACCACGAGAAAATGTAGAAGAGTTGGCCGTTTTTGGTGAATTTTTGGAAAAGAGGAAGAGGGACCCCAGAAGAAAGTGAGAATTCGATCAAGATCAACAAAACTGGGTCAGAAATGAATGCATACACAGGAAGTATAGCTACAAGTAGAGAGATATAAACACACTACTCAATGGAGGCGTTAGAATCGGCTCGGGGACGACGGGCCGAAGCGGGAATACGAATGACATTGCGGGGAAGAGGAGTATGGGGAGAAGAGGATGGACCGGCAACTGGCTGAGAGGAACTCAATCCTGTAGGATCACCAGTAGAAGTAAGATGATCCAGAGTTTCATCGGCAGAAGGAGGAGCGTAGTTGGCGGAAATAAGATGAAGGGATTTGTAAAGAGCCAGATGTTGAGAAGGGAGAGGAAGGAGAAGGGAGGTAAAGAGATGGATGTAACCCGAAAGTTGGGTCAGACAGGCGGATTGGTCATGGGCAGGAAGGGATCGATAACGGACCGAAGCCGCACAAAGTTCGTGCTCCAGGACAAAGGTAACCTTGGAAGTGACCGTTCTTGCTCCCACAACAATACCCTATACATCAACATCGACCAAGTTCGAAGGAAATAGACAGGTACCTCACGGAATTTGGACTCAGGGTTGTTGGTCTTCACCGAACATTTTGAAGTACCCTTAGCAGAGCATTCACCACACACACCACCGACTGAATTGCATCAACATTGAACGAGTCGCAGCAAGAACTTACGAGGGCCAATACAACCAACACGAAAGTCTTCACCACCATCGAGACGACGTTGACAATCGGTACAGAGCTCACCCTCTAGCCGAACAACAGCACCATTTTTGTTGCGGAGGCGCCAACCTTGGGCCAAACGATCGAGCTAATGATTAGAATCGATAAAACTTGAAAGAATTCGAGACTTACAGCGTTCTTAAACCACTTTACAGTGGGCTTGATGGCGTTGGTTTCGCGGAAACGGTCCAGAGCTTCGTTCTTCAACGCGAGACGAACAGAGGGGAAGGTCATGCTGGCCCAAAGGGTAGCTAACAAGTCAGAAGCGAACAGAACTCGGTGGAATTCTCACCGATTTCGGAGTCTTTTCGATCCTCGAGCAACTTAACCAGTTCCTGGTTGACGGTAACCTTGCGAGGGGCGTGAAAGATGTCACCAAGTTCTTCGGGAACCTCCACAAGTTCGTCGGAAGCCTCAGAAGGAGGACCAGTGGGTTGCTTACCGGGAGAATTTTCATTTTCGACGACGGTAGGGTGTTCGGATTCGACGGATTTGGCGGGAGATAGGTTCTCACCAGTGGCAGATGGCCCAGCACCCCCTTCGAAGTCGAAATATTGCTCGATGACATGGTCATCAAGGAGCGATTGTGCTTCGCGAGAAGGACCGGATTGATACTTCTCCTTAATGGTGTCGAGAGCTCGTCGAGACGCATCAACCAATGGGGGTTGAGAGGAAGCGGCTTCAGACGTAATTCTCATTCTTTTCGTTTTACGCATGAGGAGTTCGGGGTCGACGTCAGGCAGGATTGCCAAGGTAGAAGCTCGAGTTTGACGGGAGGAGGTGGAAGGAGACAACTAATCTCGTCAGCCAGTGAGAGATAGGAGGATATACATCGAATTCGAAGGGAATTGCTTACAGTACGCTTAGACATGCTCACAGACAGGTCAGAGTTGGAAGGATACTCTAAGATATGAATAAGATATGGATGGATGATGATAGATAAGTAAAAAGAACGACAAACAAGAGGTAAAGAGAGAATGAGGAGGAAAGAAGAGAAAGAAGACGGGGAGGTAACTTGGTCAGTAATTTCTCGATCACATTGGAGGTCCGTGCGGGTGACGCGTTTTCATGGCAACCGTCACACTAGCGTGGGTATGATGTCAGGGCGCACCAAAGGTGTCTAAGAACAATCCATGTGCATCACCTGGTTACAGGGTTCAGGATCCTCGGCGAGGATCCTTGAGACAGGGGGGGAAACTTGTTACGGGGTAACAACGAATCGAGAGGACTCTATCGAGTTCGACGGATTAGGACAGAGGAAAGCGGGAGTTGGAGGCAGTGCTGCAGTAGGTAGGGACGGGTTTTCCCTTTTCGAGATTTCCCCACTGGGTTTGCTCAAAAGCGGTTTTTCACCTGTCCGAGTATGTACATAGACGCTTGCAGTAGGAACTGAGAGGAGGACACGGATACCTGTAGACAGTATATAGTACAATCAGCAAAGTACCAACTTTGCTGATTCTTCAATATCATTCTTTGGCTACATCGATTGCAGAGGAGACACGATTCATTAGCACCAGAGCCCCTAGATTTCCACGAGACCTCCATCGAGTTCGACCCAACCTGCGACCTAGTCGTCGTGTTTCCAGTACCGTTACACCCTTCCAGGCACTTACGTAGAATTTACGTAGAAAAAACCCTGAATCACCCCCAGTAGATTTGCGGGGCTGACGCCCGCAATGAAGAGAGATCAACGTGAAGAGATCAGATAGCAGGATATACTGTTGTGTTCAAGGTGTAAGTTTTGATACTTTCTTCCACTTATTAGTCAAGAAGTCAGTGGAGACAAGTACTCGCATCTTTTTGAGAATTTATGTTTATTCGGCAAGGTGAAATTGTCTCCGGGTCAAGTAAGCTTCAGGGGTTTAGGTGTTCCCACACAAAGGACCTAGCATCATGGAACGGGTTAGAAGCCTGTGATCTTCCGGGACCAGTTAACGGATCCCTGGGGTTAGGGGGTAGGTGCCCGGGGCGTCCGAGATGAGTATTCGGGTCGCACGGTCTATGGAGAGAAGTGGTTGACTTGATTCGGTTAGTGCGGCGGAAGAAGAAGGGTACGGGAAGGGTCCTTCATCCCCAATCGGGGTACCTCTTCTTTTCTTCTTTCTCCTCCGATCACATACTCGAAGCACCTACCAAACTGATCCGGGTCGTGTTCAAACTTTTGTGCGATTTCAGGAGAGTTGGGCGGGAATGATTGCTCATGCACTGTTTAACCTGCATTACCCAAATGCGGTGAGCTGTGTTTGAAAAGCTGAAGATCCAAGTTTTGGCCTTCTTGGACCTGTGAGGGTGTTTGCTGATAATTAGATGGTAATACAGAGGGGAGAAAGAGCATGCATCAATTCTACATGTCTCTATACTTATCACATTCCACTCACACGCAGTAAACCAGAGACGATCGAATAGAGTTCAGAGGATAAGTTGAACGGAGAAATATTTGACGGAAGGGGTAGTTATCTAACGGTGGTTCGGCCGTCCTGGCCCGATTCTATCGGCTAACACCCACTGGGTCTGACCAGATGTTACGGGGCAACAAAGATTTGAAGCAAGTTCCCTCCAACTCCACGGAACTGGATGGAGAAGGACAGATACAGGGAGACAGTGCTGCAGTAGGTAGGGACAGGTTTTCCCCTTCGAAGATTTTCCCCTCTGGGTTTGCTCAAAGCGGAGGAGACACAAGCCATCACATAGCACTAGAGACACCTAGATTCCCACAAAGTTCCATTGAACTCAACCCAACCTGTAACCTAGTCATCGTGTTTCCGGTACCGTTACACCAGGGCTATGTGACTCCGGAGGTATCTGTTAGGTGACGTTCGGAAGACGTGACACTTCGACGCTTCACGGGTATGATCTTGATGGGCTGAAGAACCGTGACACTCTGAAGTGTCATGACACCCAGGGCCGTGACACTGAGAAGATCTGAAGTTTCCACAACACCACTGATCCAAACTGACTATGCATTGGATCTGTAGCTCTTGATTATGATTGGAAAGAAACTACAGGAAAAAATTGTATGATTGCATGCATGGGAGGAAGAAACAGCACTTGGAAATTTAGATGTTGAGGAGGCTATTGCGCAACAACCCAATCAGTTGCAACCATCTCGTCTTGATACAAAGCAGAAAGAGACTGTCTCTCCTCAAGTGTAAAGTTTCTCAGAGTCTGTAGGATATCTGAGAAAATGGCAGGGATTCTTCTGTGGGACACGGATCTTTGGCCGGTCACGATCATATCCGTGACACTTCGAAGTGTCACATCTTCCGTACGTCACCTAACATATCCGTCTCCAACTGTGTCCCTGACAAGGCGCAATATCCAATCTGTTAGTGAGAGCTGATTTTGCTACAAGTACTGGTTGTGACATAAAGGTTGCTATCTTTGAGCTACAGCTCATAATCTAATTGCTGACAAGCACCCTCACTCAGTTGTATCACAACCCTCCGTGGAATTTCTTTGACTGGTACTGTACATACATGGATATGACGACTTCCCCTGGCTCATCAAGTGACATCTACCTCTGAACCCTCATCTTGCTCAATGTTGTCTTGACTTGAGGGCATACCAACCGAAAGCTGGTTTGAAATTACACTTCCGAGTAATTGTGCTTCCAATCTTTGTAGATTCCCATGAGGGTCTCCAGATGAGCGATTAGCCAGCTGAGATGGAATGGAGGAGCGGCTGGAGGTGTAGCGGCGTGGTGCAAAAATATCGTCAACATGGCGCCACCTAGACCTCGAAGATGCAACAGAACGGACTGATGCCAGGGAAGCAGTATTATTCTGTGGAAAGTTTCTTGAGTAATTCACATCAGATGACAGAGGGGTATTTGATGAGAAAACATCATATGAGTACCCTGAGAGGGGCCTGCTGGAGAATGTACCATCCGGGAGCGATGAGGAATGAGAAGTGTTCATGATGCTTCAGCTGCAAGAGTATTGAGATGACGTATGTATGCCGGACTTGGTAGGTTTGTTAGCGATTTCGAGTCTTTGTCACGAACTACGTCGCGACACCTCGATTACTCCACCAACAATGACCCTCCTTTGGCCATCAAAACCCCATCACGCCTTAACCTTTTTACTCTACACGTAACTCAGGACTTCTGACACCAAGTACGGCGAAGTTAGACGGAGTTAGGCTAAGTAGGAACAATGGGAGCAGAAGTACGGCGAAGTTAGACGGAGTTAGGCTAAGTAGGGACAATGGGAGCAGAAGTGCGGCGATGTTAGGCGGAGTTAGTCTAAGTAGGGACAATGGGAGCAGAAGTACGGCGAAGTTAGACGGAGTTAGGCTAAGTAGGGACAATGGGAGCAGAAGTGCGGCGATGTTAGGCGGAGTTAGTCGAAGGAGGAAGAGGATGGCCGAGGGCTCGGGGAAGTTGGACGAAGTGCGTTGAAGTACGTCAAAGCGCGAGAGGGTTGGATGAACGTCTAGGAGGAGTAGATAATATTAGCTGAGAAGATCGCTGAAGTTCTTCAGCGATCCTTGATTGTTGTCAGTAGTGAAAGACAGATAGAGATAGCTATAAATCAAGATACATCGCCATCAGTAGAACAAAACCCTAGTTAGAGTAACTACGCCGAAGTACGCCGTAGTTACACCCCTTTCGACGTCTGCGCCCTCTTGGTTGGGTGAGACATCGACTCAGAGCGTGAAGTTAGCCGAGGTTCGTCGACCGTCGGTCTATTAAGAAATAGTTGTTCGACGGCCGTGACAGTCTTGCAGTGTCTAAGATTGCAAGATGGATAAACTGAGGGAGAGGACGTTCAAAGATGAGGGCTTGAGTGAAGTGATAGGAGAAGCTAGGTGACTAGATGAGTTCGGGAGGATAACAGAGGCTTAATGATTGACAAATATTTGACCTTTTGATGTGTTGAGTTCAACTTGAGAGAATGCTTGGTATGTTCCATTAGTATGAATCTTATATAGGTGTCCCATTGGAGAGAATTGAGTTTGACATTTGTAAGATTCAAGGGGTTGAAATATTGGTATAAAGGAGGCAAAACAGGGAGGTGTTAGAATGACATGATTGTTAGAGATGAGACCCAGGGATAAAGGGTCTCGGGTCGGGGGAGGACAAGGTTTGAGATTGATATTCGGCCTTCACGGCCCAAATGAGGGATCATCCATTATTAAGCTGTATGATCACTTCTCCTCCCTCGAGAAGGTAGGGCGTGCACATCCCCTGTTCATGTTAGCTGCTACTTATGTAAGATCAGCCCGGGGCAAGAGAAACGTCAGCGAAACTTCCCCCTTCTATCAATGGTGTGGGCTAGCAAATCACCAGTTTTTGCGCATCCTGCTCTGCTCTTTCAGTCACTACATAGAAGGGGATATAATAGGGAGAAGTAGATGGAGAAAAACATCCTGTAGCTTTATGCCTGTGTCACTGTTAGCAAGCAGGTTCTGGCGGCAACGGAGGAATCGTCAATGAGAGACTTCCCCGTCCAGTCGCTTTGTCCATGAGGTCTGTTGCTCCACGATATCGATCCGATGGTCACGGGCCTGCCTGCTTATGGGACGGAATGGTTGAGTTATGTGGTATGCAAAATTAGTGCATGGTCATTCTCCCTCTACATTCATAATCATTCACTGGCAAACATGCCAGAAGTAGTGTCAATCACTTCCGGACGGCTAGAGGTTCTATAGCCCTCCCTGTCTGTACTATTGTAGTTACTGGTGGGGTCAAGAAGTATTCCCCCGAATATTGAGGTTTTGCGATTGTTCTTCCTGTTACTTAGCTCAGCACCTGCATGACGTCCACCCAGAAACCTGTCTATTTGGAGCAATGAGGGCACATAGTGGAAGCCGGGGACAAGCTCACTTGGTAGAATCACTCCCGGAGGCAGTCTTATCTGTGCCAAACTTGAAGATGCCCTCCCTTGCCAGAAAGGTTGGCGCTGTAGGACTATAAGTGACGCGAGAAAACAACCCTGTCTGGATTATTGGGGTGCTTTGTGGTGAAGATGATACAGAACTAGTTGCTAAAGACTGGTCTGCAGTTACCCTGGATGAGCTGTGAGTTTGATGGTGACAGACATCATCGGAGAAATAAGAAGGTTCGGGTTTGTGACCCCTCTGGAGATCCAAGGCTATCATCCCATTGACCATGGTCCTTGCCGTACGAGGCGTAAGGGTACTAGGACCTGCCGCCTCTGAGTTGGCTCTTTGAACGTCCAGCGAGAGGGAAAAAGGTGCACGGACACGTTCAGACAAGGTGGATGACTTCAACGATCTTGCTGTTTGGTGTGACATGATGGTAGTGGAGTGTTGAATCCATCTTCCAGGACTGCCCATCCTATTTAGGAGGGAGTCGAGTATCCCCTCACACTAAACCAATAGGAGAGGACTCCGCACCACGCACTGCCTCGCGACCGCATAGTTGAAAAGAAGGTGGGAAAGCAAGAGCTTGTTGGTGGGGGGATCCGTGCGCGGTGCCCGTTTGGGGTCGAGGATGTCCAAAGAGGGGTTGTCTCCGGGAGACAGGAAGGATACGGGGAGCGGTGATAGAGGCAGAGTAACGCATAGTGTAGGAGAGACTCGGGCAAGAGGGCGATGCTAGCGAGGGGATGGGGGAGAAGACGGCGCGGTACAAAGGTAGGGTCCGTGCGTTGTTTTGTGCATTCGCCACATTCGACGAGGTGCCACATCCAACCCTTTTTCAACCAAGACGCGATCGACGCAACACCCTTCTCCCCCTTGCCCCTCCTTCTCCGTCTAACAGTACTCTACTCCCCTCCGTCCCCTCTCTCCGCTTCTCACGCATCGCCTCAGATAGCCCGACTTTCTCCGCTTAGAGCTCAGTGGAGAAATGATAGAGGAGAAGTATATCGGCCTGGGGTTGGCTTTAGGGGGCACTTTTCTCATAGGGTGCGTTTCAATCTCCTACCCGCAGTACAACGGATGTTTCCTTTGCTGACTTTCAAGCTCGAGTTTCATCATAACCAAAAAGGTTGGCCCATTGTAAATCTTGACTGAATCGAGCTGATCGAGAGGGATTGAACGATGCTGCGAGCAGGGGAAATGACTATCCTCACTCTCACCAAAGACAGAATGCCACTCGGAATGCTTGTCAGTTATCTTCGTCTTCTCCAGGAGGGAATGTCAAGCTCATGACATAGCCGATGACTTGGCATATCTACAAAATCCTATTTGGTGGGCTGGGATGATCACCAGTATGTCGTCATTCCTCTCATCTTCGTGATATGTTGGTGGTCAAGCTGAGTTTCAGTGGTGGTGGGGGAACTGGCAAACTTTGCGGCCTATACATTTGCCCCTGCCATCCTTGTCACACCTTTGGGAGCTATGAGTGTCATCATAGGGTGAGCAGCTTGGCTATTTAGTAGTAGAAATGACGCAGCTTACATGTCAGCGCTATTCTGGCATCTTTCCTGTTGGATGAAAAGCTCGGGAGATTAGGGGTTTGTGGCTGTGCCAGCTGTGTGGTGAGTTTTTATCTTGAGATGTGGTGAGATCCAATGATTTAAATCAGATTGGAACCGTTATCATCGTTCTCCATGCGCCGTCTGACAAAGAAGTTACCACAGTGGATGAAATATTGGATTATGCCGCAAGACCAGGTGAGGCCCCTCGTCCTCTGGTCTTCCACAGCTTCCAGTACGAGCTCTCTATGACGCAGCTGACCATTCAGCCTTTTTGATTTATATCATCTTTGTGGTCGTATTCTGTGTTTATATGATATATCGCGTTGTTCCTGTATATGGTAACAAGAATCCCATGGTGTACATTTCTATCTGCTCTTTGTCAGGCAGTGTTTCAGTTATGGCCATCAAGGTGAGTCCTTTTATATCCTCTCCGGTTTTGTTAGTACGTAATTGGGTAATCTAGTTAATCATCAGGGCTTCGGAGTTGCTCTCAAGCTCACATTCGCTGGCAACAACCAGCTCACTCATATCAGTACCTACGTTTTCGGCATCGTTACTCTGGGTTGCATTTTGATACAAATGGTTAGTTGATTCTTCGTTCTTCAATTTTTTGATTTCCCTCCTAATCGCCTTCTTCCATTTCTTGTGTTGATATGCGTCTGCCTAATGTATGTTCAGCGTGAGCCCTGCTGACGACCAGAACTTCTTCAACCGAGCTCTCGACACCTTCTCCACCAATGTGTAAGTCATGAGTCATACGATGCTACACCTCGAAAAATTCTCCTGACAGACAGCGTCAATCCCATCTACTACGTTTTCTTTACCACAGCCACCATTATAGCATCTGCCATTCTGTTCCAAGGTTTCAACACCCCCGGTGGGGTCAACACCATTTCTCTCATATGCGGATTTCTGGTCATTTTCATGGGTGTTTATCTCCTCAATATTTCTAGAGAACCGGAAAAACCACATGTGCATGATTCATTAGAGACCGGCTTGATGAGTGGGTTTATGCTTCATCACTCCGGTTTGCCTCAAAGCGTCACAGACTCTCAGTCCCGATATGTCGACATTATACCGCATGATCAGTCTCCAAGTTGTCTTACTCTATGGTCCATCTGTGAAGGAGGACAACGAGGGAGAAACAGAGAGCACGCTACAATGAATCAAGACAAAGCTGATCTTCAGACCCCCGAATGTCCATGTCAGGTCGACCATCCCTCGATTCAAACGGTCCATCAGCATGGAATTATAATCCCGTTCCTTCTTCTTACGCACCTGACGGTACTATACTTTCCGCCGGACATGGACGAAGATCTTCCCTCTATCGAGCTCAAAATTCCACCCTTTTCTCCGCTTTCGAAGAAGACAACGCCATGGCGTTGAGTGATTTACCAGAAGAAGACGAGTCTGATGATGGTGAGAGAACGGCTAGAAATGGGAGCAGTCCAGCTCCTGTCAATCGACAACCGAGAAGTCTGTTAGTCAGGGGGAGTAGAGATGGGAGACATCCTGCGTATCAGGATACGCCTGGTGGTGGATGACAAGATTGTAAGAAGGCATAGTTGAGTAGTCCATTTGGGCGTTCTTGGAGTAGAGAAGGGACGATTTAGGGTTGTATATATATACATACCCTGCATGATGGACAAACAATTGATGCATGAGATAAAACACCATGATACGATAGTTGAAGATTATCCCTTTGTCTAAATAATCATCCCTGTGACACACCTCTGAAAGTAACCAATAGAGTAGACATCATGTTTGAGATGTTACAAGAAAGCAAAGAGGGATAAGAGTGAAAGTTATTTATCATATTGCCAAGAGTGAACAAGATGAGAGAGAAAATCATAAACTTTCTATCCTCTTTCGAGCTATACTCGTCCTGGTTTCCCATGCTGATATCATATCTGATCCTTCACGTTCCATAACCTTATACCTTCTATTCATCTCCGCTCGAACGAGTTGTTCAACCGTCATTGATTTTTCTTCTTCTGTCAAAACAGCGTCCAACTTGATTTCTGTAATCACTTCCCTCCCAGATTCCTGATCATTCTTCTCTGATTCAATCTCTTGTTGTCCACTTGAACCATCTTGTATCCGTCCGATGGGTATAGGTGAAGAAGCTATTTTCTCCACTACTTCCCTAGCTTCTATAGCACCTTGAAGTGATGACTTATCCAAAGCTTCACGAGGAATACCCCTAGATAAGCTCTTATCGGGTGATGATGTTGATCTCGAAGTAGATAAACGTTTGAGAGTTTTGACCGGTCTATCCATCGGAGAAGCAGGTGGGATATTGATAAACCTATCTAATTGGGATAAAGGTTTTGATTGAGAGGTAGTTCGATTGGAAGTTGATTTATTAGATTTGATAGGTATATTTTCTACCTTCTTTCTTTCCGTTTCCTCTGTGTTTTCTTCGTCCTGTTCTTCCATTTCGTGGATCGGATTTGAAGATTGAGGTTTTTCTTTAGAATTTCGTCTAATCTCAACCTCTACAACAGGTTTCTTCTTCCTGTTAGATTTACTCTTAATTTGGTTCTCTTGTCCATCTTCAACACTTTCCGTATCATTTGATATTCCCGTATTACGTACTTTGGGCTGTTTACCCTTTTTGGATTTTGGATTAGTTGGTTCGACATTCTGACTCAGTTGGGTTACTGCAGCAATAGCTTCTTCTTCGACAACTTCTTCAATCTGCTCTTCAACTTTTTTACGTCCTCGTGCAGGTCGAGGTTTTGTACTTGTCGCTCGAGGTTTACGTCCCTTTTTCGGTGCATCAGATTGAGTGTCTTCATCTATGACTGATTGACTTTCGGGAGGTTCAGAAATTGTTGGGGCGCGAGTCCTACGGGAAGTCTGGGATAGTGGTTGGGATCGAGGTTGAGATACAGATCTTGTTTGGGGTTGAGAGGAAGGTTTGATTTGAGATTGGGACTGGGATTGGGACTGTGGTTGGTCGTTTGTTATCTGATTCGAGTCAGTTTGAGGACACACAATTGGGTAGGAATACTGACGGGAAGATCAGGCTGTTCATGAAGAACAGCGGTGAAGAATCTACATTCTGAGCTTTTACGTTGATGCACTTCCCTGGCGTGTCAGCGTTCCTCTTAGATACACGAAAAATTTGACGATTGGTGTGATACGTGCATACGTATTGGTGATGGAGAGCAATGACATCGTCGAGGTCTGGAGGGTCAGGGGTTTATGAGGTTATGATGGGGATGAATAAAGGCGACACTGACATCGGATCATCTGAAGCTTCCCATCCGTCTATAGCTAAGTCACACAGAGGACAGAGACAACAATCCTGGGCATCTGAACTGGGGTAGAACACAAATCCTGCTTTCGATAGCTGGTCGTCAATATCGAATCATCACTTTACAGGTACATATTGGTCGACGACTGAAGGATGATAGGAAAAGGGAGGATGAACGTGTGTTCAAAGAATGAGGACGACGGCGGTTATGTAAGGATGGATCAACAATGTACTGACATTCTTCGGTGTTGGTATCCATCCTGCTCTTTGTTTATGAGGCCATCCTTTTTCATATGTTTTTTGTCTGACTTTTGCACTTTCTGCACTTGAAGGGAGATCTTGTGGGGTGGAATAATCATCCCTGAACGTTAGCAGATTGCTACATATGATCCGTTTCGACTTCCCCAGCTGAAGACACCCCGCCTCTCTCTTATCACAGTAGCGATAAACAGTCGTTACAAGGCATCAAGTTCGTACATGTTTCCCCCTGCATAACTTCCATTCACAGATGATGACTGGACCCCAAGATTCCATCAAGGTAAACAAAAGGGGGAATGACACTTACCTTTCTCTCCCTCTAGCAGTATCCAGCTTTCCCTGACAAACTATATCCGCCCAGGCGCATCCTTGTCTTTTTACATGTTCTTCAAAAGCATCATCTGCTTTTTCCCATCCACCCAATTCACAAGCGCACAAGAAACATCGGACGGTATCGAGAGAAGCTGGTGATGAACCTGGAGTATGATAGAACCCCGCTTCTGCTAACAATAGAGGGGTGAGGTTTGGGTGAGTGTCTGGGGAATGGGGAAAAGCTGGTTTGACACGGGATTTGGGTTTGACGATAGCTGAGAAGGAAGATAGACGATTGTCGAGGAATTGCATGTTTGACATTGTCTCCCTCGTTCACCGTTTCCTCGTCGTTCTGTGTTGAGAGGTCGTTTTTAATTTGCAAAAAGATTCTAATGTATTCACGAGCAGTGTAGCAGTATGAGCAGAGTATTGCAATCTTGTTGCGTAGGAGAGTTGTGCTATGTATGTTGGAGAATAGTTGAATTGTATGGTGGATGTTTTGCTAAGTTAGGGAAGGGAAAGAAGTCGCGTCTAAAGTTGGGGATCATTTAAAGTTTTCATCTTTACACTCACCACCCAAATCCCAAATTTCCTTGATTTCTTGAAATTCCTTGACCAAACCATCATTTACATACTTAAAACTGAGGCTACTTCATCATGTCCCTCATCTTACGTCGTACCCTCTCGACACCTTCTATATCACCTTCAACTCTGTCCTCCCACTCCACATTACCTTTAGCGGTCAGAAGACGACGAACTCTCCGTCCTCCACATCCCTCAACAACCCCTTCTCCTCTATCCGACCCTGACGTCCTTCTTCCACCTGATTCAAATACTTTTGTTCTTGGTAAAACACCCAAGACACTGCCTTACAAACTCGAGTTGGAATTTCAGAACCGAAGGATGAAGGGACAATTCAAAGGGGATGAAACCAGTGCTAGGAGGGCGTTTCTAAAAGGTCAGATCGCCTGGCGTAGTAGAATAAGAGGTGTTAAAGAGATCAAAGGGGAGTATTGGAAAGGGTTATTCGAAGGGAAAGATGAAGAAGAAGATGAGTTTCCCGAAATTGGAAGAAAGACAAAGAAGGCGAACACGGAATTTCCCTCAATCAACAAATTTCTTCAATTACAAGGAAGTGTTTTCAAACCTGATTCTTCAACACAATCGACCGATAGCCCATCAGAAGTGAACGCAACGTTCGATTCAGAAGGTATCAATGAGTTAGAAGAGGAAGAGATAGATACAAAAAGTTCAATGTCAGAAGTTGAAGAAGAAGAATCTTCTGAATGGAAAACAGAAGATGAACATCAATCGAACATAGATGAAGAAGATGAAGGAGAAGAGGAAATAGAAGAAAAAGAATCAATAGATACACTTGAAGCTCATCGTATTTATCTACCAAACATTCAAATTAGAATGATGAGAAATCATACTCCTTCAGGAGAACCATACGATCCATTCATTGCGACTTTTCGTATTCCACCTTCAATGACAAAAACAGATCTTCGTTCTTATCTCATGGCAGTATATAATCTCCCAGTAACTTTTATACGTACGGATTTATATTCTGCTCCAGTGACTAGGATATGGCCTGGAAAAATAGTAAAAGGAGGTGGTAGTAAGAAGAATTATAAACGTGCAATAGTTGGTTTGTTGGAACCTTTTCATTATCCTGATGATATAGAAGAACTTTATGCTCAAGGTGAATCTGCTGGTGTGGGTGATAAATGGGCAAAAGGGAGAGAGAAGTGGTTGGATGAGAATGTTTTCAAAAGTGATTCGGATAGATATAGAGAGAAAGTTACTTTCAAGATGCATAAGAGGACGAAATGGAGGAATAGTTCGGATAATGTTGTGAGTCAATTCTGTTACGATTCTTTAATCATCTTTTATCCCCCCCACCCCCGCCATACCCTTTCCCTCTTCGATCGGGGAGTCTGGGAGAAGGTGGGGTGTGCTTGATAGTGGCTCAGACCTTGGAATATATGTAATTCGTGGCGTGAGAAAAGAGTGACTAGTAAGCGGTGGTCTACATTGGAATGTCTCAGTGTGGAATGGTATCGTCTGGTGGGAAATTCTCAGACGGAAGAGCTTCAAGACGTATCGAAATCGGAGAGAATGGTCTGAAGATATAAAAGAATAGAAGACTGATCAATAGGGAAACGTACAACGTTCTATCAGTAAAACGAGGGATCGACGTGAAGAAGCCATTTCACAAGCAGCAGAACAATTACGCTTGTCTCCTCCTTCAACTGATCTTTCTGTTCCGTCGTCGACGTAACTATACCACAACCACTAGAACTTTCGAGACTCGGCTTGAGGTGGGATCCATTGAAAGATGACAAGAGAATGGACGAACGAAATTATTATGGTCAATTGGAATAGACCACTCGATGCATAACATAGCATAGCATATATCTATACAGTTCCCAAATATCCCAATGCCCAAAATCAAACATCACTAAAATTCCTCTTTATTCAAGATGTCGTCAAACGAAGTGACGGGTGACTTTAAATATGATTTTAAACGTATACTGTAAACACAATAGAGAAGTATTACTGAACCAAAAACACAATACGTAGATATATATACCAGATCTCATTCAAAGAGCATGTCCACCAAACCTATCCAATCTATTAAGATGAACGGTACTTCCTTCTTCTAACTCTATCTCACTTTCTCCTCTCGTAGGTGATTCAACCTCTACACTTTTATCTTCTTTCACTTCCATTTCCCATTCTTCTTCTTGAGTACCCATATCACCTAAAGTTAATCGATTTGTGAAACCTTTTCCAGTACTTTCCCTTCCACCAGTCCCATGTGGTCCTACAGCCCCGAATGATACGGTTTGACCTTGAGATTGACCTCCAAAAGTAGATGACTGAATACCGACATCTGATGCGAATGTGGAAGTGGCATTACGAGAATTTGTGAATGCTGAAGAACCAGTTTGACCCGAACGGAAACCGAATGAAGGTTTATGTTTAGAATCGGCGTTTGTACCGAAGGTTGAACCACCTACTCCGGTCCATGAACGGTTTTGAGTAGCGTTTTCACGTTGGATTTTACTTCGGACGGAGAGGGCTCCCATGAGGATGGCAAGGAGAAGTATGGCGGCGCAGATTGAACTCATCTGGGGGTGATCAGTATGTTGCCTTTATACGTTGTCATCGGTACTATGGTTCACTATCTCCGAAGCGGTTGGAAATCTATACAAAAGAAAGCGTGGAAGGAAGGAGATTGTGGGTGAGGTGAATCACGATTCATCTCGTCGTCACAGGGATGGCCAGTCAAATTAGGATAAAAGATTATAACTCACCACACCCTGTAGAACAACGAAGGAATGAGGGATAACATAAGGAGCTTCGGTACTCATTGGAGAGGCGGAGACGGAAGCAGAAGCGGAAGTGCTGGTACTCAGTAAAGTTGTTCACAAGTCAATTCCTAATATACAGTTGGGAAGATCCGAGGTGAAAGCCATTTCGACGAGACTTGCGGAGTGGAGAGCATACGTCGAAAGTGTCATAAGTCAGGTAAAAGGCTGAAACTCACGCTGTCCCGTTGTTCGTACTGGTACTGTTGCCAGCTGTGGTCGAGTTACCTCCTAACTACCAAGTCAGCTTTATTCCAAATACATCTTCCGTATAGAACACTCAGTGATGAATTAATAAAGAAACTCACATAAAAGGAACAAGCAGTTTGAGAGTACGCTTCGGCTGCTGTGGCTTCTGCGGCAGTACAATTTGAAGCCCAACATGTCTGATATGAGCATATGTCTTTGATCACGCTTTGGGACTTTACGAAGGGGATGCCAACTTTCTCTTTACTACTTTGTCTCACAACCGACGGTCAGAGATCGCCAGGAAAGACGGTAGTGATCGTGCTATCCATGTCAAGACGTGAGATAGGACTGTGGGTACTGTAGTAAGGGCTGGGAAGACGGGGATGTCGAGAGTCAGGAAGGAAGGTTATCGATAACTCACAGCTACAGAACTGATATAGGTATCACTGGTACAAATACAAGCATAATCCGTTACACTTGTGCATGTTCCTAATTCACCCGTTGCCATACTATCCAGTCAGCTTTTCCCCTTTTATCATTCTCTACCTCCCCTTCGAATCTTCACGTTCTTTCAGCATTACTCAATCACTCTACACCACATTCCTCTCTCATGGAATCCGACCACACCCGTCGAGATGACATCTCTTTCCATACCCCTCGACACCGGATGATCGAACAAGTGGAAAACTCACCAAGTCTGAGCACACACCGATAGCGGGTCATCCTGTCTTTGAAATATGTAAGGCATGATGAGCAGCGTATGAAGAAGTTCAAAAATCAGATATTCAAGTCGTCAGTTGAAAAGAGGTTTGATGGAATGTGAGAACTCATTGAGCAGATATATACTTTTCTCTCTTCTCACCAGAGAAGATTCGGACAATAGCATGACTGAGATTCTTTATTCTATTGTCTGTCTCACACGAGGCCAGTACTCTACGGCAGTACGCCATAAGGTCGTTTATAGGGGTAGCTGGGTGGACAATAAGGAGAGGGAGAACAATAGACTTTGAGGGAACAAGGGCTGGCGGGGAATTTTTGATGCCGTGCCTGTTGACAAACCACGTGGTATGCGGCGATCGCCGCTGTCCCCGTTCAAGTTACTGCATGTATACTGCAGGCTGCCAGCTGGATGATGATGAATTTGGGAAATTGGATGCATTTACTCTATCGTGGCTACGTCTGAGTTGACAAAATCGTCAACAGCCCAAGGAGTGGTCTGCTTCACTACTCCTGCTTTCTCCAGTACACTAACAAGTCAGCAGATGAACCGACGTTCCTGCTATTGCTCATGAATTGCCAGTCGGATCATGGGCAAAACCGCCACACTTGGACCAGGATATCAAGGTGAATTAAAATATCGGTGAGAGTGAATGTGGGCGTGATAGAAAGGTTTGGTGCAATCATCTTTGGGGATTGGGTGGAGGGTGTAGTAGATTTTTCACTCACTCTAACGTCTCCAACACCACCTTCTCCTTCACCACGGTCAACCCTTCTTCCCATCTCACACTGGAAAGCCATTCGGCCACATCTTCCTTCTTATGTCCAAAGTAGTCGCTCACGAAATCCACATCTTCATTCTTCCTCGCCTCTGCCGAGTTGAAATGTGTCACATAAGATTCGAGGGCGGAAAGGAAAGATTTGACGGATGAAGCGGGTGCGGCGGTCGAAGCGGCTATGTGCCAACAAGGCCAAGGAGCTGAGTCGGTCAGTCGTCTTCTATGTTTATTGTATCCTTTCACTACATCTTCTCGTTGATAGCATTTTATCTACCGACGCCAAAAGTGATGAATGGAACAATAAAGTGGAAGATGAGAGGAGAGAATTGTGTATGCAAAAGCTCAGAGGAAGAAAAAAGGAAATCTCACTGTATACAGAACCGATAAACCTAACTTCACCCGAATCGACATATGGTTTAGTGGTGAACCATTCCCAAAGAAACGCCGAAGTTTCGCCAGAGTTTACAGAATCTCGCAGGGGCTTGAAGTGACCGTTGACTGTGAAAAATATCAGCTAAACTCCTTCCGGCAGATGCTCCCCTAATTTTCAAGCATTTAGTGAATGAAACGAAAATACCTGATCTATCTCTGCGCGGAAATGCGAGAAGAGTACAATAAACTTTTGCTACAGATGAGAGTCGGATGCAAAGATTGCTAAGTGTGAAGGAGAAATGTAGACAAGAAGGTGCAATAAATGACTCACTGGAATATTTAGGTTGTTCCGTCTCCTTCCATCCTTGCTGTAAAGATAAAACCGAAACCATAACTTGTGATCCACTATTCATCTCTTAGCCACGGCAGGTGACTCGAATCAGTAAGAGTTAATTTACCTTCCCTGACGCGATATACCAAATGTTGTACCTTTCAGATCGTCGATGGAGTTGTATGGACTTTTCGTACCGGTCACTATCGCCCTATCTCTTAGCACTTCTCGTTACATCCCCTACAGCTGCCCCAGAGGATAGGGAGAGGGAGTTGGTGGAAGGGGAAGGGGAAGGGTGAGGGGAGAGGTTTACCATCTTAAGGGAGAGGCAATGTACCTCCCTACGAGTTTATAAGCTTGTTGACCATTGGCAATCCCAGCTATCAAAGCGTCTGTTAAAGCTGGTTGTCAACGATACGAACCCTCCTAATCTCAAAAGAGTCAGACCACCTTCAAACAGTGAAAAGGAATGATAGAATTGTGAGGTACAAATGATGATATCATGAGATAACTCTCAACTCCACGTCAGTTGCCGTAAGTATATCGATCGAGGTATGAATAATTGAAGCGTTGTGAGAATGAATAGAAAGAAGTGAGAAGATCCAAACCCACCTATGCAAAGATCAATCTCTCCTTCTTTCAATTTCACTTGCATCTCTCCTGTCCCACCTGGACATTCGACCAACTGACAAGTTTCGCCATTATCTTCAGCTGCGAATTGTAAAAGAGGAGAAAGGAAATGTTCTCTATGCCATCCTATTCGAAGTGGGGCCATGTTGTTGTGATGAAGTGTAGAGATTCTGTAAGCTAAGCTACCAAACGGGAGAGACGTCGTTGCTGATTGTAAAAGTGAAGTAGGTAGTACCTAGTAGCTAAGCGGTAAAAGTAGAGGAAATCAAAGTAGTAGTAGTGGTGAACCGAAGTGAAGGATCGAAGGATCTGACTTTTTCGTATCGGATAAAGCCGGTTTTTCTTGTTCAAATGGAAAGAAGTCAAACTTCCTAGGGGTTATTGACGGTCCTTAGCTTCTTGAAGGTACTCTAATCGCTGGTGGACATTTCATGGACAGCACGATTCCATTCATTCATCTTCATTCTCTTTAACCGAGACTTCAGAACACGAACGTATTATGGCTGACTAGAACTCGTCTCACACTCTTCCTCCTTGTCTCAAACATGTATAGGTCACTTCGAATAAGTTTCTGAGTCAGACCATTTCCCAAGTAATGAACAACTACTATGGACATAAATGCATAAAAGTCTACCCTTATTCTAAGTAATTTTTTTTTCGTACCCCTCCACTCAATCACATCCCCCACATGTTGAAAATATGATGAGCTTTTCCATCATTGTTATAAATAATCTGACCAAACCTCACTCCATCATCTTCATCTTGACTCGTTCCAACACTATCCACCTCCACAGTAGTATCACCAAACCTATCCGGGAAGAACCTGAAGGAATTATACTGTCCCAATTTCTCTCCATGTCTATCTATATCGGTACACCATCTCCAATGTCTTTCCCAATACCTAACTAAACTCATCCTAGGGTTCAGAACTTTTCCTCCTTGACGTTTAGCTATGAATCTCGCATTACCGAAATTTGGTATAGAAAATTCTCCTCTTAACCAAGTAGGTGAAAGCCAGTCGAAATAACCAGAAGCTTGAGAAACTTCTTTATCACCTACTATAGCTAATGGATGTTGCATAGGAACGTAATTGTTTTCACCTCTCCAAGTGACAGGGACGCGTTCACCTATTTTTGGGAGATGAGCAAGTTGGAAATGAGCTAGAATATCGGCTTCCATCATAGCTAAAATACCTTGTTTTCGAGTCGCAGAAATTTGGAGATCACAAAGTAGGTATTTGGTATATTCAGAGTCACTGTTGTGTGGAACAGGAGTGAAAAGTCGATGACCTTCAGAATCGAAGAAACCCAATCGTGCCATACGGTATTTTACGCTGATAAAGTCGATGTCAAGCTGGGGTCAGCTATCAGCTACGTCTTGGTTGGATGATGTCGACATGAAAGCGCCGAGGATGGAAGAATTGTGTGAGAAGTCGACACTCACCTCATCTCCCTTCATCTTCTTGGAGGAAGATCCAGCTTCTACAGATGCGGGTCTCTTGCCAGCTACTCCAGGCTCTGTTTTAACCTCCACCGGCTCCGTTTTCACACCCGATTCAATTTTCACGTCATTCGACTCTTCCATCTTGACGTCTTCTGGTTCCACCTTAACATCTACCGATTCCATCTTAACATCTTCCGGTTCCTTTTTCACATCGATAATCTCTTGTTTAACTTCACTTTCCACTTTGACCTTGGTTTCTAGTTCCTGTTCCTTCTCCGGTTCTTCCCACCTCCAACCCCTGCCTAATTCTTCATCCGCTTCTTTTAAAAACTCCTCCCATTTCGCGCGATATCCCAAAGCCCCTCGTTCCCTGATCTTCTTCACCTTCCTCATTTTCTCCCAAGTCAACTTTTCCATGTTCTTGAGGATCTCTCCATTGTGCACTTTGAGCCAATCCCCCCACATGGTATCGAGATTAAGGTTATACATGAGATCTTCTATCTCTTTTGTGGGTTCTGTAGGATCTCTCCTTTCGGAATCATCGTCTTTCCTGGGTGGCATCGTTTGGTTTACATGAGCTTTCATTATTTTCATAGCTTCTTGTTCTGATGCCGGAGCGGGAAGACCGTAAAGTACGCATTGAGCCCAAAAGAAAGGGGGTGGTTGAAAGGGGTCGACCTGTTTTTGCCAATTCTAAACCGTTAGTATCTATCTTGACCTTCTTGGTGACAATCTCTCGATGTCATGATCCACCTTGACGATGACCCCAATAATTTACTAGACAGTGACTGAATGAAGATGAAAGTCAACTTACATTGGCCAACTCCTTATTCTTCTTCCTAGGAGGATCTTTGAACATCTTTTTGATTTTATCCGTCGTCGCTCTGAAAATCGTAATTTGTTCTCCTTCTCCCCAGAGGTATGTACTCTTATCAGAGTATCTTTCCCATTTCTCCAAACCTTTCTTCATGTCCCCCGTTACACCAGCTTTCAACTCTGCGAGTTTTTCAGGAGGTAAAGCCACACCCATACAATCCCTTTCAGGAGTCATTTTCCTCACCATGAAATTTGGGAATTTACGGAATGTAAAGCCGTTAAGCTGTCCTTCGAGGTAAGGCGGGTTAGGTTTGGGTACATCGGGAGGAGGGACGACGACGAATGGAGGAATAACTTCATAAGGTTCCAATTCGAAATCATCTTCTGGTTCTTGAGCTGGGTTGGGACCGCCAGGGGGTTGAGGAGGAGGAAAATCAGACACGCCTGAGTCGGTATCGGTGTAGTCGTCGGAATTATCAGACATGTCTGAGAGTTTGTTGCTACTGACCGATTGTCAGAGATTGGAGAAATCGATTGTTGACCGATTCCAGGAGAATGATGGAGTGAAGAGGTTGAGAAAAGGATGTGGGGGAAGTGAGTTATAGGGCGGGAATTTTTCTAGGGGTGTCTTTGAACTTTCAGGCTAAGTGAAGGGAAATTCGGTCTCGGTCAAATTTGATGTCTTGATCGTTGTCAAGGAAATAAAAGCTTGAGACGATTATGGTAAGGTTGACCGATCGTCGGATATCTGTCTAGCTCGGGACTAGGGCTGTCCCGACGTAAGGAAGCTGACGCACACACACCAGTAGTAGGTGTCAGTGGGAAGTAAGTAGGGGAAGGAGGAGGAGGAGGTGGTGGTGGTGGAATGAAGAAGAGAGCGAGACCGCCGTCCGGAGCGATTCATCAGCCATCATCTTTCTCGTAGTTACCATGTTCACCACCTCTATTCGATCATGACCCATGACCCATGACCCAGAACTCAACTTGGGAACGTCTTGTCACACCTTACCATGACATACTCTTACCTATCTCAAGTGATTCCAGCTGAGATCTTAAAAGCTCTTCCTCAAGAAGCTAGGCTATGTGTTGACAACTTACGATCCCATCGTGCATCTCCGAATTCCGGGTGAGTCCTCAAGTATCATAACCGCTTCAGACTCTATCCTCGAGTGACAGGTGACTGAGACTAGATACGATACGATCCGACAGGCTGCTGTCTTAGTGGCCGTATTCGTCAAGCCTGGAAGGAAAGATTTATCTGTACTTTTGACTACCCGAGCAAAGACTTTGAGGTCGGTTAACTTCTTGATCGAATCTGTCCCTAGAGAGTTGTAATTACTCATGTTCCTTCTCTTCATCATCTGTTTGATCGCTTGAGTCACTCACGTCTCGACGGATCGATGACCTTGGAATAAGGTTATGACCAAAGAGAATTCTCATTGACGGAAGCAGGAGGACGACTGACGAAATAGAAGAAATCCTAATCAGACAGTAAGTATACCATACTCCTCATGTTCAACTTACTATACTCATTCATGATCATCTGCCTGAGGGAGAAAAGCTGATATAAAAGGCATTACCAGGTGGTAAAGTAGATCCTGAAGATCCATCTCCATTTCATACAGCTGTATGTTTCTTCTCATGATCAGAACGTTCATTGATAAGATAGAGACGGGAAGCATATGAAGAAGTCGGACTTCCATTATCAAATGAAGGAATTTGGTATTTAACAACTTTGGAACCTGTCTTAACCATCTTGCCATTGAATGCGCATTTGAGAAATCATATAGTAGTCACTCGTCAGTCTATCCATCCATCTCTTCCGGAGTCACCATCCATAATATAAGTAGAGCCGAATTCTTATCATACGCAAAGGATAAACGAGGCCGTTTAACTTTCTCCACATACTTGTCAGGATGAGTGCTACCCCTTTCGACATACTTTGGAGAAAGAATGTCACCCCATGACGTGTCCCATCGTAGCATGAGACAATGAGTCGAGCTAAGTAATAGCTATCGTTTGTTTCATATCTGACTATAAAATTATCAATTCTCTCCGACCAAACCTAGAAGAAGTCGATATGATCTTTGACCATCCTCTTCGGGCATGTATAGGAGATATGTCATCTGACGATTTGGAGGGTTTGGTAGATAAACAAACAGAGTATTGGCCACATGATGAGGATTTTCACGTACGTATCATCTCCCCTCTCCCCTCTCTCCTCAGCTCCTCAACTCTCAACCATCTCGACATGTGCCGTTTCAGTCGATTGTGGAAGAGGCGCTGATCAACAGGAAGCAGATGATCGAATAGGGGTGAGTCGCCAAAAGGTCGAATGGATAATACTGATGTCTAGGTCACGGGGGCTTATCGTATGCATGTGAGTCAACGATCACTTGTCCATCCTTCATCCTTCCAACTGGTGTAACCCCTCTTCCGGACGCACATGAAGCTTCGTCAGATATAGCCAAAGCGTGGACCTGGACAACATGTTTAGACTGCATAGCTGAGAAATTAGCGATTTCGAACTCGACATACCCCCATCAAAGGTCTCACATCGGATGTGTAAGTTGTGACTAGTTTAGGGAAGGTCCATATGATCTGATATATTAGCTTGATCCGAACCGCTATGGTGGCATATGATAAAGAACCTTCTTTCAGATTATTAGCCCCTTCTCAACCTTCGTTCGCCGACGCCGTAGCTTACGTCGTGCGTGAGCTGCCGCGTGCAGTGGAATCGCAAGGGGAAACGAGGGTGTTGGAATGGGGCAGAGTTGGACAAACCCCTATGCGATCAGGGGAAACGTATGCGATGGCATGAATCATGTTCCCGCTTGCGGAGGTAGAATAATCATGAAAGAGCTTTCCCAGTAATCTGTCATCAAGTGTCAGAGATGTAAGCAAATCTTTAAGAATATGATGATCCCCCTTTATGAGAGTAATTGAATGAAAGAAAGATATGTCTATTGACACATAAGAAGATACATATGAGGTCATCCGACTCAGAGCGCGATCAAAGCAAGAAACCATAGTCAGGAGAGAATGGAAGACATAGGTGTATGATCATTCTTCCATGACCACCTCTTCTTCTTGCCCATCCCACCAAGAAACAACCCCAAGACCCGATTCGGCAATGGAAGCCTGACATCAGTACTGTCACCGTCCTAGTAAGTGTATCATGTCCACGTGTATGTGAAGCGTGAAGAAAGGATGACGGGGGGACGAGACAACTCACAAGAACTTTCATTCCTGCTCGATCTATAGGATCTTTTTGAGGAGGCAATTCTCCCAGTTCGTTCGGTGGTGGTGGAGGTCGGATATCTTGCCATTCGATACTGTCTACTCTGAACCGAACGGGTTCGCCAATATCTATATATAATCGTTCTTCCGTGAGCTCGACTCTAGTCGTAGTCGCTGTCAAGGTGGAATGTGTGATATCGTAAATGCCTTCGTGACGAAAATGAGGGTGTGTGTCGTTGATATGACAAATTGAAGGTGTGTCATCGATGTGACACGAACAACGTGTGTATTGTGAAGAGGGGACGTGAAGAATGTGGTATGTACAATAATGACTCACGAGTATATATAGTATTGAGAAGTTCTATTTGACTATAGACACGATCGTCCTCATCGGAATACCAAAACCATTTGTTTTCATCTTGATCGCTGTCGATCAGTATCTCACCTGCACACATGGTAAATCCGTCCACTACATAGACGCAAAAGAGGGGTCCAGTAGGGTCCAATGAAGCAGGAAGCAGTATATGAAATTGGAAGAAAGTAACTTACAAAGCCGAATTTGGTGGTAAGAAAGCTGGTAAGATATAAACATCTCTGAAGAAACCAAGAGATACTGGAGTATCAGCACACACCTCCCTTTTCCATTTATTCTAAATCTCTCATCATTGCACTTTCAATCCACATACATGACATCAGTTCAGCGAGATGTAAGGAATGTGCATATTGATTGGGAGGTAGTAGAAAAGGAGAAACATGGCTCACTTCGTATATACTTTTTACTAGAACTCAACACTTTCCCCACTATGATCTCACTTATGAATGGTGAAAAAAGCATTAATCGGAATGAGACTGATGATCAGCTCGGGAATCAATGACCTTCCAGTGGATTTACCTTTGTAGTACATCAAACCATTTCCCCAGGTCACTTTTCCATCTTCGGCAGTGAGGATATCCCATACTGACAGACCGAGACCTTTTTGGGAGACGAGTTTGTTGGAATACCTATGAATCAGTAATGACCATTTTTCACATATGATACTAATTCAGTCTATATTCAGCCGTTGGACTGAAGATTGGAGGTGAAGGTAAGATAGATTATCAACTCACTTTCTGTTGATAGCATCTTTGATAGTTATGTGGGGAGGGAGGGCGAAGGCTTTTGGAGGGACGGGTATGGTGTCCTATCAACATGAGCCTGAACTTTTCAGTAGAGAAGAAATAACAAACCTTGACGGCTACAAGAATGAACATGTTCCCTGTCGCTATTGACTGCTATCTGCAGACCATGAGTGTACCTACAGTACGATTAGAAGATGGCCAAAAGTTGGTGAGTTAGGCTGCAAGAAACCTACTCCGCATACTTGCTTACGTAAAGATTTTCTCTGCGGAGATTGCTACCATGTCCTTCCAACATGACGCACTCCCCCATCCACAACTCCTTCCTCTGAACTCCCACCCCTTGACATTTCAACCATCATGTCAAGATAACATTCCCCCAGTATCCCCGATCATGACCCTCGTTCACTCTCCAACGTCTTTCTTGGTCTCTCCCCCTTCCCATCCCCAATCATTTCCGACTTCCGCCTCGTCCAGATCTTCCCTCCCTTCTCCAAGTTCACCCTTGGTCAAATCAATCCAAGGTCTTCTCGTTCCCACCGATCGACCTCTCGAAGAGTTGGAAGAGAAATGGCTCCCTCGACTCGGAAAGCTGAAGGTTGATCGTGAGGTTGTTCTTCCTGGTTATTCTTTGTATCTTTTGCGATCGTGGTAAGTCGTCTCCGGACACGTTAACCGGCGTACAGTATTGCTCATGTAATCAGGTTCTTATCCCGGACACATTGGACGCAGACCATTGTCACCCAAACAGGTAAACCGACCGAACATGTCAGTAGACCTCGCCTGTGGGAACGGAACTGATGTTAGATAACGGCTTATGTCCTGATACCGGATCCCCAACTATCGGTCAACGTCGGCAAATTGGAGCTCGATACGGCCACTCAGTTACTGGCAAGTGAGACGAAATCTATACCTCGGAAAGTGAGTTATATCAAAAGTTGGAGGAAGTGTACTTATGAAAGACTGAATATGGAACTCTTCTCGTCACTACTCCCTCGGCATTTGGACAAGATGTGTAAGCTCAAATCTCTGCGAATTGAACACATGTTAAGCTCAGTTCCTCCATCACAGCGGGGGATCTTCGTGTGGCACGACCATATATCACCCTTGCTACTGGCTTGCGAAGGTTAGGATGTGGTGGTCGAGCGGCCATTGGTATGGAGTTCCCAGTGTGAGTTTACCCTACTCGTTGTCTTTCTACCTTGAGGGCGACGCTGACATTCGTAGTCCAGCAATAAGACGGAAGTTTTACGATTTATATCGTGTACCCTTCCCCAGCAGTTCATCCACTTCCCAAGCTCCATCACCTACCGGATCACCCACCACCGCTCAGAGCAGTCCCAATCCCCTTCACTCAGGGGTACACATTGAAAATGAACCTTTTTACCTCTCAGTCATCGAGCTCATCAAGCTCATTCAGGGCGCTTTGGCCATATGGGGCTTGTTTGCCACTGAGAGGGACGATCTGGAGATGAACGGTCTCTTCTGTGATGAGACTAAAGCAGGTATCTTCCGATGGAGGAGTTTAATGGGGATGGACACTGAAGATTCATTGAAACTAGAAGTGAGTCACTGAAGTGCTCCTGGGGTAACAAGACTGATCTTGTAGAAAGAGACATCCGGAGGGTGTATCGATCCCAAAACCTTGTCCGCATTACTTAGTTCTGTCACTAGCGTTCATTATCAGCTGGATGCACTGGGAGTAGAAAAGATACCTAAAGATCCGTTTACTCATGTCCGGCGATTCCTCAATGTATGGGAAGGGTATCAGGTGGGCTTCATTCTCAAGAATTACCGATCAGTGACACGGACTGATGCCCAGATTGGTCTTGGTCGAACGAGCAATAATCCCCGTTATTTGAGTGTATCTGCCATACGACATCTCCGCACTCAGTATCATAACGAACGTACTCGACCTACAGACGCATTCAAAGCCCCTCTAAACTTCCTGTCAGGAGTGGCACATGCAACGTCATCTCTATCTGCCAATCTCAAGGGTCAAGACGATCTATCTTTGCGTCGGAGAGAACATCGCGTCAGATCTCCAGACGACGATGAACGCTTGGGAGGCATGCAACTGATCGTCCCTGAAGGTCAGGTGGGTCATTCGGCCCCGCCCGACGTCATAACCACGGACCTCGAGGCGTACACGCGGTCTCTGATCAAGACGAAAGAAAAAGATTGGGGATTGCTCGGAGCCCGGCGGATAGCAGAATTGTGGAACGGGAGCTTCACGGAACACGATCATAAGAAACGGAACGGTTTCGATAGGGTGTTTCGACAGCGACAAGCCAGTAAGCTTATTTCTGACGACGACGGGGAGACGAGCGGTGGAGGGACCAGAGGTGCGCTGAAGGGTTTGTCGAATAGGACAGGCCAGGCGATCAAGGAAAGTCTGAGTTTAGTTGGTAGGAGAGGTGGTGAAACTTCTGACTCGGAGCCGGGAGGTGGTGGTTCTTCCAGTATGCGACACGTTTTATCAAAATCGAGACAGAGTACTGTACCCACGGTCATCGAACCGTGCGTCTTCCCATTGTCTCCCCTGCATTCATTCTACTTCCCACTGCACTTGGTCACGGCATACCTTGTACCGTCTAGCTCACAAGGGAGACTCAAGCTAACCCCAAGTGATGTCGAAGAAGTAGACGAACAGCTCAGATATCATAGTCGATCACCCAGCCCCTTCATCGCGAGACGTAGTACCCTCGATCTCCCCAATGGCTCTCTCCGACCTTCATTCCAAAACGGAACATCACGAGCAGGATCAAAACGTCCCAGTCTCAGTACGGCTTTGTCAAACGACGGATCTGACATGATGAGCAGGAGAAGTTATGCTACCATGGCGACGGACGGACGGAGTCCTGATGAGAGATGGGATATGGAAAGGGCCAAAGTCTTGGGACTCTCGCGGAGTTTATCGAGCAGAGCGGCTTTTCACGCTCGGGGTAGAGCTTTACACAGAACGGCGAGTGATGGGGCTGATGTGAAAGTGGGAAAGGACGGGAATGAGTGGGAAGTTGTTAATCCACATGGAAGGGGAAAGAGAGAGATGATTTCTGTAGAGGATGGCGAGGTCGCGAGGTTGAAACGACGGTGAGCAGTGTCTTATTCACTGTCATGCACGCCTCTGTCATGTGAGAAGCGCGGGGAAATAGAAGAAGGAGGCTGATTTACAGTGCATCCTTGCAGAATATGTCGGATTATGCCACAGTCAGACTATCCCCACCGTGAGTGATTCGAGTAGGAAATGATGCATGCTGACGATAGTGAACACTTGGATATAGATGTGCAATTATGTGGGACTGTGCTTGAATTACGACAACGTGAGAGGCTCTTGTCTAGAAAAGCGAAGGAGATCAAGGTATGTGGAATCGTTGTTGATATCCCTGTTCTCCTTCCTCCTAATCCAGTCTGGTCTCAGTCTGGTCTGCTCCCGTGCCACCTTATCCCACAGTACTCTACCCAATCCCTCTTCTGCCCTGACAGCGAAACCTCCTTGGGCCCTTGTTTGTTCCCACATACACCATTTCTATTCACTTCTCACCCATTGGAACCTTCTCACGCCCAGGCGCTGGAAGAGACAGTCTTTGCCGCATCACAAGACGTCATCTCCGCCATTCAATCCCGGCGACAGACCCTGATCACTCTAAAGGCGCAATATGACCAATTCCAACAGGCCTTACGTCAAACGTTAGAGGGAGTGGATGAAGATGCCCAGTTACAATGGGCCAGTAAAAAGATTCAATTCTACTTGAGCGAGGATACGAACAATTACGAGGTCATGTGGAACCTCTACGCCTTGGAAAGAGATTGGGAAAAGGCGCGGACAGAAACGAATGGAAGGCGACGAGTAGAGAATGGGAATCAGGTGAAAGATACTTCGGAGGAGACGAAGAAGAGGTATGTTATCAATGAAGAAACGCCGATATTGAATATGAACGGAGGTTTGGATATTTCACAGGTCAAGGAGAAGGGAAAGAGTTGGTGGAGATTCGGTTGGTAATGTTGTAGCTATATTCTTTGCATTTTGTCAGGATTGTTGACTTTTGACGTGACTGGGGTTGAGAGAGGGGATTGGAGTTGTGGTGGTGGAAGAGGATCAGTGACATCGCCTAGACCAAGATTGGCCATGTCGTCTTTTTCCATCAAGCCCCTGAGCGTTAGAGCTTAAGCTGGACGTTTGATCAAATGCAAAGTAAGTCACACGGCATCTCATGGTGACTAGGATCTTCAAGATCAGACATTTGTCCTCCTTGATGCTTGTCGTGGTGATGTAGCTGGGAGGTGAGGGAGAAAAGAAAAGGGGAGGAGGGGGAGAACAAAGAAAAAGAACAGACGGGAAAGACAATATGACTCACTTTTCCATCCTACATAGTAGATAACGTTTAGATTCAAGTCTACATTGGCCATTATCCGATTGGTTGATCTTGAGACATTGGAGGTATTGTAACATGAAGTTTTTACATTCGCCTAGTAGTCAGCAGTCATCCGTCAGGATTTTCCTCTCCAGCTGTTATAATTCCACAAGCTGGCGATTGCTCTTCCCAATTCGATCACCAGCCACACTTGTGACCGTATACGTCAGGACCAAGATCAGAAGGATTACTTAGAGATGAGGGTTAAGGGTTGGAAGGTTGTTTCAAATAGTAAACGAAGAGAGAGAAAGTTACAAGGGAAAGATAAAATAGAAGACGGAGGAAAAGACAAACAACATACCATCATGATCCAATGGGAAAGAACCTCTATCAGGAGGAGAAACTTTTAAAGCTGCTGCGAAACCACCAGGACGACCGAAGGACATGCTGTATCCCCTCTACCCCTATACCTCTATATCCCCCTTCTATCTCTGACGTAGCTTATCTTGGGATTTTGTTGACGTTCAAATACTTATCTTGAAACGTCTAGATCCTTCCCAGAAGTATTTGTTTCAAAGATGATTGGAATGTGTGATGGGGAGATGTTGAAGTGAAAGTGAAAGTGAGCTTCTCTCCTCGCCCGATCGGGCCGGGAAGAACCGGAAGGAAAGGATTTCCTTCTTCTACCATCCCAACTATGTAGTCTCCACTTTCTACCTCTCTTGTATTCTGTGTCTTTCTCCGTCCAATCACCTAGGCAAGGATTAGAAAAGCATAGAGAAAGGATGAGTTCTTTCGTACGTACTGGACGTAAGGTATGTCTCATCCTCATTCTTACTATTAAACCTTCCTCCGTTAAATACCTGGACGCTGTCGTTTCATACCTTGTCCGATGACCGATAATCATCATCCTTAGCTGAAGTCCATCTTGTGGGTAGAGAGGTAAAGAGAGAAGAAGAAGGGACCTCGCTGAATACCTAAGATAGTAGCTATAGGTAGAAATTACGCTGCACATGCCAAAGAACTAGGAAACGCAGTACCAAAAGAACCATTCTTTTTCTTGAAACCGACTAGTTCGTATATCCAACCAGGGGAAGGTGTTGTTGAACTTCCCCGAGGGACTGTGGTGCATCATGAAGGTGGGTTCGAAGCCAACCTTGTATTCTTTCTCAGACCTATAATCCTTCTTCGCCTTTCCCCTTCTTCTCTGTTTCCTATGGCCGACATTCCTCATTGGCGTTGGCCCATCGCATTCCATGGGACTTCATTGGTGGGCGGGGGACCACACATCGCCTCCACGCCTTGCTGTAGATTACTATGGAATATACAGATTGATTCAGACGGGGGATGACTCGGACTGACAGATAGTCGAACTAGGAGTAGTCATCGGTAAACCTGGTCGGGATATCACTCCAGATGCCGCATTTGATCATGTGGCGGGATATGGTAAGTTCAACTTATCATCATAACACCTCACACATCTCAACCCGACTTTCATTGAAGACTCTACAACCCCTAATCTTACTCTCATTCCGTCATTCTTCTTGACAGACAAGTGAAGACATCTGATCATGCGAAGAGAGGGTGAATGTGACCGAGCTTGAGGTGACGGAGATGATTGGAAGAGAGGTCGATTCTGGTGGAGATGAGGTGAAGAGATGGTCATTCTGACGAACAGCCTTGGCGGTGGATATGACAGCTAGAAATATACAAGATGTCGTCAAGGCTAAAGGACTTCCATGGAGTACAGCAAAAGGTTTTGATACTTTTACTCCTATCGGGTTAGTGTGATTCGACTGTTACCCTCCATACCTACCCTCAGAACTTTACATTCCAAACTTTACTTGTATCTCCACATGTCGACCTCACTTGACCTAAGCCGGGGAGATTCCATCTAGGGATACAGCCAGTGATATATTGAAGTGAGAAGTGTCACAAAGTGTTATATCTAAGAACACTGGGACATGATGTGTATTCCCACTTGGCTAATAAAGATGTATTGACAAACTAGACCTTTTATACCTAAATCTTCCATTCCGGATCCAACTCGAGTCGGATTACATTTCTCTTTAGATGGTCAAGTGAAACAATCCGGTTTGACAAATGGAATGATATTTCCTATTCCTCAATTGATCGCTTTCGTTTCTAGTATCATGCGTTTAGAAGTGAGTTTTGGGTTTTATTAATTTTTTCCTCACATACCTTGCTAGCATATTCCTCATCTCATTCATCTCACTTATTTCATCTTCATCATTTCCCTGGTGGAATGAATACTCGACCATAATATCTTCCGCTCCATGATTCGTCGCAATCAAAGGTAGTAAAGCATCATCATCATTATCACTCTTTATCGTATATTCTTACCTAGCGCATGCAGTACAAGTGGAAAGATCATCTGGTACGGTGTGAGATCACTTAGTACGGTGTGAAGAACAAATTACCTATTGTATATCCTACAACTTCACACATGATTTGATCGAGTAATAACAATGATGTGTCATCTCAGGGTTGATAGATTGGTTTTCGAGAAAAAACTGATAGATAGGAAGGAGACCTTTTACTCACTGGTACACCTCCAGGAGTAGGACCTATAAATCCTGGACAAACTTTCAAAGCTACTTTAACTTATCCTGAACTTGATGGACCTATCTTATCTTCTTTCTCTTTCCCTTGTCAGACTCGAGAAGGAGGGTACGAGTTTAAATCTTAAATTTTCAATTTCTTAATTCAATCTTCACCATCCTCTCGAGCGATACTTGTTCTCGTCCTCTCCTCCCCTTGCTCTATCTCCTCCCCCCTCCTTGTGATCTGCCCATCCTCAATCGAAAAATTGTTGTAGCGACCAATGGTGGCGTACACTTCGAATGTCAGAGTCAGCAATAAGAAGAAATGGTCAAAAGTGGTACACCGTAATTATGTCATGGTGAAATGCATCTTGGGGTCATTATGGTTCATTTGATCATCTCCTTCGTGTAAATGTGCTAAAAATGTTATCTACAAAATCTGATTTCTCTTACCCATCAAGACATTATTATTCCCTCCATACATATTCTTCTTCATTCAGTACGTATTCTTCTTCATTGATAATTAGGACATCCAACTTTTCACTCCCCTCCTCGTCAAAACATTCTACCCTTATCCTCTAACTACTCTTTCTAACACAACATTACCGTGTTCCTCCTTATCTCAATGTCCGACATGCTACCTTCAGATCTAACTCGACAGATCACAGATCACTGATAATGATAATGATACAAACCAAAAAACGCCATCGATTCGAATGGATAATAAATAGAGATCAAACTATTGTAGAAGTTGATAAAAACATTGAAGGAATCTTTGGTCTACTTGGAAGTTTTCTACCCCTACTCGAACCACTTGACCTCCTCGATCCGCTTGGACTGGAAGGAACAGATTCCAACGAGTCTGATTTGTTGGAACGAATAGAAGTGATGGAAGAAGTTGATGAAGTGGTAGATAACAAGAGTGATCTTGAAGAATATGAATTAGACATTTTCGTAGGAGATAATTCCGTCATTGGGACATAAGATTCGGTAGAGTAACAAGAAGGTGAAGAATCAATAGGTGAAGAAGATTGAGGTGAAGATGATCGTGATGAGATCGAAGCGAAAGACCAGGAAGATTTCAATGAAATGGGTGAATCTAATTGATTTTCCCTTTCTTCATTCCTTCTTGCTCGATCTACTCTGGAGTGAGATCCCGATGAGGTGGTAGTAGATGAATCTTGTTGGGACCAAGATTGAAGCACCGAATGAGAACTTAACGTATATTCGATAGGTTTTCGAGTAGATACGTATGGAGTTGCTGGTGGACTTGGCATTCTAGGGTATTTCAATTCAGGTGTATAGAAATCATCTGCTGTTCTTTTTTCACTTTTCCTCCCTTGTTCATTCCCATACTCCCGAGGATTTACCTGCTTCATTTCATTCTCAAAGAAAGAATAATTCATATCCGTTCCATCGTTGATCGCATGATAGGAAAATTCCGGTGTTCTCAAATCTGCTGAAAGGGGTGTTCGAGGTTCAGGTGTAAGAGTGGACCGTATGGGTGGAAGTGGGAAAGTGTAAATATCTACTTGTTCGGAAGATTCAGATAAAATTAAATCTTCTTCTCCAGCTTCTAAAATCAACGCTGCGAAAGCTTCTTCCGGTCTAACATTTGAGAATTCTTCCAAGTAGATGGCGGACGATAGAGCACGATGAGCTTGTTGCGCTTTGGACATAGATTGTATACGTGTTGGTTTAGTGTAAGAACGATGAGAGATGGGGTCTGTGATTTCCGCACCTGGTAATAAACCATTCGAGTGTTGAACGATGGGAAGACGGTATTTGGAAGAGAGAGATGTTGGGGAACAAGTCAAGTCAAGATCAAGTCGACGTGGTGGTGGAACGTTTCTTCGGAAAAGAGGACCATCTAGTGACAGAATTGCATGATCGTTTGGTAAGGTGGAAGAACAAGCTAATGCCTCTGCGGAGAATGGATGAGCGGAACGATAAGATGGTGGGAGAGGGAAAGGTCCACATAATTCTTCAGAAGAATTGGGACAGGGTCGAGACCATGGATCAGGTTCGTTGGATGGGTAAGAGAAAGAAGGTCCTGGAGCAAGTTCGAAAGCTGATCCTAGTGATGGAATGGGGTCGGTAGGAGGTGATATGACTTGAATAGGAGGAAGAGTGAAAGATAATGGGGTTGGAAGTGTTTCTCTTGATTTCATAGGCGAAGAAAAAGGATCATCGTCTTCTGTTAAATTCGGAGTGAGAAGTGTATCATCTTCTTGAGTTGTATTGGTTCCAGATGTTTCGTTCGATTCCCAACTTGTTCTTCTTTCATCCCCATCGGCATTCCCATCCCCGTCTGCCGTTGCCTTTTCCTCCTTCACCTTTCCGTCTTTAATTCCCAACCCAATTGTAGTGTGACTATGCAAATCGTCCATCTCCATATCATGTTCTCCTACATCCTGAGGAACATCAAGAGAGTCTGTAGACTCTCTCATGTTATCCGAGTTCCTGTTAGAAGCAGTCGAAGTGTCAAAGTGTTTTTGGGAATTGGAATAGTTCGACAATTCTTCTTCCTCGCAAACGGTGAATAATCCAGAACGAGCAGGTTCGAACATTCTTAAATGACGTTTACGATGTCGACGAGGTTTATAAATCGGTGGTTTAGGTGCTCGACGATGTGGGACAGGAGGAGAAGTAGGTAATATTATATGAGATGATTCAAGGTATAAAGGAAATCGGTTAACAGTCGAGTGATACGAAAATGATTCAAATAAGTTCCGGGTAGTTGAATAGGAAGAGGACCGAGATGAATGGGGTGTGAGAGACATGATTCATATATCTCTCGGGTTTATATGATTTATCTGCGACAATTGTCAGGTGAAAGTCTCTCATTGTGCCGAGTCAGGATAGACGGGAAAGATGACAAGGCGGATTCGTGGATTTGTCGGTGGAATGGGGCAGAGCAGAGCAAGATGGAGGGAAGACGGGTGAAAATATGAGGAATGCGGAGGTGCTCTTTGGAAGGGAAGGAAAACGAAAGTGGGTGTCAAGTGGGTGAGACAAAGTCGTCAGTGGTTGAGAAAAGTGTTTTACGAATCTGGGTGAAAAAAGTTGGGTTTCCCGTACGCTTTTGGGTAATATGACAACCACTTACGATGTCCGGTTTTTTGAAAAGATATTTACCGGCTTGTGGGCTTGAGAGTATATCTTCTGTCCGGTTATAAGATTTGAGATCTGTGAACCGTAATGAAGTTGAGGTCGATGATAAGAAGTATTTGAAGAGATACTGTCACTGTATGTGTTGAATCGATGGGATCGAGTTGGAATAGAGAAACAAGTTGCGTCCCGCGCTATCTAAGTTATATGAATATATATTGTCATACGCGTCAAAAGGGGAACGTGTCAGAGATACAATAGAGCATATCAAGTAAGAAGGACAGGTAATGGGAGAGTGAAATCTTATTGTACGGGTAGTTGAACAATAGGAAAAGTAGGGTTGAATGATAAAAAAGTTGTATGGGGTCAGTGTACCTTTGGATCATTAAGTCTGTGCGTATTTCAACCCTCAACTTGATCATCAGTCCTACTACTACAATACTTATGTAGTCACTTTGGTAACATGCTTCTTTCTCTTGGTTATGCCTCATGTTCTATCTGATCGCTCATCGCCAATCGGGGTAAATCCAACGCTCATCTTGATAATCAGTCTTGTGAAAGAAAAGGAAATCTCGTCAAGAAGAGAGAGAGGCTTATTGTCACAACATTCGGCACATGCAGAAAAAGGGACGACGTTTCAGGTTGTTTACCAACCCTGAAGGTTGAACTTTACTTTTCCCTTATCAACTTACTCTAACTTACCCTAGAGTACTACTTTACCTTTAACCACTCGCTCTACTTACCTGTGCATACCTCATCGCAACATGCGACTTGAAACGTGGGACATGCGATACGAAGAGTCATAAAACTCTATCATAAACACTGATCCGACATACATCATCAACATCAAGACTTGTCTCGAACCCGAAGCATAAATCCGAAATGAACTTCTACCATCCTGCGACCGGCGACCTTGAACCGGCGACCAAGACGATCACCAAAACATGACCACGTACATATATCACTTTTTGCTTCTCACGTTCCCCCACGCCTAGGATGACGATATCATGTTTAGAACCGAACCAAAGTGGTTTCAGACCCCTCATGTTGGCACTTGGCACCGTCATCATATCATCGTATTGACTATACGGTATTCATCCTGGACATACTAATACTGTACCCTTACTTCACCTGATGTTCCGTACTTTATCACCAAATCAATCACATAACTCTATCATCTCTCATAATCTCTCATCGCAGTTGTCATCACGTTTTGATCGATGAACCTCACCCATCAACATCGGAGGTAAGCATTACCCGTCGTCGCTGGCCCTTGGATGAAAGGCGATGTAGGTCCAAGACTCAGGGTGGGATAACCGACAATATCGGCCGTGATACCGATCATGCACTTTGTGTCAGTACATGTTTCGGGCGGGCGGGGATTTGATTCAGATGAGGAAAGTACTGAAGGTGACACTCGAAGGAGGAGTGGGGTGGGAGGAAAACCAGGGGTGGATAGGGTGAGGCTTTCAAGCAATCACAGAATAGTATGATGAGGATTGTCAGGTTTTTTTTTGGCTTATCCCCCCGGATACGATTTCAAGTGTATGGACGAGGAGAGACATGTACAAGGAGAGGATGAGATTAAAAGGAAGGAAGATAGAAATGGAACAGAATGACGGAGTGAAATGGAAGAAAGAGAAAAAAGAAGTAAATTACTCACATTGGCACTACTAACCACATTCTCAGCTCCATCATCATACACCTCCAACTTGAATGATTCATTCAAATAATTCGTCTTCATTCCAAATGGAAAGTTCCTCCAAAACGGTGCCCATCCACCCCATGGATTCAGAGCGTTCAACGCATCGATATGAATCAAAGGAGAAGAAATGACCAACATCATATTGGGTAATTCGGTTGTGGTAGTATTGGGACTTCCGGTAGCGCTCACGCTGGCACTTGGATTCGAGGTTGAACTTGCACTAGAACTTTGAATCGAGGTGGTGCCGGCGATGCTAAGGCTTGAAACTGAGGTTGAAATCGAACTTGAAGCAGTTGAGCTCATGCTAGTTGTAGTGGTCGATGAAGACGGGGGGATCGTACTGGTGGAGATGGATGAGAGTGCTGCGACAGATGAGACGGACGAGGAGGATGACATGGATGAACCAGTGAAACAAGCGCAAGTGCTGATCACGGAGGAAACGGATTGTGACGCTGAAACGGATGCCGATGCTGAACGAGATGTTGAGGTGGATTGTGACGCTGACGCTGGTGCTGATAAGGATGTTGATGCAGACTGTGATGTTGACGCTGATGCCGATAGAGATGTTGAGGTAGACTGTGACGCTGACGCTGACGCTGACGCTGATGCCGATGACGATGCTGCTGCAGACTGTGACGCTGACGTTGATGCCGATAGAGATGTTGAGGTAGACTGTGATGCTGACGCTGACGCTGATGCCGATGACGATGCTGCTGCAGACTGTGACGCTGACGCTGATGCCGATAGGGATGTTGAGGCAGACTGTGACGCTGACGCTGATGCCGATAACGCTGAGGCAGACTGTGATGCTGACGCTGATGCCGATAGAGATGTTGAGGTAGACTGTGACGCTGACGCTGACGCTGATGCCGACGACGATCCCAAGAAACTGGAAGTAACAGAAGGTAACGACAGAGACGAAGAAGCCGATGGAGCTGACGCCGATGTTGAGCTTGGACACGTCGGAGGAGTTATCACAGGTATCGTCCCTCCTGTAGGTACCAGACCACAAGACGCTTTACCGTAAGAGGTAGGAGGAGGGATAGGTAGGTAAGTTTGATAGAAAACTGTCATCCATGGTGAAGAAGGAAGTAATTGATAAATGGAATTTACACCCGTTGAGAATTTTGATTCCATTGTGAAACTACACTATTCCAATCAGTTTTGCTTTCTCTCAATCGTCACTCGCATGATCCCTTCCCACTTGAAAATTGAAAACATAACCACTCTAAATGTGATCACTCAGAACGTCTGAGGACTAACTTTTTATTGGTTTCGGCAGAGTTGATGATGGACGAAAGGGAGGGATAATGATTTGCTACAATTCATGGGGTGTTGAGGGTGCACGGTGAACATTAATTCTCGTATTGAAGAACTAAAGGAGGGAAATTGTGAAAAGAAGTGAAGAAGAAAAAGGATGACTCACTTGTATATCAGGCATTTTAGAAGTCAAAGTTGAAGTTCCACATGTATAAGTTGTATCTTGAAATTGTATCAATGCCTCAGATGCGAAAACATCTCCCACAGCTAGAGGATATGTCCAACCTGGATCAAGACTGATATTATTATATGGTGCTGCTGTACCGAGTATCGCCATAGATAAAGGTGGGTTAAAGACTGGTGTGGTTGCGAGTCCGAGACGAGGTCCACCGGCATCGGGTGTTCCACAACTGAGTGTAGCGCCAGAAGGACCAACTGAGGTAAATGGGAAGAAGAACTGATTTAACGGTGAAGAAGTTTGTAAGTTTACGGCGGCCATATGGGCGGGTTCGCTAGCGAATGGTCCGGGAACTGATAAACCACACTGATGTCAATTAAAGTCCATTCGACATGAACGCATGTTTCGCTCCTACAATAATAGGAAATATCCTAGAATATCTGATGATCATGCCTCTATGACCACGACAGGTTGATTCTGATAGGAGGTAGGAATATAGCAGATGAGGACGAGGGTATGGATAAGAAATTATGGGTGTGTGTATTGACATAAGATTCTGTGTGAAAAGGGAATAAGAAGAGAAATGTGGGTTCAGCAATAAAGAAACAAATAAACTCACAGTATAACTTGTTGTCCCTTTTGCAGAAGTAGCAGTCACCCAAAATTGTTCGGTCGTATAATTGTTTGAAAAACTCAATATCCAATCCAGAGGTCCCTTTCCTCCCCATCCGGCATCAGTCCGAAAAGCATTGACTGTAACTCCTCCTACCGCACTCACCATGACGGGAACGTATGGTGTAGTGGTTGGTGCTGCTCTCTTATCTTCCAGATCAAAATTCCCTGCACTCATCAAGATGGAACTCTTGGAAGGGATGGTGGAGGTTGGTGTCACTCGTTTCTCTTCCAGTTTAGCATGGGTGAGTAGGGTCAAGAGTGCTATCAGTAGTAAATGTAGAAACATATTGGTGGTACCGGACCGATTTGAATTTGAAAAAGTTGACTATCTCACACTTGAGATCGGAGGGAAGTGGCGCCTGGCCAGAAAACAAACAAGCAAAAAATCAGAGCGGAAGATGTTGAAATGAACGATAAGATGATTGTGGAACATTTCTTAGTGTACCAAGGAGATAATGATTGTAGGGGCCGACGGAAAGGGAGCGTAGAAGGGAGATGAATGTGACATGTGAATGGATGAAAGGATAGATAGGACACATGGGGTTACATCCTTTGCAGAGGTGGGTAAGAAGGGGGTACCATCTGGCTTTTTGCGGGTAAGTAGATATGTTACAGATCTCTGCTTGACGCTTGAAGGGAGGTGGGGGGTGTCGTACGGTAGTCGAGACCTGCATGCCTGCATAACCCGGGTAGACCATGGGAAGAAGGTAGAGCGGATCGATTCTCCATCGACGTTATTGTAGTTTGGGAACAAGCTGGCTAACACTACTAGTATGGAATCGATCTCTTGGGTGATATCAAGAAGTACTTAACTTAGTTTGGCAACTTACTTACTCACTGGTGTACTTTTGTTGATGATCCAGTAGCTAGTGATAGATCAATCAATAGAGTTAGTAGTACCTTGATTGGCTGCTATGAAAGTGAAATGTGAAAAATATTCAAAGGCAAAAGTCGAGAAAGATGTCTGATATCCCGAAAATCTACCGTTGACGTTGACTCTCAACCATGACCCAATATATCTCCTCTTCATCTGACATCCTAGGGAAAGACGAACAAGGTTGTAGTTTGTTCAAGATAAGACAATACGAATGTCAACCTCAAGGATATACTGTTACTTGTTGGCCATTAGATAGGATATTCAGACAGTATGTCTTCCCTTCTTCTCTCCCACATCTCCTCTTACCATAATCGCCTATCGCCTAATCTCCCATAATCTTGTCTCTTGTCATCCTTTGATGCTTCTTGAGTCATTCATGTTATATTATCATGATCCTGTTAACCCTTTTCGGAAGGCTCAATCCGAATCATATGCCTTGGCTCCGAGTGTAGAGATAAAAAGCTCAGATCAGATGTGGTCAGAACGCTCCAGCGGTGGAAGTTACCAACGTCGTCCATACCAAAGATGGCAAGGTCAAAGTTGATCCTCTTTTCATGTGAGTCATTCTCGCGCCTCTTTCCTATTCAATCGCGTTCAAAGTCACCCCGTCCATGGTAAGGTAGAGTGACAAGAAGGGAGAGGAGTAAGGAGGGTGATGAAACTGAAAATGTATGAAACTGATCATAGTGCTCATCCACCTCGAGGTAAGAATTGGGCGGATATTCGATAAAACTAGTCTGGGTCATCTTCCCTCCCCCTTCTCAGCATCGCTAGAGTGGTCGCAATGTGCTGGACCATGCTGCATTGCTGCATGCTGCGTCCACGACGAAGCAAGCTAAGAAAAACCAGCATAGACACACCTTCACTGCCCGCCCAAGCCGCATAGCCGCCTACGACACCGGAGCACGTCAACTTGACTGGGAACGCAAGTCCCTGGGTTGGGCATGTGGATGAATCGTCTTTGTCAAATTGCTCAGCGTAAAAACCATAGAAATGCAAAGAATCGAATACGAGTGGTGTCTATCTTCCCCTCCAAATCCCCTCAAGATCCTAATCGTTCCGCTACCAACTCATATATCAAAAACATACACGCAGCATTAGGTACCACTCTAAACATATGAGCTGTCAAACCACCATACAAACCTTTAACACCTTCTTCTTTAATTACCAACCTCAAACATTGTATCAACCCCGTATATCTTTTCTTTCCACCTACATCAGGTTGTCGTAATCTTGTTCGCACCACTTCATGGGGGTAAGTGATCAATGAAGCTACTGCTTTCGCTCCTCCTGAAGCACTCACTATACCCGTTATGTACGCCGCGAGAGATTGTGATTTTGATGAAGGGGGTTTATCAGAATTGAGTCGTTTGAAACGTTCATACAAGACCCATTGAATGACACCTTCTGATACTCCGAGATATGAAGCTGAGAGACCACGGTATAGTCCGCGAAAACCTTCTTGTCGAATGATTTGAAGAGTCATATCTAGTGCTGAGAGACGAGAGGGAGTGATTGAAGATGATGGGGTGGAAGAAGGGAGATGAGGGAGGGCGGCAATGGATTGTATTATGGGTTTTGGTAAGCCGGAAGAGGATGGGATTGGAGAAGGCTGAAGTATAGGGGAAGATGAAGAAGGTTGGATTTTTCGAGCGGATAATTGAAGTCGGGTTTTTACTACCCAGATGGGATTTGTACCTGTTGCAGTGGTGATTCCTTGATGTCAGCAGATCTATTCAACTGACTCTCATAACTACGCTGCTAGACTAATTTCATCTTGTTATGGCATAACATACCACATACACTCCCTACTTAGCAGTGCTGATGGTGGGGAGGGTGGGGGATGAAGTTGGGGGATGAAGAGACAGAGGGTGAAGACATCGAGAGATTGAACCTCACCAGCTATCACAGCCGCACCGAGATGTATCAAGGGACTATCCTCTGCCGTTTGTCCTTCTTTCTCCGTGGGTGCATTAGGAAACCTCTCCGCTAAATATGCTTTACTAGTAGGATAAAAATAAAAGTTGATAGCCCTTTCTCATCAGCTCACTCCTTCCTCTTCAACCTGTGAATTGTGTCCAATCTCGTCTAAAGTAACTCACCTAGCGGGAATTATACCTACTAAACTCGGACCAAGACCTTTATACAATGCTCTCCAACCTTCATCCACTGCTATACGTCTGATCGTATCAGCCAAAAATCTTTCGGTATTCTTTTCCAACCATCTCATTCTAACCCGTCGAAGTCGCTCATCTCTCTTTCCAGCCTGACAATCTGCGTTATGTAGCGAGCCGAATTTCAGATAATAAAGGTTCATTTATGGTTTCTCGATCTCAGAGGGCAGATTGATTTGTGAATTTTGACAGGAAGGAAATCTGAAACTCACCGAATCATATACACTGTATCCACGAAATGCCAAGCTCCTCCTCTCCTGATAGTCTTGGTCGGAAGTGAATCGTGATGTTTGAACATGTCCGATTGAAGTCTAGTCTTGTTCATTCAGCTATGTTCCCATATCAAAATCTCAAATATTTCTAGGAGGAGGAGGACTCCCAAGAAAGTAACTAAGGGCAAGTGACTGACTTTGACAACATCGAATGGAGAAGTCACTATGGCACCTGTCATTCCACCCAGACTACTTGTCAGTCTCGAGGAATACAAATAGACGTGAAATTACCTTCCAGCGGCGGAATGTTTCCATCCTTGTAATTGTTTCTTCTTCTTACTTGGACCGGAAGTTGAAGAGGATGCTAGGTTGTTGTCCGGAGGTACGACGATGGTGGGGGACCAAGAAGTTGAAGATGGGTTACCGGACATGATGCTTTGAGTTCTATAATACTTCCTCTATGTATACCTTCCTACTATATCAACGTTAGAAAAGGAATGAGAGTGATAATGAACAAAAGAGAAAGATGGATGAAATTGAAGAACGGACCGAAAAGAAGGAGTCATGATTTTCGTGCCTGAAAAATCTTCCATCATACCTTTTACTTTGGGAATTTCCTCTCTTTCTTACTTTCTCTCCAACAACTCTTACTACATGAATAGTAATTCAGTATGGACGACGGTATAGAGCTTAATATCGCTCCTCCTTCATCGGGTGATAGGCTCATACGACAACATGTGGGATCAAGCAAAGGAGGACGATGGACGGATAGGTCAGTATTTCTCTTCCGCTGGTGCTTTATGACTAATAGACAGGGTCAAGGCGAAGAGAGAAGCTAGGGATGCTATCAGAAATTTAGTAGTAACTCGGCCTACGACTTCGACAGATATCCGACCTGGAAGTTCTGGTCAACATGGTCCTATCATTTCTACTCAGATTGGCCATCTAGATCAATCCGTCAGACCTTCTGGGTCTTCGAAGATTTTTCAACATCCCCCTTCCTCTCACTCCTCCCACCCACAAGTCCGTCCTGTCGATCAAAGCATTAGACAACCCCAATCTCGGTCTATCTCTTCCTCAGTGGAACATTCGGCTGCAAGATCTCAACAATCGAATGTCCATTCTTCCACGACAATAGTCGACAGAAGAGATTCGACCTCTGGTTCGAGGACAACCAACTTTTCTTCACACCATGTCTCTGCGACTTCCCCACCATCCACCAGACCCAGTCAAGATTCTCATCGTTCACATCCTCAATCTACATCTTCCAAATCTAAAGCACCCCAGATCATCTCCTCGCTCTTCACTTCCAACCCTCTCCCTCGACAACCTACAAAAAGGGAGGAAAACAAGCTCGGAGCACCTTCCAATGCTCCATTAGACACCACTACCTTCTCCGGTCTTGGATTAGATCCAATGTTGGTCCGACACCTAGAAGGTAAATTATCAATCTCGAGACCTACTGCCATTCAACGATCTTCCCTCCCTTACCTACTTTCATCCCCACTGGACATCGATTCTGTCGCAGACATAGACGAAGAGGACCATTCAGCCAAGACTGAGGAAGACAAGGACAAGTTGAGAGATGTTTTCATACAATCTCAAACTGGTTCAGGTAAAACTCTGTCATTCCTTCTACCTATCATACAAACTCTACTCCCTTTGTCAAAATTATCATACATCGATAGATCTATCGGTACTCTGGCCATCATCCTCGCTCCCACTCGAGAATTAGCTCAACAAATATCAAAAGTACTTGAATCTATCCTCGCTCTTTCCCTTTCAACAAATACGGACGATCATTATGCCCGTTGGCTAGTTTCAGGTCTTTTAACAGGTGGATCAACAAGAACACACGAGAAAGCTCGATTAAGAAAAGGTGTACCTATCCTTGTTTCCACCCCTGGGAGATTGTTGGATCATCTTCAAAATACTTCAGCGTTCAAATGTGCTAAAACCATGTTTTTAGTTTTGGATGAAGCGGATCGTTTGATGGATCTCGGATTTGAAGAAACCATCAACGGGATCATCAGAGCTCTAGAAGGGAGACGAAGGATTGAGATAAAGGCTGAAAAGGATAGTGAGGGAGGAGTGATGAAATGGCCTTATTGGTCAAGAGGAAGAAGAACTATTTTATGTTCGGCAACGGTGGATTCGAAGGTTGAGAAATTAGCAGGTGTGGCTTTGAAGGATCCTGTGGTGTTCCGAGCTTCAAACGAGCATACCACTGCTGCGAAAGAGGAATCTAAGAACTCAAGTGGAGTTTCCAAAGGGTCGAAGATGAGCAGGAAGGAAGGGGACAAGAATAGCAAGATAGTCAATATGATTGACGAAGTGGAGAGACTCAAGGAGGAGACCAATAAAGTTGTACTTCCCTTGACGAACGAAGAGAAATTCACACCACCATCTCAATTATCACAGAAATATGTGGTGGTACCTACCAAACTTAGAATGGTCACCCTTGTCGCTTTACTCAGAAGTCTAACGGCTCAGCGCAATGAGGCAGGGACGAAGATCATCGTATTTCTCAGCTCCACGGATGGGGTGGATTATCATTGGAAGCTTCTAGGTGGAGTTAGCATGGACGGCAGTGCTCCTCATACTTCTCCGCTTTCGACTACACCTCATGGACAAGACGACGATGAGGTTGTAGGCGATCCACCTAATCAATCGTCTCCATCTGGCATAACGAAAGAAGTCCCATCGAAACAGAAGAAATCTCAAGCAAAAGAGATAGTCGCCCTGACCAGTCCACTTCTCCCCCACGCACAAGTGTATAGACTTCACGGTTCACTACCACTTCGTACCCGTCTCTCCTCCCTCGCCGCATTTTCCGCTCCATCATCTAATCCCGCCATTCTTCTTGCTACTTCAGTGGCTTCTCGTGGATTGGACTTACCCCTCGTGCGTGCTGTAGTGCAGTACGATTTGCCCACGGAAGGAGGAGCGAACGAATATGTTCATCGAGTAGGTCGGACGGCCCGAGCGGGAAAAGGAGGAGAAGCTTGGGCATTTGTCGGACCTAGTGAAGTGGACTGGGTCAATTGGGTCGAGGGAAAGATGGGTGGGGCGGATGGAAATACTAAAGATGGTGTGAAGGGAGACGTTGGGGAGGTCAAGTTAGGACAGGTTGGAGTGGAAGATGTTCTCAAGAAAGGTTTTGGAGGGAAAGGATATGAATATGAACAGAGAGCTACGGATGCGCAACTCGCTATGGAACGTTGGGTACTAGCGGATGATCAAGTGAGTCATCGTGTCTTATCACACTTCTCAATCCTTTCAGTGCCCTGACATGAATGGAAAGTTGTCTTAGGCTTCATCACATGGATTACTGCTTGGTTCGAATGATCACTCTAGTCGATTGTGTGTCAAAGAATCTTCGCGGTTCACCTGTGAGGCTAAGACGTGATAGAGAGCTGACAAGTAGAACGCCTCCCTGGCCCGTAAAGCGTTCGCTTCATTCGTCCGAGCTTACTCCACTCATCCTACGGAAGAAAAACGTTTCTTCCACCCTAAATCTCTTCATTTAGGACATCTAGCTAAATCTTTCGCATTGAGAGAAGCACCTTCATCTCTCGTTCCATCTACCAATTCCAAACGTTCTTCTGACCCGCGTAAAAGGAAACGAGCAGGATCAGAAGAAGATACCAGCTTCAAACGCTCGTCCGACTCACGTCATAAGAAACAAATAGGGTTCGAGGATGACACCAGCTTCAAACGCCTCTCTGAATCACGTCACAGAAACCAAGCAGGTCAGGATGAGGACAGACATGGTGGGAAAGAGGAAAGCGCTAGGAATGAAACGGAACGAAGAATGTACGAAGCGGTACGGAAAGCCGGAAGGATGAGTAAAGTGGGAGGTGTTATGGGACAATTTTCCAGTAAGGGGATGAACGAGTTTCAGGTGGTGGGTGGGGATGAAGTTGAGAGGATGGTAAGTAGAAAGTAAGGTTGGTGCTGTGGTATAGGCTATGAGACTTGTAGTAACATGCTAGCATCTTTGCATTTCCTCGATTTGGATTGGTTTCCGGCTGAGGACGTTGGTGGACCGCTTTGGGTCAAGCGTGGCTACTCTCAAGATTCCCCATACGGCGGCCTCTTTCTGCCACATATCCTAGTTTGAGACTTTCCTAGGCACTAGAGAGATGGTCAGATCAGTTGCCTCAATGCCATCTGGGACCTCTGAGTAGGGCGAGTCAAGTAAGACTGATAGCTGAATTACGTAGAGAAACGCGAGGTGTAAAGTTGAGATGCCGAGAAGGATCACGTGACTTTCCCTTTATACCACGCGACTTTGAATCTTTCACCTTTTCACATAACAAAGTTCCTGGTCCTGGTCTCTTGCTTGCCTGCCTCCCCTTCCCCTTAACAGTACCCCTTGCTCCCCTCCCTCTCCCCCTATCCCGCTGTATCTCCTCAGCCTCTCTTCATCTCTTCTTACTCCACTCCATTCGTGTTTCTTGTCAAACCTCCACTGTTCTCAAATAGTCCCACATCTGACCCCCATACCCCTTGCCATCACTCGCGTCGTAACACACGCACACAGATCATCCCCTCGTCACTTTGACCCGCCGCGTTTACCCTTGCAATCTCCAAAATCTCCCATTCGATAAACCTCATCCCGCCTCTCATCTATCCTCTCATCTTCTCCTCCTCCTCTACGAGTCTCTTACCTTTCTTTCTCTCTACTGTCGTATCTTGTCTCTCTTCTTATCGATAAATATCCCCATCATGCCAACTATAAAACGAACACGTTCTACCACCCAAGATACTGAAGATAACACAACTCCCACTTCTACCCCTACCCCCACTGTCACTGCCACTTCAACTCCTATAAATCTACGTACACCACGTAGACAAGCCACCCCTAATACAACTTCCACACAAAATGTCATTACCAACCCTGACCATTCTCCCAGACCTATTTTGACGCGTTCAGCGACTATACATCTTTCCACTCGATCCGCGCAATTCACTCATACACGTAGAAATTCTTTACTACACTTACCCGGACCGTCGCGTCAGGGAGGTAATGGTGGAACCTTGACTAGGACACAGTCGACCCCGACTATAGTCAATCCCGCATCCCTCAAATCTGCTCTTACCCCCGGCGGCTCGGGCGGTAGGGGTAAAGGCGATCCTGATGGATCACCATCAGGGGGCGGGTCGAATGGTAGACGGTTTGGGAAAGGTAAAGAAAATATACCCCCTAAGAAAGTGGAAGACGAGAATTCTCAAAGTCAAGGTTCTAGGAAAAGGTTGAGAGTTGGTAGTGTCAGTGGAAGTGTTGTTGGAAGAGGTAGGAGTGGAAGTGTTAATAGTGTGAGAAGTGAATCTACCTGTAAGTCACACGTCCTTAATCATCCTATCTTTGAACGTTTGAAAACACTTGGTCCATGATATGTATGAGGGAAGATCTATTTGGACTCGAGTTGTTCTTAGCAAACGCTGATCTTCTAGCTGGTCGAGCTTCTCTAGGTCCATCTTCATCCTTCACTCGATCCAGTCGTCTACTTTCACCATCACCTTCACCTTCGTCAGCTCCGTCTAATTCGTTGAACTCTTTCGATTCTTTCAGATCTACCGATGATGTGTTCTTCGACAATACACCCACCAAATCTCAGAAACATTCAGTTGTTGCAATGCTCCCCACCCCTCCTCCATCCAGTCCGGCACTCAGTCAAGAGGTTCAACTTACAGCCTCGCGTCTGGAATTGGTCCGTATGCAAAGCACTCCGAGCGTGTCTCCCGTCACTCCCGTCACGCCTGAATCGGAAAGAGAAGACGTGTTCATGGAAGATGCAACTAAGAAGAATCCATACAAAGCGTTGAAGACACTACTACGTCTTTCCGCTGGACAGGACGCATCACTCGAACGTGTCGTCATTGGAAGAGACGAAGAAAAGGCCATCATCAAATCTTACATTACCAATCAGGAAACCAAGGCAATGTACATTTCTGGTCCACCTGGAACAGGCAAGACGGCCACTGTCACTGCCATGGCTCGTGAATTGAGGGAGACTGGATGGAAGGTTTTCGAGTTGGGTTGTATGGGTGTCAAGGTGGCTGATATGTGGCGAAGGTTGGGGGAAGAACTTGAGTGTGATAAGACTGAAGAGGGTGTCCGTGAACATCTTGATCAGTCTTCAAATACGTAAGTCCTTTGTTCAGATGCAGCGATGAGATGCTGACATGTAGTTTGTTGGTACTTGACGAGATTGACTCTCTTCTCCCTCCGGCACCAGCTCTTCCTCCCCCCGCAACCTCTCATCTTCTCACCAAACTCTTTTCGCTCCCATCGAGCACCACCAAGCTTATCGCTATCTCCAACACTCTCGACCTAACCCTACGTGCCAGCCTTCTCCTACCTCAAGGCTCTGAACCCCTTGTTCTACCCTTCAAAGCTTATTCCGCCACCGACATGTCCGCTATCGTTCACTCGCGTCTGTTTCAAGTGGGCGAAAACGGTGTTCAAGCAGATGGCAAAGCTATCGAACTCTTGACTCGTAAAGTCGAAGCTCAGAATGGAGATCTTCGTATGTGTTTAGGTTGTCTCACTTCCGCTGTCACTCAAGCCGAATTGGACTGGTTGAAGAAATGTTCTTCCGCTCCGACGGCCGACGATGTGCCTTTGGTCAAAATCGGTCTATCGCATATCGTTCGAGCATTCAATCAACACACTCAACAACTCCGAGCTGCAGCTGGTTCTTCAGCAGGACTGACCAGTCAAGTAGGACGTAAAATCCGCAGTGTTCAACTACAAGGCAAAATGGTGTTAGTTTCACTCCTCGTCTTTATGGCACGAGCTCGAGCAGGTCTTCAAGGTATACCCACCCCTACCTCGACACCCATTACGATCAATACCCCAATAACCAAATTGGAAACTCTCACCGTTCCGAAACTTTATGCGACATATACCACTTTGTTATCCCATAAAAACAGTCCGTTCCCTCCTTCGGCAGAATCAGACTTTAGGGATTTGTTATCTAATCTCGAAGTTTTAGGATTGATCTCTGTCCCCATGGGAAATTCCATGAGTCGATCAGGATCGGGTCCAGTCAGGGGCAAAGGAGGAAAAGTAGAGTTGTGTGTGAGGGAAGACGAGGTAAGAGAAGGTTTGGGAATAGGAGAAAAGGGGATAAAAGGGTTGGCAGAAGAGGAAGTGACTAGGATTTGGGAGAGAGAACAAGGAAGGATCGAAAGGGTTAAATTGCGTAAAGAGGGGGAATTGTTGTCTCCCATATCGGATTGATCCACCATATCCATAAACCTCTGGCGCACGTACAAGAATCAATGATCGTATGCGGGGATAAATGTACTATGTCAATGGCCCGACGGACGGTAGATGGACGGAAGAGTCGTGTGGTAGTCGGGAAGGATAAGAATTTGAAAGAAAAGATGATTAATGGTCATGATCTTTAATCGGAATGATAACCAGATGACCCCATGTTTTGTTGGATGACCCCTCTCTGAATGGTAGTGAGTTTTACGGTTCGTAGTCATTTTCGATATGCTTTTGATTTAGTTCAAGAAAGGTGTATGCATGCTATGTAATTCTTTGCTTTTTCATAACGTTCATCATCAATTGATACTACTCTCACCACATCCTAAAGCGGACAAAATACTGCCCGCTTCAACCTTATCATTCACCGCTCTTCTTCTCTCCATTTTCCCTCTTACCATCCGGCCCCTTCTCTATATCATCATCACTTGACCCTCCCACTGACATATCGAGTGTGCTGACTCATTCAACTGATCCTTCTTCCTTCCTCTCACCATCCGCCAATTCCCTTACTTGCCCTCAGTAAGCTCTGCTCGGACGTTACCTGAAATATGAAACATCACCTTGACGTGACGAGCATCGACCTCTACCGCTCTGTCTCTGTCTCTGGACCTTGGAGAATCACAAACAACAAACGCTCGATCGCCTTTATCCACGGACCACCGTCTCTGCGACAATGTCAATCTCTCTTTCGCTCGGACGTACCCTCAAACTCTAACAAACTCTAACATCTGTCCTCGAATCGGAAGTAAAGTTCATTGATCAACCTCCACCTCCCATCTCACCTTACACTCTACATTCTCTCGGAGGCTAAAAGTTACCTCGTATTACTCGATCATGGATTTTCCATTCTCCTTCTGAAAACATTATTATTCCTTTGAATATTCTGATCCGCTCTCTCCACCTTTCACTCCCGTCCGTCCGACCCGGGCTCCGCGGTATAAGATCAATCTTTTCAACATTCCCCTTGAAGTTTCATCCCTACCTCCACATCCTTCCCTTTCTCTCTTTTCTCTTGCTTCATGCTCTACATTATACAATCCATAAAGCTGAAACGTCGACTGGATGAAATATTTGACAATCTTTCAAGTTTGACCCTGTTCAAAGGCCTCTTCAAGCCATTCAGGATAAACAAGAAAGATCACCCTATTCAAAGGCCTCGACCATTATCGGAGAGCCATTTGAGATATCCCTGTTCAAAGGCCTCAATCTTTTCAATGGTTCTGTAAACACTTACTAAACGTTTGTGCTTAAGAATGGATGGATGTTAGATATATAACAAACTTTGAGCTTTTTTTTTCTTCTAGGTTTGACTGAGATTCTTCTTCCCCTCTTACTCACATTCTTTTGAATAAATTTTCATTCTTTACAACTTCTTACGCTTTTTTAGATAAAGAGTAGTTATTGTCAAACTAAGAAAGTTTTATTCGTCTTTTCTTCTCAAACCAAAAAAGAGGTGATTAATTATTCAGGCCCTTTTGCCAGGAAGAAGTGGTCTGAACGATTATGTTTGTCACTATCTTATGGTCTTTGATACCCACGCTAGTCGTGGCGTATGACGGAAGGGAAAGGTATTTCTCAGTGTGAGTTTCATTTCTTTTTTTTCGAGATGTCGGATTGGTTTCGTCTACTTTATGAAATACTCTTCTTGAGTTTTTGTAATCGTATTGAAAGAGAGTATCAAGGAGAAAAAATGACGGAAGGAAGGTCGGAGCTAATGATATTCAGTGGAAACCCACAATTCCTCAGAACTAGGATAGATTCAATCGTCTCTCCAAATAAAGTCTCAGGTCACGAACATAATATCGTAGGAGTTAGTAATTTCAACGCTGGTTTGACTTTTGAAGAAGCTCAAAAAGCTTCGGTGAGTATAACTTCCTTATACAACTTGATCCCTACTTTAATCTCGTCCTACTCTCACTCTTATCCTACTCTCATTCTTATTCTTATCGCACTCTCACATTTATCAGTGCCGTATGTTAGGTTGTGATGCGTTCTATTCTTGAGCCCTATTTCGTTTTTGAACTCGGAAACATGCTGATTGATAGTGTACCACCAGCTACATTCAAGCTGATAAGTCTGCATATTGGTTACCTGGATTGTACTAGTAAGTTTATTTTCCTTAGTCCATAAAGTCACACTGATCGTGAGCCAATGGAAAAACGATAGCACTTTCTCCAACATCCAAGGTGATGGTATCGTCACTTATTGGAAATACGCCCAATCCGGTCCTAATGATACTTTCGCAGTCGTACCCGATGATTTTAGGATGGTAGCGGGTAATGTCAGTCGTGATACTTTGGATATACAAGAAGCAAAGAATAATGCGGTTTCCTTCGAATGTATTGGAGATGGTTGGGACTGTGAGTGGGGTCTATCTCTACATTCACACTGTCCTGTTTCCCCTGTTGTGGTCTCTGATAGTTTTGTCGCATATTGGTTGGAAGTCGACGGAGGGCAATATGATTACAACCCAGAGAGGCACACGATTTCACAACATTCATGCTCTTCTTGAAAGAGAATGAAGACAACTAGTCGACATTGACAAAGAGGAATCAACTGACACACAGATAAATTCCCCTACATCCCCGCTGATCTGGAATGCCCTGCGATCCGTTCTCAAGTGAGTCACTAAAATTTGTCCTACAAATCATACGCTCATGTTCAGATCTTTTTTCCCAGCTGTTGGAATGGAAAAGACGCATATCTTTCGGACAATTCACATGTATCATACCCTTTGAATACGGATCAATACGAAGGTGCACCATGTCCTCCCACACATCCTCATCGTATTCCGTCCTTGTTCATGGAAGGTAAGTCATTTTGTGTTTCCCTTGTTCAATCAAGAATCACCTTCCGTGATGTCCCAGACTCTGCTCATACATTGATACGACGATGTGAGCTAAGAAGAAGGAGACGAAGAGCTAATCGTTCAGCATACTATCATCCGAAAGACGCCCTTGGTCCAGATTATGAATGGTATCCTGGTTGCCTTGTCCTGTAAGTCCTTTACATGTCATCTTAGTGAATGTACTGAAGATTTCAGATCTACAGGAGACAACTTTGGTCTGAGTTTCCACGCCGACTGGCAAAATGGTAAGTTTCAGTCACGTATGATGACGCCAACACCCGGCTGACCTCTAGGTTTCCCAAGTGGAATGCTGGTCGATGCTTTCAATCAATGTCAGGATCAGCTGAACGGAACTCCCGTAGGATGCGCGGTGTTTGACGCCAGTATCGATCACGCTGCGGCGGATGGTTGTTATCCAACGGGACAACTAGTGGCTGAGGTGAGTCCCGTTTTGACTTACATTTGTAACACGTTACATCATCCCATAGTCACTGCCCCTCATATCCATCAGCGAGGTCGTCTCCCCTTCTTTCATTCATCTGACTCTGAGGACACATAACCCTTTATACGTCTGGTGAAAACTAGTAGATAGAACTGACGAAATAGCCCGTGGGCCTGAACAAACGTCTACCCAATCTACCTGGCAACAACCCAGTATACAACTCTTCCGCTCTTGCCAACAAACCCAAGATTCCCAGACCGGGTTACGTTGAAACCGCCGTCCTCGTCAATGTTCCCGCAGACAAGAGCGGTACCTGTCAAGGTATCGGTAACAGGGTGTGTACCGATTATGATGGTCCTGTACCCGAATCGAATCAGCCAAACCCAAATGACAACTCTGGAAACAGTTCCACTTCCGCACCTTCATCTTCTTCATCCATGCCTATGGATATGCCCATGCCAAGTGGCTCATCTTCCTCTTCCGCCGCTTCTAACCCCGTCACTTCGAGCTCTGTAGGGATGGGTGGAACACCCGAGGCTATTCAGACAGGTGGAGGTGATGTTTTATTGGCGGGAGGTTCGAGTAGTTCTATGCCGACACCTTCAGGAAATCCAGTAGGAGGTTGCGAAAGGAGACGTAAGAGATCTCGTGGTCGTGCTGTACAAGAGGAATATGATGATTATGATTGGTAATCTGTGTCATTTGTCATGTGTTATTCATAAACCACATATGATACTTCTCGTTAGGAAGAATGTGAATAAGTAAAGATATGAACGGATGGGGACATTTTAAAGTAAAAGATGCATACTGGTTACGCGTCTTTGTTCATCTTTGAAAGACACTTGAAGTTTCAAGGAACCGAACGCTACGTACTAAAGCTTGTCGCTTGTCTCATGTCTCACCTCGTGTCCGCGGTTGTCTCACTTGATTCTTCCCGCCTTCCTTGGCTTTCACCACCAACCACGCGCACGTACTCTATCATGTCGTCACTCTTCCTTGTCTCGGAAACCGGACCCTTTGAACTTTTGAATTTGGAAACCGAGAGACGTCAATGTCAGGGCCTAAGATCCTGAGAGCGATAGAAGGAAAAAGGGGAAATGAGTGAAGAGGGGAAGAGAAGAAGAAGAAGAAGGAGAAAGAGGGTAAACAGGGAAAGAGAAGAAGAAGAGAGTCCCCTCTTTTTCCTCTCATTTTCGGAACATTTTTTCTCTCCCTGAAAATTTCATCGCCTCTACAACAGTACGTTTTTCCATGGTCTGGTGACTTTCCGACGGTGAGAGAGAAGTAAAGAGGGGGTTTCTACTCTAATAAAGAGGTTACATACTTTACTTTGATGTAAATGGACTTCTTTTTTTCTACCTGTTGATTATTCGATTTTTCGTATCTCGATCTTTCTTGTCATTCTCTGATCTCTGATCTCTGATCTCTATCATCCCATCTCCTTTCGCTTTGTTTCAGGTGAATCAATAGGTCTGGCTTTGGCCGTGATCACCGCCGGTTCGTAGATCGTGGTGACAATCAAGACAACACGACAACACGAGAAGTTGATTCAAGTGATTCAAGGTCAGATCATCGCGTGCCGAGAAACACGTCTACCTTCCACGCTTCTTGCTCCATTTCAGCATATCGCGTATACATTCGAATTTGTACTGAAGTACGTCGTCATTCCACTTTCCCCCACTTTTATCTTTCACCGAATATCAAAAAAGTCACAAGATCACCAAGTAACGGATACGAATATCATCCTTGCACTACCAGTACTGTACTCTTTCTCGCATCCCAACACGCCTACAACAAAGGTTTTTACCTTGTACCCATCAATTCAACCCTGAGGCATTCAAGCCATCCGAGGATCTCTTAACGAATCATTAAAAAGCTGTGAAACAAACGATTGACTTTCATACCTTTCCTCTTTACCCTGTGCAGTGTTCACCATATTTCTGCAACCCATGCACCCTATAGGTCGGTAAAGAATTTTACGCCCAAAGTCAATTGGTCAAGATTCAATCACCGGTCAAGGAAAGACATGTCAAGCACAGCTTAAGATAACAATAATCTAACCTACCTACCTACCTGCCTTTTCTTTTTTTTCTATTCTTTACTTGTCCGATCTTCGCCTAATTGACTCAACACGATACACCGTTAGACGGATAGAACGGATAGATAAACGAAAAGTCCATTTATAAACCCTATCTTACAATTACGACGTTCATCTTTCCTTTCTTTTAAAATCAAAATAAATAATCATTGATTCGCCCTTTTCGGTACCTAGCAATCTGGTTGCGTGGTACATTTGTACCTCGAGGTAGGTACGAGTACGTTGGATCTTCAACCGAGCACCGACTCCGATACAATCGTCCCGTCAATCTTCAATCGATACAGTACATCTCACTATCTATCAAATATCCAACTATATAAACTCAAGACACATAAAGAATCATGTCTTCTTCACACATTTCTTTCACACCTGCTCTTCGACCTATTCCGCTTCCTTTTCTAGATCCTCTACCTGAAACATTTGAAGAAACTTTAGTGTTTGAAGAATCAGAAGAATCATTTTCTTCTCTCATGTCAACACAATCTTTTCCTAGGATATCAAGATTACCTCCTGTAGCTACACCGGGAGCTGGTTCGTCAAGTGGTGGAAGGTTCATCTACATCGGTGTGAGATCAGGACATAAGACGGGTGTGTATACCCGTTGGAGAGAAGCTGAACCACAATTGGTGGTGAGTCACCAATATCCCTTTTTGTCCTTGATTCCTCCCTGCAGTGTCATTGCCTTTTTCTCTCCGTCTTGTTCGGGACTTTAGGTGTGTCAGACGGAATGATGGATTGAGTTAGGGAAAAGTCGAAGGGTCAACGGCTTTTGATGGCGAGATGTCAGTTTGACATGCTGTGAGCCTCGAGGACGGAAGGAGATTGCTTGCGAATGGCAGCAAACGACGAGATTATAAATTCAACGGGTCCATCGGTAACGGTCCGAATGACGGCAACGGTATCATGTCCCTCCTTTGAATCGTTCCGATCTAAACCCCTTCGTCACCCGTTACACCGTAGCGCGGTTTCTTATCTCTCACAAGCCCCGGGGTCCGTGGGTTACGGGACACGAGGTCTAGATTCATATAAGTTATGTCTAAACTCCCTTTGCTGACAACCAAGGGTCATCCTGAACCATCATACAAAACATTTTCTACGCGTTTAGCTGCTCAAGCCTACGTCTTAGGCTGGGAAGGAGCAGGTCGTCATTCCCTTCCTGTGAGTCTTTCCTCTTGTCCCAGAATCGTACCTTTCCCTTTGAGGCGTTTAATGGTTTGAGGCGTTTAGCGTTTCGTCATTTGAGGATCTCTTCTTTTTCTTCAAAAACTTGATTAACTTTATCCTATAATGCTGAGGCCCCATGCTGATCATTCAGGGTCATTGTCCACGACCTTTATTAGAATACCTGGCTATGAGCTTCCCAAACTCTGTCACCCTTCCTTCTTCCAAGAGACCTTCTTATCACGCCCGACTTCTCTCCGCACCTTCTCTCCCCAGGACATCCGAGTCGTCCGATTTCTCACCTTCCTCACGCCCACCATTCCGTCAATCGAGATCTTACGATAGTCGAGTTCGCGTTTCCAGTCCACTCCGATGGGAAGTAGATGAAGAACCTACTTTCAGACCACGTGCAACCACTAGCGTAATTGGCGCTGGTGGTTTATTGAGTCCTCCCGCTAGCCCAAATGGGAAAACTAGTATTATGGATCGGGAAAGACCTTTGAAACCTAAGAATACATTGGAAATTGGTCAATGGGCATCTTTGGACCATCGAGAATTTACTACTTCACGTTCGACTCGGTTACTCAGTCCACCAACATCGCCTCCTGCAATAACAACTTCGACCACGTCAATGAAAGATAAACGTCGTTCGACTAATGTAACTTCATCACCATTATGGTCCACTCCTAAACCATCCACACCAAAACCAAAACCAACATCAACACCCACTCATAGTCCCTTGGCTCAACCTCATCCTCAAGCAATACGAATAACAACCGATCCGACTGAAGGTATACCAACAGGAAAGACGGCTCCTAAATTCTCTCGATCAGGAATCAAAAGATCAAATGTCGTAATGCCTATCGCAGCTCCTAAATCGTCTTTAACAAAGAAACCATCACGTTCATCTCTTTCACTTTCTTCGAATACATCATCAACTTCACTATCTCGACCTTCACTTTCAAGAGACGCATCACAAGATCGTTTGTCTACTCTTTCCGAAACGTCAAGAAAAGAACTTCAACTAAATGCTGAAGGTTTAATGGCGTTGGATTCACTTTTAACTCCACCTCGACCTGCGTTCATGAGACGTACCACTTCTAATTCTTCTTTGACATCGGATTCCTCCATGTGTTCACTCACTTCCGGTAGTTCCGCCCCCACATCAAGTTTCGAATCTTGTACTGTTATAGAAGAGGAAGAGGGGGTTGTGGTAGTTGATGGGACATGTACAAAAAGTGAGGGAGATTTGGAAAACACCAGCAGTGTGGAGAGTGGGTCAACCAAGGGTTCTATAGTCATGGGTTCGGTAGAGATGGGAGGGAAGAAAGGTGGAATGTTTAAAAGGTTATCAAAGGTTTTAAAATTGGATAAGAAGAGGGATATGAGGGAGTTGAGAAGACCAAGTATTTGATGGTGATGTCTGTTCAAAGATGGAAATCATTCTCTGCACGATTTCGGGGTAGAAATTGGCAATCGTGATGAGATCGATCTTGCTGATCGCGGATCGCGGAGTGGGAACGAACTCTGGTCACCCCGGTAGAAGCGGCTTTCGAGTGAGATGAGTATAAACGTGGCTCGACAGTATTCGTACTAGTCTTTGATTTCTATCGGATCATTTGCAAATAGTGAGAATCTAAGGACAATCTATCAATTTCAATCTGTTCCTTCCCATCATGACATTGTACTTGTAGTATGGTTGTAATTTGATTACCTTGCATCTATACCATGGCCCATGGCTTGAATACGAGTATGTGATAGTGATGTGGTAGTCCGAAGTTCACGCTAGGCTTTGAACCCTTCTAAGCCTTCGGTGATGGTTGACTCGGGAGCTATTTTCTCCCAATGAGTAGCAAAAGCCGGATGTACCGAGGGGGGAGGGGAGGAGGTGAGGATGAGGGGGAGACACCCAAGTGACGCGGTCGATGATTCAGGGACAGATGAGATGACTGTGGTCATACGGTTGTCCCATTAATAAGCGAGTTTTACAACGCCGAGGATGACACATGTTCCTGTACACCGTAGGCCACAATGATCCAATGATTCAATGATTCAATGACCCACGGCCCACGGTCTACGAGTCAAGAAGATTGAACGAAGCATGTGAGAATAAGAACATGAAAGAGGATTAGTCAACTTTTTTTCATATACATTGATCCGTTTAACTCGCTCTTCCTTCATCCTCTTCCTGCCGTAATTGATATCCCCCTCCTTCACAATCACATAGCCTATCAATCATCGTCCAAACTCTTCTCTGTCAATCATACCGTGCAACGTTGTGAATAACATACAAGTCCACTTGCCACTTGATACTCTTCAGATACAAATTAGAAGATCACCAACATGCCTAACATTCATACCTTACCACCACCATCCACTTCAGGTCCATCGCTCAAAGAACAAATAGAACAAGGATTAACAAAAACTGAAAAACTGATTCCTGGTGAAAAGGAAGAAGATGAGAAATGGTCGTATAAGAAGACTATACCGACTTTGGTTTTATATGATGAACAAGGGTTGAGGTGAGTAACTATGGCGTGCTTGAAAAAAACAACACATCCTTTAGATTTCCTTTTACGAATACCTCCCACCTCCCCAACCAAGTCTGACTTGTATTGTTCTTTACTTTACTCCTTGTTCTTCTCAATCTCATCTTACCTCTTCTTCCCCGCTTACCTCTTCCTCCCCTCTTCCTTCTCTCATCCCCTCTCTCCCGGACATAAAGCTCACTCCCGGGAGCTACGATAGTATGACAAGTATCAAGTAATCATGGTCCGGACTTGTCGGATCACGCAGGCCTACTGTACCTATAGGCCAGAGCTCATCATAGACTTTATGACAAGATCACTTCCCACGCACCGGAATATTATCTTTTCGAAGATGAACTTTCGCTCCTCAAAGATCACGGTGATGAGATCGCTCGAGCCATGGGATTCCCGGGGAAAAGTGATGAAGAAGAAGAAAGACGTTATCGTGAGAATGAAAGAGCTCCGGAGAAGAGATGGAGACCTGCTAGATGGGGTGATACGGAGGTCGGAAAGTGGAACAACGGGGTGAATGGGGAAGAAGGTTTAGGTGGTGGATGGCAAAAAGGATGGGATGTTGTTGAATTAGGCGCTGGGTAAGTGATCTTTTACTCTCATCACTCAGTAGTCCCTCTCCATCCTTGGCTGCGAAAGATATCTATGCAGTTGCAAGTACAAGCTCTTCCGACCTTGTCGCAGGTCTAAAAACTGCAACCTGTGTCAACTTCCCACGGAACCCTCTAACTTCTAGGGCTTTGCGAAAAACGGCACATCTTCTAACTGCTCTATCGTCCGCCCTTCCTAATCCACCCGCCAATGCGGCATCCCTACCCCCACCGATCACTTACCACCCTCTCGATCTCTCCCGACCCGAACTCAACCGGGTCCTGGAGGAAATGCAAACCGTCTTCGGACCTCAACTCGAGGGTAAAGTCGCCTGTATTGGTCTTCATGGAGACTACGACGCTGGACTCGACTTGATCCGTCAGGGAAAACTCGGAAAACTTCGTTCCCCCACCCAACATAATCATATCTTACAAAATCTAGACTTGACGCCTCATGTCCCAGACGTCGAGATCGTCCTTCACGCTAAAGATGATCTTCTCTCCTATACCAAGGATTTAAACCTCGAAGAGGAATCCTCTCTTCCCAGTCCTAGAAGTAGTACTCGTGCCATCACTCCAGGTTTAATAACTTCACCAATGGCTTCGGCGATCACGGATGATACTTCTGACTCCATCTCCCGAACATGGTCGCCGATCGAGGATGATACACCTTCTATCGGTTCGGCGCGGCTCCCGTCCGTCGATACGTCTCCCATATGTGCTCGCCCACTTCACCTCGTGTTCCTCGGCTCATCACTCGGTAATTTCTCTCGTGAAGCCGCAGGACCATTTCTCGCCTCACTGCCTTTGCGCCAAGGAGATACTCTCCTTCTAGGTCTAGACGGTCGACCGGCTCCCGGAAAGGAAGGTAGAACAAAAGTGGAAGTAGCATACAATGATCCTGCTGGTTTCACTAAAGCTTTCGAAGAACATGGTTGGGATGTGGTACGTCAGGAACTAGGTCTGATCGATGATGCAGGGGTTGAGTTTGTGGGGAGATACAACGAGGTTCTAGGTAAGTCTCTCCGTTTTAACAAAGGAAATTCTCCGGATTGTGAAAAAAAAGAAAAAGAAACAGATGTATGATCGACCCAATGGATTCAAAGGATCCCTCCTCCCCCCCTCCTACCTCGCTTGCACCCCCTTGTTGATCGCCGTGGGGATTGGACATCATCCCATCGTTCTTACCCCAGAGTCAGAAAAAAATACGAATAGTCATGGCTGATAGAGATAGGTCGACATGAGGCCTACTTCAAGTCAAAGGATAAACAAATCCTTCATCTTCCTCTAAGTGACAGCGACGTCATACTTGACAAAGGTGAATTGCTCAACATTGAATGGAGCTACAAGGTGAGTATCATCACTTTTCTTTCTTTCTCAACTTCCCATATTCTCATGTCCTTTCCTTTCCTTCATACATCATCGCTTTATACCTTAGCCGCATAGCTAATTCACACCAGTATTCACACCTTGAAGCTTTACAACTGTTCTCTCAATCAAACTTACGAGTCATCAACTCTTGGAAAGCTCCAGAATCTGAATATCGTCTCTGGCTACTCGAACGACCTAACGTACATTTCAACCTCGACATGATCTCGAAACCTGATCCGAATGCCGTCGCAGTGGGGAAAGGTGTACCGTCTTGGGAAGACTGGAATTCTCTATGGAAACTATGGGATCAGTGAGTCATATCTCTGTGGTGATGATGAAACTGAACAGGTAGCATCACGTTGGACATGATCCCTAGTGATATGCTTCACACCAAGCCCATCGATTTGAGACATATTTGTCTTTTCTACCTCGGACACATGTACGTCGTCATATCTCATGTTATAGTTGTTTCTGACTTAGGATAGCCCCACCTTCCTCGATATTCACCTGACGAGGATGACTAATGGGGTACACACGGAGCCCGAACACTTCAAGTACATTTTCGAACGTGGGATAGATCCTGATGTGGAGGATCCCACTAAGGTTCATGTGAGTAGTCTCGCCACAATCACACCAGTCCTCCATTTTTCAATCATACTCTCCCACAGCCTCACGATACGTCACCTCTGACCGAAGCAATGGAGAAATAGGAATGTCGAGGAATATTGACCTTCAGGCCCACTCCGAAGTACCCACAGCACAAGAAGAATGGCCCTCTCTCGATGAGATCCTTGCTTTCAGAGATCGGGTCCGCGCTCGTGTACACGAAATCTATACTCAGCTCGCATCCGGTCAAATGGAGTACTCCCGTCATATCGGTCGTGTACTGTTCATGACTTTTGAACACGAAGCAATGCACGCCGAGACCCTTCTTTACATGCTTATTCAATCGCCTCGAACTCGTCCTCCGACCGCAGTCGCCTTACCTCAATTCTCCGTTCTAGCTCGTCGCTGGACAGCAGAGGCGACTCCCAATAAAGTCGTCACCCTCTCCGGTGGTCTACTACAATATGGACATGACGATTACGAAGCTGATGATGTTAAATATCCCACGAGGGAGGGATGGGAGCAACATGAGTTTGGATGGGATAACGAACATCCTGCCGTCTCCAACCATGTGAAGGGTTTCAAGATCGATTCTTTACCCATCAACAATTCTGATTATCGAACTTTCTTGGAGAAGAAACATCCTGGTGGTATACCAGATGATGCGGCACCGGTCTCTTGGGTCGAAGTCGATGGACAATGGAACGTTCGGACTCTGTATGGACCTGTGGATTTCGACGTGGCGGGATTATGGCCTGTCATGGGAAGTCAGAAGGAATTGAAAGAATTCGCAGAGGCGAAAGGAGGAAGGTTGCCTAGTGAAGTGGAATTGAGGTGGTTTTTGCAAAGTGAACAAGGGCCTAGGATCGCGGGAGAAGGAGCTAATGTGGGGTTCAAGAATTGGCATCCTATCCCGTGAGTTAATCATCTTCTTCTCTCTCCTTGCTCCCCATTATCAAATCCATCACGTCTTTGTCATCCAATTCCTCCCATTCGTGACTTGGGATCGCATGACGTGACTACCTGGTTTGCAAACGGCGAGCTACGTACATTCTGTTTTTCATCCTTGTGCGGAATGAGTCATAGATATTTGAACCGCCTGAGGGGAAGCAAGGAATGGGATGGATACGAACCCGAGCTAATTTCAGTCCCACCAATACGGTGAAAGACTCATCCGGTAGGATCTTACATGGTCATAATGGTGGTGTGTGGGAATGGACCTCGACCGAGTTTGTAGGACACGAAGGGTTTATTCCTTCTGTCATTTACCCAGGTTATTCTGCCGACTTTTTCGATGGAAAGCATTTCGTGGTGGTGAGTTGTTCGTCTGACGTTTGCGTCTTTCGCTCTCTACCGCATGTCTTATCCACCATCCCTTACTTCCTAGATTCACATTCTTCTTCAATTGCTGCCAATCTCCAATCTGACCGTCTGCTGATCTTCACTTCACTTGAAACCTTCTACACTCCGTCTCGTCACTTCTATATCACACTTAGTGTGACTACCAGTCGTACCACATCATTTATCATTTCAGGTAGATTACGATATAAATGCTGACGTTCAGCTCGGTGCATCATACACTACCATCCCACAAATCGCCTCGCGCAAATCTTTCACCAATTGGTATCAAGCAATCTATCGTTATTCCTTCGTCGGCGCTAGGGTAGCGTATGATCTGTGAAGGGGCAAGTTTCATCCGCACATATCTCACCCTGGTTCTTATCCTGTATCTTGAGAATATCCTCTTGAATGTATCTTTCTCATTTGTGAGGTGTTGTTGATATCGGGTCTTGCATCGGGGTGTGAGGTGCAGGTATGAAGGGACCAAGTGTAATCACTGCTCAATGTGAAGATTCGGATTGTATAAGAATGATAAATCTTGACTATGCATTTGCATATTTGTACCATGTGACATCAATCCCGACACTGAAAGTCACATATCAAACAGTGATGGTTATGACAATTGCATAGGGAAACATACTCCAGAATAGACGATGGAACAAATGGATATGCAAAGAAAAGATCTCATGGTTTACAGCTGTGATAAGAAGAGATGTCAATCGGTCATTTGAACATCTTGATCTTTCTTCAAACTGTCCAGTTTTTCCCTTTACGTCAGTTCATCCCGTCTTTCATTATCCCAACTCATCTCAGTACTCTCCTCTCCTTCACCTTCCCTCCTCTCCCCTCTGACAACAAAAAAGCCGAACCGTATATTTACGCTCGACCTACTTCTGTTCACCCAGGATCACGGTGACAATCATTGCAGTACCCGTACCAATACAATACAATCACCAGTATCTCATCTTATGGACAGGAAATGTTTTGTGATGAGAAATGAAAAACGATTTGAATAGAATGTCAAAAATGAAAAAAAAAACACTCACTTTTCTAAATCTCTACTCCTTTCCGTCCATTTATTAGGATGTGTAACACTTTCACCATTACCTAAACCTTCACCTTTCTTAATCCCATGAGTCAATTCAAACACTCTTGTACATGATAAATGATAATGACTATTTTTCACAGAATCCATAATTTCTTTAAAATCGTTTGAAGATTTGTCGAGCGTTGGGTAGGTTGATAATAAGAAAGAAGAAAGTGTTTCAGGTGAGAAATGTCGGAATGGACAACCGTGTGTGTCTTGAGTACCGGGTTGATTTTGAGTTAAGATTTGTTGACAACTGTTGATTGAGTTAGTGAATCCTTGTTCCTTTTTTCTTACTTAAATACACAGTTTGGCGAAAGATGAAGTGAGAAAGGATCAAGTAGGAGATCGACGTGGGGGGTAAGGACGGTTGGACTGGAAGGTAGGTGAGCATGGAGAAGAGGAGGGGAAGGATGAGGGGAAGACAGGAAGACAGGAAGAAGGAAAAGGAGAAAGTAAAAGAGGATGAAGGGGGGGCGGGGGAGGGGGGGACGGGAGCATAGGGGAGGTGGAAGGAGAAGAGATTGAGGAGGAGGGGACAGGAAAGACAGAGAGAAGGGAAAGACAAATACTCAGACTCACCTTCTAGGAGGATAATTAGTACGTTTTCCTTCTTGTCCATAACCATGTCTTATATTATATTTATACTCTTTATTAAATTTATCATCCGACATTGTTGATCCGTACATTTTTCTCCAAAATACAATAGCTTCATCTAAAGGAAGTCCAATCCCCTATCATGTCAACTTTTCGTTTTACTTGTTTACTTCAATCATGAAATCACCATGGACACCCCTGTACATGTTTAAACCTGTTGGTTTTCCATCACCAACATTGAACCTTTTGAGAATACAGGGAATTCACATCTAGATCTAAAGATCAAAGAAGGATGCAAAGAGGTGATTACGTTTACAATGAATAATTGAGATTGACATTGAATGACTAACCTTCAAAAATAAACCTAGTTGTAACCTTCCGAAATGTTTCAAATGTGAATCTCTTTTCAAACGATCGTAAAGATTTCGCATACATGGTGGGAAATGTTTACGTGCGACATCATCAACCATCTCAGCAGTGACTGCGGCGTTATTTTCTGATGGTTGGAAATCGCTTGTACCGATACCGGATAAAAAGCTTGCTGCTAGATGTTCAATGACGGGACCTAGTCGTTCATCTTCGTCTAATCTAGGAAGGTTTTTCGCTGTGATCTAAACTTAGTCATGTTTTCTCATCTTCATCTTCATCTTTCACCTGTATTGTCCTCCTCTTCACACCCGAGACGAAGTGATAGGTCCTCCATATTTACTATCCTCTTCACCATGTCATCTTTCATGTGAAAGCACCCATACTAGCCACCCCTCTTTGACTCGGTGTACATGAGGATGGAACAAAATAGAAGAGCACTGTAGTGACCCTAGGGAAAGAACCCACCTCTAACGCTCGTTCCAGACGCATGGCAAACGCTTGTAGTACTAAAGACAATTGTAAACTCTGTGGAACATACGCCATTCCACCTTTTATAAACACCCTCCTACTTCCCACCAGATCCGGTACTGTCCACCAAGGTACTTTGAACCAACTCTCAACTTTGAAAGTGTCTTCTTTCCCTTGACCCAGACAAGTCCGTAATTGAGAAGCCAAAGACATTTTCTCAGTCTCGTCCACCAATTCCCAGTCGAATTTCAAAGAACGAAGGAAATCAGCTCTTTCGACAAAATCATCAGTCTCGAAACGATGTTTGAACAATGCGACCTCTGATCGAACGAACCGAGCACGTAAGTCCGGACTGAAGGTCAGAGATGAGATATATCGAAATTTTAATAACTCGAAATCACAATCGCTCCACATCTAACCACAGAGCTCGCCCAGGACTTCCTAAGATTTGGGGTGGGGTTAAGAAATGTATGTGGCGCAGGGGGTGGACAAAATACGAACCTTCGACAAAAAGCCAGTCGTAAAACCCAATGTCCAATCTCGTCTTTCCGTCTCTCAGCCTCCAAATCGACATTCCGAGCTGTATTACTTGCAAGAGGTAAATGTTGCTTTAGATACGTAGCGACGGTAGAGGAGAATTGTTGATATGGTAATGACCGATGAGAGAGAGATTCGATATATGACAAAACGCGTAAACGAGCAATAGCAAATGATTCAAATTCATCTATCGTTATGTCCAATGAAGGAGGTTTCGAATAACTGGGTATCAGTAAAGGAGAAAGCAGTGTCATGAGTACTCGCAAGTTAAGTCGATGCCTGTACCGCGAGCTTTGCTCTTGCTCCCCGATGGCGGAATGCCTTTTGTTGAGTTTAACCTCTAGAGCAGCGGAAGATGAACCTGCGGGGATATTATGTCGTGTACTGGGCTTGAACATGTCGAACTTGTATGAGCGATTCTGTTGTCCAAGCTGCGTTTCAAGTGATCATGAGAAAATGAGAAAAGCTACTGTAAATATGTCGCGTCGGACGCGTTCAAAGTGGAGGTGACAAAAGTTGACGTGGATTTATTTTTCCAAACGAAAATGACGTCAATGAGCGAGTTACACTGACTTTTTGCAGTGGAATTCTGAGGCAATTCTCAACAACGACCATGTCTTGGCTCTTGCAAAGCTCTCCCCCAGGTTACGCAGACGAACAGCTATCTTTTCATCTCTCTTCTCTCTCCACTCTACCCCTCTCACAGTCTTCCGACCTTGTCATCGCAGAGCAGGAGTTTCATCCCTCTCCCGCACTTCAAGTCGCCCTGCATGATCTGTCTTCTGGCCCAGTCACACATACTCGACTCATTGATATTCTCAAATCTCTCGAGTCATCCGATGGCAGCTCTACCAATGGACTCAATCCAGCAGATCAATCGGCTCAAGCGGAAGCTGTGACCCGAGCGGTAACCATGGTGTGGAAAGAGGTGTTGCAGATGTATGTGCATGGGGCATTGCAACTTGAGGAGGAGAGGATTTGGTGGGATTCCGTTCTCTCAAGTAGGCGTGGAGTAGCGGTCTACCTTGTGCAAAGTGAGTCAACTCTAACCCTACGTAGTCGCTTCCCACAACTAATCATCAAGCCCTACCTCACCGGATCTTCAGGCTTTTACCCCCCGTCTCGTCCATGTCCCTACAGTCGCTACACAGTCTCCAGTGGCCTTCATTGACCAGCCTGTACAGACCAATTCAACCCTCTCCATCAGCCGCTCTGAACGCTATCACCTCGCCGTACCTTCTGACCCGAAGAGAGATGTTGGCATCTCGCAAAGCTCTCGAAACAGCTCGAAACGATGCCGCGAGGAAAGTGGGTGCTCTTGCGTCTCAAGGTCCTCGATGGTCCTCAAAATCAGAAGTGAGCCCTCGGACGTTCACTCCTACTGATATCAATTCGGAAGTCGGACGCATCCATGGACTCATATGTCAAGCTCTCAACATAAGCCTCACGACTTCTACCACCACTAAACGTCCTCGATCATCCACTATCACTCCTCCTTCAAGTGGATTTGTCTCCCAAGTGACTCCCTCTTCTCTTTTAGAAATCCTCACCTCTCACTTACCCCAAGCTCGAGCCGATATCGACGCTATCTTGACCACACATCATCGACCTTCCACTTTGACACGGCTCTGGTTCCCCCTTTTGTTTCTTCCCCCAACCTTGTACTCGGCGGCGTCATTGATCGTACGCAACAAAGAATGGATGAGACAACAAGTACTCAATGCTCGAGAAACAGTGAGGGGGTTCGTCATACAATGGGTATGGGAGCCGTTGGAAGATATAGGAAAGACCATTCGCGGAGGCGGCGAAGGCTTAGGCGTAGCACCTACCACAGTGAGGTCGGATCAGGAGAGTCTGGAGAGAATGGTGATGGACCTAGGGAGGGATTACTATAAGCTCGACGGTTCAGCTTTGCAAGCCTTAGGTGACAAGGTCAGGAATGGTGATATGGAAGAGGTGTTAAGAGTCTACGAGAAAGAGATGCAAGTAAGTACACAAGAATGCCTCTTAATCACTAGCTGACAGAAATAGAGTCCACTGAAGAGTGCATTGTTAGGCAGTCTTATTAGAACACTTCTTATACAGGTGCAGAAAACGAAGGTCAGCTGGATGAACGTTGACAGCGTTCCAAGCTGACGTATATCAGACCGATCTGTCTCTGTCACTACTTTCCCTTGACCATCTGCTACGATCACAACAGCTAACGTTCGCCTTTGTTGGTGTTGCTCCTTCTGTTTTGATCCTCTACGGACTGGGAGGATGGCTGCGTGGAGTATACAGAGGAGAAAAACGAGGTAAGACTCGACGTCGCAGGTATTTCAATGGGATGCGGTCCGTGTCATCCTTATTATTGAGAGGCAGGCAAGCTAAGGATGTAGCGATCTCGAAAGACTACTGATAACATCCCCCAAGTCGGAGGAGAAGATGTCCGACGAGGCACATGGATTGTTGATCGTGTCAGTGAGTGGGATGCGGACTTGGGCAGCGGGGCTGGGCGGAGCAAGTCGAGAAGTGAGTAGCCAACCTTTTTAGAAGACTGGTACTGAGTATACAGGCCTTCTTGGAGGACTTGCGTATGGTGGAGGATACAGAGCTGCTGAGACGAGACAAGCTTAGGGTATTGGATCGTATATGGCGTTGCTGGGGGATTGACGGTCGTCGACAGTGACGGCGGCCTATGCATGAAAATTACCACTTTGGGTAATCAGGTGGAATCCCTGAGTCATTGTCCTGCCGGGACAGACCTCTCCTCTTTGACCCATCACTCTGCCTACCTCACATACCCTTCCATCTCTCGTAAAGGGTGTAAAAATCACCGTGTCACCACTGTGGCGTGACAGCGCGAGCGAGGGAAGAGTGCTCAAAGGGGTGTAAAGTCAAGTATAGACGTTGAGGGATCGGTCCGTTCCGTGTGGTCAGTTGAGCGTCAAGTGGTGTTCACATCCAAGAGCATCCAAAGAGTTCATACAATCGTGAGTGCATCATATGTACAACTACTTGTACTTTTCTCCTCATCACTTGGCTCTTTGTCGACACCAATGATATCTTTTTGCTCTCGACAGGTCAAGGTCTTCTTCCCGTCGTCATGAGACAATATTAATGGATGGTGGCGAGTGATTAGTGATCATCCTACCTACTACCACAACCCTCCATCTTTCCCCCGTGACACATCTTGCAATCACTGACTCAATCAGTAGTCTTAAATCCACTACGTATATCACTGTTATCTTATTCCTTCTCCATCCACCCCTTATCACAACCCTATCTCGACCATTCGCACTCTCGACCATTCACAATCCTACCCGAACCCATCCTTTCATATCCCCTTCCGACGCTTTACTACTCCTTCAACCCATTGTCCACATTTGTACAATTTCATCATCATGGACACATCTACTTATTCTTTCACTTCTCCCAACGAACCAAAATCTCTTCCTAGAACTTCGACCCCTTACAAATCTCATCCACAACCTGGAGGTGGAGGTGGAGCTTGGTATACCCGATTGATATCACCTTTGACCGACACGCGTCAATCTGATACTTCTCCCTTATCCACACCACGTTTATCTCCAGCTCAACTACCTATGCAAGAACAATTCCCTCATCCTCCTGAAATGCCGACTCCAAAACAACCGGATGGAGACTCGAACCAAGGATTTTCAACCGCCTTACTCATCTTTATTCCAATCATGGTCGTCGTTTTGACCGTCCTTCTGGGATTGATTGTCTTTCTAGTGGCCGTGTTGTTTATGCGGAAACGTAGAGGTATAAGATTGACTGAAGATGGTGGACCTTTAGATCTATCAAAAAGTGATGGTGTTATAGGTGAAGGTGGAGTTGATGGAGTTGAAGCTAGATGGTTGGAAAATGTTGAACCTGATGTTAGAGAAGCATATAACAGAGCGAAAGGTATGTTCTCATTTCCTCAAATTGAAAACGAGGGAGAGTTTGACTGATGAGAAAAGATTGGCAAGCACAATATCCACCTGCTTCAATACCTACCGATATCACCCTTTCACAATTTCTATCAATACAAGAGAAAGGTGTATCAGCCTGGTCTTTCGAACCTGATTACGAAGAAAATCTTTCCCTTTACGTTCAAAGTCGTACGGAAATAACCTTTTTAGCCGACGGACCAGGTATGGCCGCACGTGAAGGTGGTGGGAATTCAGTCATGGCTAATTTACCTTTACCGAAATTGAACGAAGTTTATTATTGGGAAGTCAAAATGTACGAAAAACCCGTTTCCACAGAAGTTTCCATCGGATTAGCTACGAAACCATATCCTTCATTCAGATTACCAGGATGGAATAAATATTCAGTTGCTTATTTCGCTTCTGATGGTTTCAAATCACACAATTATCCATTCACAGCTTCTTCCCATGGACCACCTCTAGCGGAAGGTGACGTACTCGGTGTGGGATATAAACCTCGTACAGGAACAGTTTTCTTCACTCGTAATGGAAGAAAAATGGACGATGCTTATTGCGGATTACAACGATTAAATCTTTTTCCTACTATCGGTGCGAATGGTCCTTGTACCGTTCATGTCAACCTTGGTCAAGCTGGTTTTGTATTCATTGAAGCGAATGTTAAGAAATGGGGATTAGCACCAATGACAGGTACATTGGCTCCACCTCCGGCATACGGGAGTGAAAGAGGTAGTATATTATTAGATGCTGGTTATGGTACACCTCATGCTAATCAAGCTCCGACAAATCTAGGTGGTGTAGGAGCTTTATTAGAAGCTGCAAGAGCTAGAGCAAATGTTCAATTCGGTTCATCTATAGGATCATCTCAACATGTTTCATCTCCAGGAGGTTCTATTCATTCTTCTCGTCGTCAACGTTCTATCAAAACTGTTAAACCCGGTTCAGTTCCAGTCAATCCATCACCATTACGTGCCAGTGAAGCTGGTCCTGGCCCAAATACAGTTTCTGGTTCTCGTCGTCGATCAGGTAGAAACTTGGTTTCGGGTACAGGAAACACTTATGTTTCTCCAACGGATACACCACATATATCGACCCGTATTCCATCACCGGACGCATTGGAATATGTTGATTCGGAATCAGAAACGGATGATTCGGTTAGAGGATACGATACGACATCTTCTCATGAAACACAATCACCTATCATGCCACCTAATCCTCCAACACCCAATTTATTGGATATTTCAATGCATTCTCTCAACCCTAGAAATTCGAGACAACATTATTTCGGTGGGAGAGGAACGGGCGAGGAAGTGGTGGAAGATGGTGAAGAAGAGGAAGATGAAAGTGGGGAAAGTGATGAAACTGCTAGACCTCCGAGATTGACTATGGCCGTGTCGTCGGGTAGACAAGGTAGTCCACCTCCTCCGGGATATGCACCATTGGATCCTAATGTTTATTCCGGTGAGTTTGCATTTTACTTCTTTCCTACTGTGTCCCCCCACCTCCACCACCACCTTCTCTTCCTTTCCCTCTCTCATCTCGTCCATGATGGTACATCTTTTAGCTACTCCAGTTCGAGCCATTTGGAATGGACTTGGAGATTTGGTCGGGCCGTCTATCCTGTGTCAGAGATCTATCAACACTCGTTGGATCATCAGTCAATACGTCGAGGAAAGCTTGTGCATCTGGACTTTGGAGCCAAGACGATAGAAGCGAAGGGTTATGTCTGACGGACAGGTGGTCTTCCAGCCGATTTACCAGAAGAAATGATTCATCAAGCCATAGCAGCCATGGGAGGGGATGAGTGAGTTATCCTTGGGTTTTTCATGTTGAAGATTAATCACTCATGGTTCAGTTCCGCAGCAGTTGGCACTCCCCCAACTTCTCAAGGAGAAAGATCATCGTCTGCTGGACCATTAGGATGGCTTTCGTTCGGTTCTCGAAGACCATGAGAAATCGATGTATGATGGAAGTCAAAGGGTAGGGTTGTATATCCGGATCAAAATGTATCGAAGAGAAAGAAAAACCATGCATCATCTGGAATCTAGTCTGTCGCTTTTTAACTTCAATCTTCTATTAAAATTGTACAATTTTCACCAGAAACATTGGTCAAAGATTGACAGTACGAGTACGAGTACTCTTACTCGTATTGTTGAAGGATCAACGTCCAGTGATCTTAGCACTCGTACTCAGACTTGAGGTATATAGAGGTAAACTTTGCCATGCATTTTGGTACAACACGAAAAAAAAGTACAACTTTTGACTTCTCCTTTCTTATACATCCATCCTGATTCCAACCAAGATGAGTCAATGTATGATAAAGATGGGAGAAAAAAGGGAAATGACAATAATGAAACTCAAGGAATATCAAGGAAAACCAGGTAAAGGTCCTCTTGCTAAAGCATCATTCAAAGCGTATAAATAACTACTCCTCCTTGATCTATCCCAATCTTCTAAACCCACCATACCTGATTCAATTGTCCCTTCTTCTTTCCCAATACCAATACCTTTTTCTAAATCTTTTCCTTTACATTTATATATTTGACTCACACGACGTAATTCTAACCCTGTACTTGACCTTCTTATCTCTGTTGAACTAGTTGGAAATGTATCTCTTTCTCTCTCTCCTTTGATATTTTCAAAATTCAAACATTGTAAATCATCTTCTTTGTATGTTCCAGCCCATGGGATATCGACATTTGGAAGATGATTTTGATCAATGATAGAATTAACATCTTTGTTTGTTGGTTTGTCGAGGTTATTGGAGGTAGGAGGTGGATTCATGAGTGTTCCTACTGGAGATGAAGAAGATGAAGATGAAGGTGGAGGGGAATGTGAATGGGAATGATCATTTATACCTAATACCCAACGTAATTCTGGTTTTGGGAAAGAAGATGGTTGTGAGAATTTTGAATCTAAATGATTTTGATTGGAATGTAATACGGGTATGGGAGTTTCTAATGCTTTTTCTTGTGATGGTGTTAATTCGGCGAGATTACGAATAGGTTCAGCTTGTAGGATGTTTTGAACACGTTCACGACTGTTTGTCAATGACTCTTCTTGACATCTCCCCCCGTCTAAGTCAAGATAGGTCACCGTGGTTGGGATGCTGCCTTTTCTCTCCAGGGATTTTTGCCACATGGCGAGATGACAAACCCAGTAGGTATCGCAGATAAGTAGAGGAGAACGAATAGGAGATGGAAAAACGGATGTTGAGGGCAACTCACGAAACTAGAGAATCCATCAATGCGTGAAGATATATTCCAGGACTAATTTGAGAGCAAACTTTGATACTACAACAATTATCATTCGTACTTGACTAGTCATCCCTTTCGAAAAAGATTGTGCGAGTGTCAAAAAGTGTGGAAAAGAATGAAATCCTCAAAAACTCACATTAAGAACCCATGAAATCCTCTGTAATCCGTATACATCTGCAAAGCAATCCCTACTATGAAGATTATGGATAATGCCACTACTGGCAAGAGAGATTCGCCACAGAGGAACACTATTTTTGAAACTGCTTTATTAACTTGGTTCTCTAGTCTCCCCGACTTCACAAGCTCCTAGCACTGACGCTAGCAATTTCGGCCGGGTAGGAGACGAATGAAATGTGAATGGACTTAGGGGGAAAAGATAATCCCTCAAGGTAGAATACTCACTGGCATCATCCATCGCTCGAAAACCATTCCGATGTCGTAAGAGACCATAACAAATGAGTACGCAAAGAAGAACGCTGGCCACTAAATGGTCAACTGAGATACGATGGCAATTGCCAAAAGCAGTAAATCAATCCTTGTCAAAGATGACATGAAATAGAGAGATAAGACTTACCCAGTTGTGTACAAACACTTGCCATCTGTCTTTCAGACAATCATCATCAATAGGGATATAAAAACCTACAAGAATCGGTCGAGCACGAATGGCACGTTCCATCAATGTCGGGCCCCAATATATGACGTCTGATCTGTCCAACTTTCCAAAACTCCATGGATGATACATCCCGTATATTGCACTGATCATCAGCACGACTCCTCTCCTGCGATTCCGATTCCACGGTCAAGAGCGGAAAGGGCGAGCCTTCACTATTCGGATGGAGAAGAGAGCAATTGGCAAGCTTTGTCTATTTTAACATTCACAGTGACTGTGAATATCGGAAGTGACATAAACGAGACGGAGATGCGGGATGTGGTACAATGAAACAAATACTCACAAAACCACACCCAGGACAAAAGTCGGAGTGACCAATATCAAGCATGAAACAAGGACGAGATGACTGCGATCCCAAATTATGTATGCCCTTCGGGTGAAGAATAGCAACACGGGAAAAGTGACCAAGGAGTAGATGAGAATGACGATTTGAGTGAAGAACTAGTTGTCAGGACCAAAGACACAGATACAAATTACAAATTATCCATACGAAGGAAGAGGTCTAAGGAAAGTTCTGACTCACCCAATCGGAGAAGACGTGAGAATAAAAGTCACTGGAATGTCGAATGATGAGAAGGTTTTGGGCTATGCACATTGCCAAGTGAACGATACAGACCAAGGTTATCCATATGACGCCTATTCGGGCCAAACGGGTGTCTCGTTTAGGTTGATAGAAAAAGTGCCATACCTGATATGAGCTTGAAGTCTTATGACCATTGTAAAGACCGAGAGGAAGGTTGCCAAACACATCAACTAACAAGAGAGAGCGTGTGTTTTGAGTGATGGGTGTACTCACCATCTGCATGGAGCTTCCTACTATCAAAGCTTGTACTACGTTTCCGACCGTTGAAGCCTGTGATAAGCTCGATCTTCGGTCTTATCTTGAATACGACCCAGAGCGATACTTAGCTCTTGTGAGGCAGATTGATCGGCCAGTTGCGAGAAGAGATTGACAGCAGGAACTGAATGACAGGGGGAATGAAGAGGAGCAGCAGGATAATGAACAACGCTTGAGTTGAACTCACCAACATCAACTCGCCTACATCATACTGTCTATCAGCGATTCTTCTTCTCTTCACTACCGATAAGAACAAGTCATCAACCAACAACCATCAGTCGCCATACCATTGAGCCCTTCTTTCTGGAGAACTTGAGAGACAACGAAAAGCAACGATGGATAATTAAGGACTCACCACACCGAAATGAGCCAAGATCATGGCCGTATCGTCCGTCTCACCATTGGTGACTTTATACGAACGCATCTCGGCGTTGTACTCAATCACCAATTCCACCAAGTATCGATTTATCGTCCCCTTGTTCCTCCAGTTTCTTTTCGCTATCTTACTCCCCAGACAGCAAGATCTTCACAAAACCGATGGCTGGTCGGGTGATAGCTTGGTCTATGATGAATGAGAAAGGGGTATTCCGTACAGAGAGCTGTGAGTCGATAGATTTGTACAAGAAAGATTAGAGTAAGTGAAAAGTAAACGAGTGATTGAAGAATTACTAGTATATTGACGAAGAAACGAAGAACGTGTCAATCTTCAAATTATCTTTGAGGATCCAAAGTACGATTGATCATCTTGCCATTCTTCAATCCTCTCATCCTCGCCTCATATCTCTCACTGTAGAAGTACCTGGGACATTAGCCAGATCCGATCTTGATTCCAACGAAAGAGTCGTACGTCAATTCATAAAGTCTGGCTAGATACTGGTGGTTTGTCCCTCGTACCTCTCCCCGTGGTGCTCTTTGACCAGGTGCGAGTCGGGTCATGTCGGGGGTTGGGGGAAATGTCACCCTCTTTGGACTGGGCTTTGGGCCGTGAGACATTCATGTTTCCCTTGTACCTTGGTTACTGATTTGTCAGGCTGAGGACCGGAGACGGGTGCAGCTGCAGGTGTAGGTCGAAAGTACAGAGGGGGAGGGAGAACAAGGTTTGAAAAGGGAAGGTAGGGGAAGGGGAGGGATGTGCATTGCCGGATTTGGCAAGTTGTGATTTTTGGTTCCGGTGCCTGTAGATCTTCCGACGGAATCAAGATTGGTCTGTCACCTCTCAACCGGATTTTTACTCTAACACTCTATAGAGTATATGCACTGCACGCGTACGCTGGACTCGTCAGTGGGATACAAGTACTGACTAGAACAAGTTGTTCAGTAAAACAAAGTACGGGAAAAATGTCGCATTGCATATTGCATAGATGATACAAGACAAGATACAAAAATGATATCATGATCTTACAATTGTCCCAGAGAAAATGCCAAATGCCACAGAATATTCGACCAGCGAACATTCCCCTACTCTCATATCTCTACTTCTATCATCTATCATAGTCCGTATTGTTATACTAGCAAGGCATGTATCGTCCGTTGGAATTTTGTCGTAGACTACGTGTCTAATGGACGTTTTTCGTTTTGAGGAAACGTCATAGCGATGTATTCGCCAGACAATCCAATGAGGAGAATTTCCTATTTTTGATCCACCCGAAAAACGTCAATGTCGTCAAGACATAAAATTCGGATTCGTTCTCGTTTCCGTATAATCGACCTTTGATTGGTCTACCCATCATAAGAGACAGATGACAATAGGGATGATAATCCAACAATTTGAGAATCACCATGCCCAATCCCTCTCCCATTCGTTCCAAGGTCCATTCCCACCCCATCGACCAAACATCCATTCCCCGAATACACCTCTAACATCACCCACAGCTTTATCCGGTTGATCATCATTCAAACATGCCATGGCGAGTTCTGGATGACTATCGATAGATGCTAGAGAAGCTTGGAGTTGACGGACAGAATGGATTTGTGAAAATCGAGAAGGAGTAGTTGCTTATTCATCAGTATACGAGTACTCCTTTCATGAAAGCCCAAGTAAAGACGAGAAGACTCACCGTAAACATAAGAATATCTAGATAATAATTTTATACTCCAACGTCTTAAAGAAACTTTTCCTTTCACTTTTCTCTCCCCAGTCCATACATCTTGACCTTGACGAACCACATTTTTCAAAGAGAAATCTGTTTTTTCCCATGATGTGGTGAGTGGTAACATTGGGTCTTCCCTCTCGCACATTTCTTTCTCCTTTTCTCCTTGATTTTTGACGACGGGGAGAATTGGGATTTGGGAGAAGGGAGGAAAGCTTCGAGACCAGTTTCGCCGGAAGCTGCGATCAAAGCATCGATCATACAGTCTCCACATCCCGGTTCGACGAATGCGAGATGAGTGAAAATTTCCGTTGCGGGAAGAGAATCAGTGTTGGTGAGCCAATCGGATGGGAAACATGTAAAGAGGGATAAGTGACATGATTTGGAAGGTTTATCCGGGTCGTGTGGGAGATGACCGTCGAATGAGGCTGTTGTAAGCATCGAGGTAAACATACTTATTATTATGAGGGATAAAGGTCGTGTGTCACGATGTGGATGAGGGAAGGGGTTGAAGGTGAAGGCGACAATGAAGAGAGTAAAAAACTCACAGAAGATATATTCAGAATGTAATGGCATTTCCCATCCTGAATCGTTACTTATACCCTCGATATCTCGCAAAGTCGTTCTATCCCCTCTGAAAATCTCCACTTCCCCATCCTCCTCCAATTTCATCCCATCATTTAAACCCAAAACCCTTTTGACCTCATCTCTAGCACCATCATCCCAAACACCATTCTCCCCACCTAATTTCGCAACCGCCCAAACCCATAACAAAGCTTCTCTCCATCTTTCGATCCTGAGATGAGTGACTAACCAAGCCATTTCCACATCCGCCTCTCCCCTCTTACTCCCTCTCAAACCACGTGTAGACGATACGCTAAGTGCGTGGGAGAACATGATGCTCGCTTCATGTACCAATGCCTTTGAGAGGGATTTTGGCATGTGATGCATGTACATCCTTTCTCTTTTTGGGAATCGGGAAGAGAGAAGGACGCTGGCATGTTGTAATCCTCCCCATTCGCCAGAAGTGGATTTTAGATCGGGTGTGAGGACGGGTCGGACTGTGAGACCTGGGTCTAATCGGATGACTGGACCGAGTAAAGGGTGATGAAAGTCGGATCGTGACATGGGGGAGAGGATGAACATGTCGTCGTTGGAAAGAATGCTGGAGGGTCAGTTGCATTTCTGCCTGTCTGAGTTTGATAAAAGATATATATAAAGAGGGAGAGAGGAAGGAGGAGAGAGAGCAAAGACGAATGAGATGAGTTAAACTCACAAATGATCCGCTAAACCATCTATAAACCCAATCCTAGTTTCAATCTCAAAACTATTAAAATTCGGTAAAGCCAATTCTTTCCATTTCTCCTCACTCTTAAATTCATCTTTCACTTCTTCCGGTAATCTTCCTTGATCCATAGGTAACCTAAAGATTTCCGAATGTAAATGCCATTTCAACCTCATTCCGTCTCGTTCATCCAACCTATTCTCATTCTCATTCCTTTCCCAACTTTCCACCATTATGATATCTTTCGACCGTTTATGTGCAGAAGAAGAAGAAGAAGATGATGATGATGATGTGGATGATACTTGTGATTCCCAATTTAACCAACCTGGTATTTGACCAATTCTACAATTTTCCAATTCAGCTTGATCATCTTCTAAATCTTTACATTTAGCTTGAAAATCCGCCGAAACGACATGTACCTTTCCTAATGATTCTCCAAGTGAAGAGATCCCACTTCTTATCGCTCCTCTTAATTCACCATTTTCTCTCCATCTTTTAGCTCTACCTTTTAATGAAGAAAGACCTTCTACTTCTACTCTTGAATCGAATTCCGCTTGGAATAGTTCTGAACTTCCATTCACGTAAAGATATACCAAATCTATTGGGGGACTTGGGATAGAGGATTTAGGTTTGAATTTACCTTTTGAATAAAAAGATTCGAATAGGTTATAAGATGGACGAAGTAGAGATGTTAAAAGTTGTATTTCAGGAAGAGATGTAGTGAAAGGAAGTATGACATGATAAGGATCTATTTGAATGGAAGAAGATCCTTCCTCTTCAATATCATCGTTTTCGTTTTCATTTTCATTTTCATCTTCATATTCAACTTGCATGCCTGCATTTTCGGTGTATTCTTCTTCTTCTGTTTCTGTTAAAATTGATGTATCGTCCAACGATGGAGATTCTGATGAAGTGAAGGAAAGTCCAGATGAAGAGGAAGGGGAAGAAGAAATAGGATGTGGTAACAGAATAGTATGTTCTCCTTGTACCACAACTACCTTAGATGTGATTTTGAAATCCGAAATGTATATCTCAGAAGAAGGAAGAGAATGTATAATCATTCCATATCCAATTCCAACCACTACGAACCCCATTAAGAAAATCAATATTCTTCTCTTTCTTGAATAACCATATCCTATTGATATTTCAGGAAAAGGGAAAGAACCTTTTTCCGATTCGTCCATTCCTACATTAAGAGGTGTAGAATTGGTTCCTAGAGGAGTTAAATACATTTCCGATCCTGGAGATACAACATGGGAAGATGAGGGAAGTGAAGGTGATAAGAAATGTGAGGAAGGTGAAGGTGAAGGTGATAAGAAATGTGAAGGTGAAGGTGATAGAAGATTTGAAGGTGAATGATTAGATGTTGTTGATAGGCCTAATTGAGATTGATTTGATCTTATGAATCTAGTATGATTCGACATTGTTTCAAGTATTTCACTTGATGAAGTAGGTAATAAAACGTATGGTCGACGTTTTGTTTCTATGGAAGACCATGTTGAACCCATTTTTGAAAAAGAAGCTACGATGAGGGGATAGATAAGACAAAGGTATGCGATGCAGTCACCAGGATATAGGATAGAGGAGAGATAGATATACAAGGGAGATGTGGGGTGAATCGGGATACTTTGTAAGGGGGGGTATCTATTTTGAGAAGAGATGCTACGTAGCTGCTAGCTGCGCGCTGCGAGGAAAGAAAGGGAGTGCGCAGTTTGAAATCCCGATATCATGTGTCACCGACCGAGATCTCAAAGGTGTTGATTTGTCCCAAGTTTTTGAGTTTCAGAAATGTGTATCCTCTATGAAGATGTTTGAAACAGAGTATCGGATGAATAGAGAGTGATCCAGAGGATGTAAAATATGAAAATCATTTTTTGGTGTCCACAAGACATACTCGTGTGACAAGAAAAGCTCAAAGGCGAAAAGGACGGGGGATCCGGGGGTACGGGGGATTACACGCCGACACGGAGTACCGCCTTGGGGTAAGCTCGGTTTTGACCGACTTATATTTAGCCACTTCGCCTCCCAACCGTATTCTCCCTGTCTCGGTTTTACTTTTTTACAGTTTGACCCTCTCACCCCCCACGGTTCACGCGTTTAAGGTACTGTAAGTACCCGGCTTACCTGTCAACCTGACAACTGCTTCATGCTATACATAGTCCATAATTAATCAAATTATACTAGTACAAAACCTATTTATCACTGCTTTGCAAGGCTAGCCTGGACGTAAGTTCCTGAACCATCTATTCCAGCTGTATCCCTCAAACTTACCTCAATTTCATCTTTGTACCTCTGAGCAATGGTAGTCCGGGCGAGTTTCATAGAAGGAGTGAGGAGACCATTCTCGGGAGACCTGTATGTGAGCATTATGCTTCAACCACAGTAACACATACGTGATGAAGGCGTCTGTGCGACGATCAAGGGAAAGGGAAGGACAACGGTGATGTGTGACCAAGAGTATTTTTGACTCACCACTCTTCATCCGTCATAATGACATCCCTCACCCACTCGGCTTTACTCAATCCGGCACGTTGACCAACAGCGAGTAACTGTCCAAGAATGATGTTTACCACTTTTTCATCTTTAGCCCAAGATTGTGGTGTACCGTTACTGGGAAGTTTAGCCGCAGAGAGGTAATTACGTAGGTTACCGTCGTGCTGTTCATCAGCATACATACCATCCTCTCGTCATCTCTGGTCTACCCATACGCTTGCCAAACTTTACAAATTACAAGACACGTCCAGTATACTCCTGAAGACGATAGGAGGCGTGTGTTCATTTGGATCAAGATAATCACTCACAGGATACACGATAGCGATAGGTCGTTCAGCTTGAGGAGGAGCAACGATACAAATCATCATCACGACATCTCACAAATCAATCTCGACTACTTATTCAAGAACAGAATGACTCACCACAAGCTTTGTAAATCGATTCGACTTTGTCTAAAGCAAGATATTCACCGTTTTGCAACTTGACCTGTTTCCATCAGCAATCCATTCAATGACAGATTAAAACTTCACCAGATGCTTGATACGATCAACTATTCGAAGGGTTCCATCAGAAGACCACCTTCCGATATCTCCAGTCTTCAACCATCCATCATCTGTGAAAGCTTCCGCGGTCAATTCAGGTCGGTTGAAATAACCTTTACAGACGTTGGAACCACGAAGCCAAATCTCTCCTTGAGGAGGGTTGACATTGGTAAGATAACCCAACTCAGGAAGAGCTGTATGATCAGTCATCAATCTAGAATACTTTCCACAGGGTAGTAATGACATAGATAACTCAAGATGGATAAAGAAGAGGTGGAGTTACTCACAATGAAGCTTGAGTTCAGTGGATGGACCTAAAGTTCCAACACTTCCAACCGACCATCTATCAGGAGTAGTGATAGTTGACATTCCGCAAGTTTCTGTGAGTCCGTAACCTGATTGTCAAAGCTATTCTTATTCCCACCTTATATACTTTCATTGTCATCACAATGACTCGAGTGATCGAAGCAAAGTCACACAGTCACGCACCTTGCATTATGGGTGCTAATACCGTACTGAGAAATATCTGAGTCGATTCACTCAAAGCTCCACCACCACATACCGTCATTCGAACTCTACCACCTGTCGCTTGCTTGACTCGGCCAAACAAAACTCGATCGATTATTGCGTTGAGTGGCCATGGAAGTGTTTTCTTGCCCCATACAGCAAATGAGAAGACTGTTCCCACGATCGGTCCGGCGTCTGAAATCTTTTTCATCATACCTTTCCTAATGGTCAGTTCGGGATCACCGTTCATACCGTTATATCCTGTCATCAATGATGTAATAGAGGAAAGATATCTGACCGTATCATTTCGAAGACTGCGGGAACTCCGGCGAATAATGTCTGATATGTCAATTGCTATTCTTACAGTGACGCAAAACAAGAAAGCTTACAGGTTTGTAAGCGGCGAAATCACCCTGACAATTACGAACGCTATCATCTAGCAGCGTCTTAACGCTAGCATATGCGAGAGGAACACCAAGAAGGAGGAAGGTGTATTCCAGGAACTATACATCAGATTTGATCTCAATCGCTGTCAGAACTGACCTGTTCAAGGATATGTGCCAAAGGGAGATAAGCCATCAGCAAATCGGACTCTGGTCGGAAGATCGTTTCGAACAGTTTGATACTTCCCGCCACTTTCGTCAACTTCAATCTGACATGATGACTTACATGAAGAGATGACGTTCGCGTTAGACAACATGACACCTTTTGGAGGACCAGTGGAACCTGAGGTGTACATGATACAGAAGAGATCTTCCTCGGTGGGTTTAGGTCCAAGGTCTTCGGCTCTGACTGGTTTGTCCAAGCCCAGTTGCTTGAGAGCTGTGAAAGTGATGATTTTGCCCCCACGAGATTCGACCGTCTTGGAGATTTGCTCCAGCGTGGGCTGATATGTGAGTGAATATTTCTTTCTGAAGATGAGGCTGGGATCTTCGTATACCACTGCCAAGGTATGGATGAGGGTGGAGTATGGAGAAAGCAATGATTTTGGAGCCGGTCATGGAGCGGATTCCAAGAGATACGATGTGACGCATTGGGAATGTGTGAAGAAGAGCCAATGGTATAATGAGCGACCGATATGCTGGAGAGTGGATGGCGGTTGGAGAAGTAGAAGGAAGGAACCACAAGCCTAAATCTTACTCACCGTATCAACCGTTTCCTTGTCATCATAAACCACCCATTTAACCTTTTCAACCTTCTCCAAAACCTTTCCCACCAAATTCAATTGTCCTTCCCCACAGAAAACCAACTCCACCTCCGGTTCTTCGAGACTGACGATCAAACCTTCTTCCCCCAGTGTGGTATAAGCCGTGGTAATAGTATGACCCAACCTGGCGAATGTCTGAGCAATCAATTGCCAATTGAGACATGTATCTGCGTAAATGGATACTCGTGGACGAGAAGGGATGGGAAGAGATGGGTTTGTGAAGCCTAGATTGATGAGACCGGATGTTAAGGTGGTTACTGTTTGATCGAGTTGATTGTAAGTTACGGGTTTAGGTGTGGAGAGTGTGAAGCTGATCAAGTCAGTCTGATTTCATTTCGAGTGTGTCGATAAGAAAAGGTTACGAATATTGAAGAAGAAGAAGAGGAAGAAGGAGGGTAAGGTGAGGAGGATAAGATTATTATTAACTATTTCCAAACTTTTTCTTCTTCTTTTCCATCCCGGTTAACTATCTTGATCTCTTCTACAACCCCAATTACATCTCTATAATAACAAGCAATCTTATCACCATACTTTTTACTCTATTCATCAGTACAATCCACATGTTCAGTCGAATACTGTAGGACATACCGCATATGAGTATATATCACCGACGATCACCACCTCTTCCCCAGCTGGACGTGTTAGTAATTTATCGACGGAAAGATGACATCGTCTTATAGATGGATCTGAGGGGAGTGGTACGCATGCGAGCTCGGACATGATGTGAGACAATGTATAGTCACTGAAATTAAGGTGACTTGAAGTTGAGACTTTGATATCTTTCCCAACATTACGCCCATTCGCCCATTCGCCCATTCGTATCCTCTATCGGAATTCAAACGTCATACCTTTCACTCATCACCTTTAACGATTTAGGGAAAAACCTCGTGGGGGAGTACGTACATGATCGAAGTTCCAAGTACAATCAAGAAAGGGTCCGAACGTTTGGAGATCGAGGCAAGCTTTGTTCGATCTGATACTGTATGTGATAGTTGTACTTCGAGATCAAAAGTTCAGTGGAAAGGTCAGAGTATATAGAGATAATGGTGATTCTCATGAGTCATGAATCAATTGTCACCTATGGGTTTTGGTAAGAGAGTTCGTGCGATCTTGTAAAGGGAGACATAACAGCGTTGCGATGCATAATGATAAAGATGAACGATGAATTGATCAAAAATAGACAAAACCCACTTTTTCTCAAACCTAAACCCCCCACCCGACCTTTTACATCCTACGAATAATCACTATCCGGAATTCTTTCCATCATTATCCCCTTAAACCTTCTCAACCTTACCATCTTTAACAAACCTCTTAAATTCCCTTTCTCCGCTGAAAACTTTTGTCTATCCATAACTTCTTCAACATAATCCGCTTCTGCCCATCTACGCATTTTCAACATAGACATGAGAGTAATGACATATGTATCGTTATTCGGTGTAACACCATCATCCACCATTTTCTTGAATACTTTATATTGTAAACTTTCTTGACCTCTTCTCCAACCTCCTAATGGCCAAGTATTCTTTTGAACATCCATCAAACCTGCTTGTCTTAGAATCATATTATAACCAACTTGATTAAACCTTCTCCCTGATGTTTCCATTCTGCTAACTGCATCCCAACCATCCGCTTCCCAACCTCCGTTGAAATATCCAGAAACCAATGCTGTCCAAGTTTCAACACCAACACGAAGATTATTCTGTTTCATAGCTGATAACAACTGTTCTGCTTTTTCTAAACCTTTAGAATCACCATTCTTGGATAAATCGGCGATTAGAAGAGAACACATTCTTTCGTTTGGTTCAACACCTTGATTATGCATTGCCGTCAATGCTGCTGAAGCTAAATCTACTCGACCGGCACGTAAAAGTCCTTGCATCAGAGTGGTATATGTCACGATATCAGGCTTGAGTGATAGTTCAGATGCGAGATCGAATAAATGAGTCATAGAATCTATATCGGCCATACGAGCGTGATGTCGAAGGACAGTGTTGATAGTGATTATATCACATTTTATCGCTGAATCGTGTTTCGCAGCTTGGTCGAATAAGTTAAGACCTACCATTGGACCGATTTTGGGAATTAAGAATGAAGCAGAGATGACATGATTGAGCATTGCCGTAGGTGGCCAAGGAGCTTCGTCACCGTTTTCAGAATGATAAATCGCTTTACATTGTTCATCGTTGATAAATTCGTTCCATGTTTGTTGAACTTTGTCTAGATCACCATACCGACCCAAACCACGAATGTATATCATGTACATGGCAATATCACGTACTCCACCATTGTCCAACGTCTCTTTCCAAATGGTCCCCAGTCGTTCGAGCGCAGAAGTACGTGAATTGTCTTTGGGCTTCTCGTCATTGAGGGCAGGTCCGAGACTATTCAATGATGAACCTTCTTGAACGATATGAGCCGTCAGGTCGTCAACTTGAGCGCGATGTGCGAGAAGGAGACATTGTATGGATCGAGGTAATGGTCGAGGTGCCATGGTCATCACTTCTTCAATAAGATCTCTCCTAGTTTCTTCACGGTAAGTTCGAACGGTACGAAGGAAGACCCGGAGAAAACGAGTGAGGATTTGATCTCTCAAGTCATCTCGTAATAATTCTGGTGTCGTTTCAGAAGAATTATCTTTATGCTCTGCAGAATGTTGGACGAGTTCCCGAAATCGAGTCCACAATGTCACAAGAGCCGCGAAATCTTTCTTGCCGACGAATCGGGCGAGTAAAGAATCCAGATCGTCGATGGACTGGGGTAAGGGCGTGGTATGGGTCGCAGACGACAAAAGACCTTGTATAGCTTCTGAGTAAGGCTCAGCAGTTGCTTTGCCGGATCTAACAGAGTCATTGATATATTTCTTGATGTCTTCCTCCGGGGGGTATGTGAATTTATGACCACAAGGACCCAATTGTCCAGTTTGACTTCGTAACACCGCCCAAGCAGATGCGATGGGAAGAGGTAATTGTGATCCCGGTCTAGCTATACTGACAACTTTCAATCTCTTATTGAGGACCTGGTACAAGGTAAGAGTTCTACCTGGATCATTGTATTTGGCATGGACTTCGCGAAGTAACCAATTACCAAACGCTTTCGTAACAGCGTCGACATCATCAGGTTTAGATTTGTATTGTTGTGTCATTAGCTGGAGCCAACAATGACCGAGGACATCACCGGTATCTTCCTGTTGATATGGAAGCGGAGGATATCGTGGAACGGATTTGGTCAACGTCAATCCCAACTCTGCGACATGCGGGTTGATGATATGCATCCTTTCTTTCTTCTTGATGAGTCCTTTTGAGATCTGTGCGAGCTTCGGAACATCCGGTGTGGTTTTACTTTTCTCGAGAACATCTAAGAAAACCTTCTTCATGAATTCAAGAGGAGGTATTCGAGGTAATAGTGTGGTGAAACGGGGGGGACGGGAGAGAGTATCAGAAGGGAGCGAAGAGGAAAGAGAAGGTGTGTGGGATGAAGATTCAGGGGAGAGATTGGAGGAGTCGTGAGACGTTTGGAGGGGTGAGTTTCTTTCAGGTGAATGAGAGACGACGAGAGGTTTTTGTGAGGGAAGTCGATTGTCGGTTCTGTCATGTTTGCGGATGAAAGAGGGACGGGTTTGATCTCGAAGACGATAAGATTGTGGGTACGTAGGAGGAGCAGAGTTTCGGTAATCGGAGTGAGTGGATGAATGTTGAAGACCGAACGGTCTTTGAGAATGAGTTCTCGTACTGGTGAACAAACGTCTGGCTGGGATGTTGGGTCGGGTGAAAGGGTAGGGGTAGGAAAGTGGTCGTCTGGACGAAGTCGAAGAGGAATGTGATGGTGGAACGAGTGTCAATTGAGTGAATGACCGAAAAAGAGAATTTAAATGACTATGGGTTGGAGGTAGTGCTGAACATCCTGATTGTAACATGTCTGCGGTCACCCTGTATGGGGCCTGTGGCCTGTGGGTTGTATGGATAGTCGTTGAGGTGATATGTAAGTTTTATACTCTGAGAGATGTTAAACCGAAATTTGCTCGTCATCTCAATTCTTCGACTCTGGAAATTTGCTTCCGTCCTTGCTCACTGAAGTATGTACTATGTTCACCTTCAGCCCCTCTTCCGACTTCTAACTCTACTCTCACTACTCATATTCCGGCTGCAGGGTGGGAGATCATCTCCAAGATGGCACCTCCTACCACAGCCAAAAGACCCTTGGTTAAACCTCCAAAAGTCCGATACTTCAAGAACAAACCTCTAGCCGATGTACCCTCCGACTCTGACGAATCGGGAGATGAAGCTCCTGTTCAGCAAGAACCTATCAAAGTCGATCCGAATTTGGTGGCAGGGGGAGCTGGACGTCTTATTACTTCGAAAGATCTCAAATCTCGACCTCAGATGAAGGTCGCTTTGCGGGATGTGAAGGTGGAAGGGGGAAAGCTTTTGATCGGGGGTGAAGTGGGTAGACCTATGAGACCTCGTGAGTGTGCCTCAGAACATTGAAAGACTCATCGTGAGATACATGCTGATTTGAAGCTGTCAAAAAGGAGGAGGAAGAAGAAGAAGATGAGAGTAGTGAAGAAGAAGAGGAGGAAGAGGATGTTGAACCGGCTCCAGGAGAAGAGGTGAGTACATCGTAAATCCCTTTTCCAACTCTGGATGATTGGTTTTTAGGGACGACGGTGAGATGAAGATTGACTGATCAGCAGTCAAGTGAATACGAAACGGATTCTGAAGAAGAAGAAGAAGTCAAAAAACCTGTATTTAGACCAGTGTTCATCAAGAAAGAGAATAGAGGGATGACACAGGAGAAAGCGGCTGCAATGGCGGAAGAAGCAGCTAGGAAGGAAGAGGAGTTGAGGGAACAGAGAAAGTTGGATAGTAAAGATTTAGCTGGAGAGACCATACGTAGGGAACTAGCAGAGAGTGGGTTTTTTTTTTCCTCCTTATGTTCTTATTTATGCTGCTCTCTTTCCATCTCTCGTATCTCTTGTTTCCTGTGTCCTGTCTTCTTTTCACCCCTCACTCCTCCTTGAATCTGGTCTTCTCTCATCCGCAGGATGTAATCAGAGGTTTATCCTGTATCCCACCTGGCTACTACCTCGAATGGCACCACTACATGCCAAAGACTGTCTTATGAGTCCGAAAGGGAAAGATTTGTCATATCGGTGGTTTGTGACGCAGAAAAGGAATCATATTGACGATTTCAGAAGAAGCGACAGACCTTCAACCCGAAGTGGACGATACAGACGGTCTTGATCCCGCGGCAGAATTTGAAGAATGGAGAGCTCGAGAACTCGCACGTCTATTAAGAGATAAACAAGCTCAAGCTGCTAAAGACGAGGAGAAGGAAGAAATCGAGAGACGAAGGGCTATGCCGGAAGAACAACGTCTTAAGGAAGATTTGGAGTATGCGGAAGCTACGAGAGCGAAGGAAAAAGGTCAAATGGGATTTTTACAGAAATATTATCACAGAGGAGCTTTTCATTTGGTATGTCATCTTCCATGTTCCATCTTTCTTCTATCTATTCTTTTTCTTTTTCTTTCTCTTTCTTCTTTATTTCTGCTTCTACTATCATCATAACGTCTGGATAGGATATTACTTGCGTTGGACGATTTCAAGGTCATGGATGAATATACCTTGATGAAGGGACGGAAGAGAATCAGCTGATTTTGACAGGACGACGATTTGCTCAACAGAGATTATACTTTGGCTACGGAGAATGCTGTGGACATGTCCATGTTACCGAAAGTACTTCAAGTACGAGATTATGGAAAGGTATGTTTCTTTTCATCTCACTCATGATACCTCTCACGTCCCCTGACTTTCACGCGATCAAGCGCGTCGGATCCGGATTGATATTGAGAAACGACACTTACTACGCAGATGTCTCGATCGAAATATACACATTTGGCAGATCAAGATACCTCTCAAGGAGGCTGGGGGACGGCAGCGAGGGCAGGTCCGGCTGTTCCAGGTGCAATGGGCACGAACAATACGGGATGTTGGAATTGTGAGTTTCCCTGCGGATATGTCCCTTTGACTAGACATATTTCTCCTTCTGAAACGTGGAGTGAAGTAAGAATGTGGACAAGCAAGATCGGGGGAGGGACGGCTGACTTTTACTGCTGGGATGAGAACGAGAACGTCACCGCCTGAATCATCACGAGACTGAGGCTTAGGAGAAAGAGGGAGGAAAGACACTAGAGAGAGAACTGACGACCAGGCGGCGGACCTCATTTGCGGAAAGACTGCCCAAACAACAATCTCGACGATCCTATGCGTGGTCTAGGACCTCCCGGTCAAGGAACAAGTGCAAACTCCTCCGCTCTCGGTTATGGAGTTGCCTCTGGGCCTTCAGGACCCGTTGGGGCAAGACGGTATGGAGAAGAGGGTCGGGAGAGGAGGTTCGAAGAGGAACGACGAGCTGATCGAGGGTATTCAAGCCGGAGAGATCATCCAGGAGACCAAGTAGATAGAGGGCCTCAAAGAGGAACCGAGAGGGACAGAGCGAATTACCCAGCTTCTGCGCCAGGGAATGAGAGAGACTGGCGGGATGATTCCACAGGTTATGACGGCAATGATCAGAGAGGTAAGGGAGGGCACCATGACAGATTTCAAGATCATGACAGAGGGTCTGATAGACCTGATAATGGACGACACGATCGAGATGGAAGAGCAAGAGAAGAGAGAAAGGGGGAAAGAAGAAGGAGTAGGAGTCGGAGTCGGAGTCCTCGACGAGAGCGAGATCGTCGACGATAGAGTAATGATCATCATCATAATAAACGACATGCTTTGTCTGATTTGTTCCAACATTGTAGATCAATTGCATACCATCATGATGCCTTTTTTCTTCGTTGAGCCTCGTGATATATTTTGTCATTGAGACCAGCTCGATTCCGTGAGATCTGAAATAAGCAATGTCCGACAATCACAGGCTAAACTTGTCGTTGTGAATCAATCTTACGAAAAGTCCAAAGATCTTTGAGAGTAGTGTAAACTAGAATATGAAGACTCACTTCTATAGCGAAGAATTGAATACGAGTGACCAAAATTGAATTTTCTTCCGAATAAAGTTTTTCTGAATCTTTTCTCACAAGTGTCCCAAAATTATAATCTTTCAACTTTTTTTCATACTATTGATAAGTCATCTCACCTAATTTCCGAGCGATCTAAGAGTTCAAGGGTTAAAGGTGAAGGAGGAAAGAAGGAAAGGAAGGGAAAAACTAACGACTTGTATGAAATGTCTCCATTTTTCTTTCCCATGAGAAGATTTCATTTCATCTTCATCTAAGTTCCTAAGAGCGTCTTCCCATTTATATTCAGGAAAATGAGTTAAGAAATGTTCATGTATTTCGTCATCTATACTGGATATTTTATAAGCCAAGATTAACTATTGCTGATAATTGGTTCGAACGTCCACTTCTATCTAAAGTATCGTGATCATGGGGGGGATGATACTTACGGGGTGAGCTTAAGTTTATTTGGAGGTAAAGAAGTGATAAGTTTTTCATATGTCTATTTGAATCAGCAAGTCGACCATGATGATTCTGATTTTAACGATGATGGAATATATGGAATAATGAGGTGGACACACACCTCGAGATGTTCGACTGTTTTAACGGCGAATTGTTGTTCTATTTCAGCTGCGTTCCCAGCTGTTTCTGGATCGAATGGTTGTGCCATTATGTTGCCTACACTAATTGATCACGACTGTTCTTGTGTAGAATTCTTCTCAAAAGTAGAGTGCGAGTTGTAATTGGAGTGATAAGATCACTTGACAAAGTCATAATGCCAAATCATACCAGATCTGAAACGTGTTCTCCGGCGCTCAGGTCCACACCATCAATAGCTACAACCACGACCACAACTACATACTGTACTCTTACATTCCACTCACCATGACCCTCTTCATCTCCTCTCCCTGCTATTAGTCATTCTACAAGACTGGAAGTCAGCAACAAGATCATTGAAAACATCAAATGTCACACCCTCATTCATATCCATCAACTCATCCCATCCTACCCCCACCTCGTCATCCCTCGCCGCTCGCATTCCCAATCAACATGAATTCCTCCGATCCTACTTTCTCCTCAGCCGGTGAATCTTCTCGATTATCCGCCAGATCAGCCAGAAGTGCAGCTAGCATAGGAAGTGGTGCCAGTTCAGGTACCTCTCAAAGTCTACCTTTACCTCATACCGTTCCGCTCGCCCCTCCGGCACCTATGCCATCAGAAGCAGAAAAATTCTTACCTGTTCGACCTGTCCCGGATTCGCTTCTCTTACGATCTACGTTCTCTTCTCTAGAACACTCAGCTGCGACGCTCAAACGATTGACCAAGGCGGCTTTAGGGGCAGCAAGTGTGGTGAGGTCGCTTCTGGAGCAACTGGAAAGAGCAGAGGACGAGTTGTTTGGAGCTTTAGGAGAACTGGCACAATGGTTGGAAGTTGGGTATGGTGTACAGGGGGGAGTATGGGATGTGAATGAGGGGACGAGAAAAGTCAGGAAAGCGAAAAGGAGGAAAGAGAGGGAAGAGTTGGAAGTTTTGGTAGAGAGGAATGTCGCGGCTGTAAAAGGGGATTTGAAGAGACATGGAGTGGCCAATGGGGCTGCTAGGGTCAAATTTGAGGTGAGCGTCATTCGTTTGTGCGTTGATAAATTTACCCGTGATCGTGTGCCCTTTCAGCTGTACAAGGTGCAAATCAGGTGGAATGAAAGGTGAATTGACCAATGCTCATAGTCAGAACGTCGCCAAGAATTTCTATCACCAAACATCACTATACCTCTCTCCTATACCCGGTTCCCCCACTCCAACTTCGCAATACGCTTCTTCGCCCCATCTAACTCCTCGTCGCGGATCATCTGACCACGCGCAAGCTGCTCGTCTGGCACAATTCGATCTTGCTCGGTATAATCATCATTCCACCCTTCTTTATGCTGTCCCTCCCAGCTCTGTATCCTGTCTCGATCTCCTCGTCTCTCTTTACACATGGGCGTCTAGTGTCTTGAGTGACTCAACTATCACTTCCACTGAACCCCTACAGTTCACCCCTCGTCTAAATGGGTTGTCAGCTGACACCGACAAACAATCTACTAGTCCTCATCCTAACCCCACTTTGCTTCGTCTCACCCTATCTGAGTCTCTTTCCCGGCTCGGTTCCGTCCGGACTGACTTACTCGTCGCATGGGGTCAAAGAGAACACCAAACCACCGACCTCGAACATGCAGTATCGAGTTTGATCCCTCATTCTTATTCTGATGTCTCCCATCTGGATCCTGCGGATGATACCTTCGGTACTTTCTCACCACCTTCTGCCATTTTGTCCAATCACGCCATCGAACATCGTCGACCAAAAAGGATACATAAGCTCCAAAAATCGGTAGGTGGTAGGTTACGAGATTTACTCAATCCCTCTTCCAGCAATTTATCGCTTTCCCAAACGTCCGGAGATACCCCACAAAGATCATCGAGGATGAGTCTGGACAGTGCTTCCTTTCGCCCACGGATGATAGACACTCCCTCCTTTCCTCCGAGATTGTCGACCATCGAAGACTCCCCCACGCGACCTCCATTATTGAACAGGAGGTCGCTTCAGGGGAACGGGGTCAACTACACCTCACCGTTCTTTGTCAACGCCTCTGCTATTGAGGCGAAATCAGTAGCTTCTGGTGTTGGAGGGGTGGGAGGGCTGGACGGGAGGGGCGATGAAGATGCTGAGCGTGAACAAGTCGGGAGGAAAAAGGAGGGAGTACTGTGGGGTGCAGGAAGCTGGGAGGGCTTGAGCAAGACAGGCGGAAAGTCGAAGTGGGAGAGTGAGTACTTTTTTTTTCTTGATACAAAACTTCCTATCTCGCTACGCCGCGTCCCCTTCTCTTCGGAAAAACTTCCGTCAAGGCGAAAAGGATGTGCAGCTGAGTCGGTCAGAATTCTGGGTCGTCCTCGATCATTCGAGGATATACGAATATCGGGACAATGGTATCGAAAAACCTGATTCGGCACATGCTGTGATCGATCTCAAGTTTGCCAGTGTTCGGGAAGGTCGAGGAACGGACAGACGCTTCGTCTTCGAGGTTGTGACCCCGACTCAAGGCCGAAGATTGTATCAAGCTACATCGGAGCAAGAAATGAAGGTGAGCTGTTTCCTCTCTGTCTTTCCATGTCTCCTCCAATCTACTGCTGAGATGTGGCTGACACGTAGCAATGGTTATACGCAATTTGCAACGCTATCGAATCTTGTATCAACGGCACTTCCTCCGTTAGAACATTTGATGCTTCCAAACTGCGTACCGTTTCCGGATCTTTAGATGACCACGCTTTACCCACTCGACCTAAACTCGGATTCCCCAGTATAGGTTTAGGTACCCCAGTTGGTAGACGTTCTCTTCCTCCTCAAACGCCAGTGGAAATACGTAAACGTCAAACAAGTCTCAAAAAGGTATTAAGACAATCCGCCGAGATAGCGGGTCAACAATGGAATAACGTCTCTCAAGCTGTCAACTCCGCAAGATCCGATTCAACTGCTCTTGAATTACCTCGACCAACGTTCCCACAACAACACACTCGGTCTCCGGTTCAAGAAGAAGAAAGATTGACTCCCGTGTCAGAACCAGGGCATTTGTCGATAGGTACGGGAACTAGCGATGGGGCGGGAACGTCACCGAGTAGTAGACCGAGCGATAGGTATAGTTGGTATGATATGAGCGTAGGGGAAGATATCGAGAAACGGGTTTTGGAGATGGCAGGTCTTGGATTGGGGACCGTAGGAGAAAGTCCGGGGAGAAGAGTGAAAAGTGAGAGTCTGGCACATGGTTCTGAAGGAGAAGGGGGAGTGACGAGAAGTAGGTCAGAAGATCTAGAACATTTGGGGAAATCGGAGAAGAGAGTGGGAGATGTGGGGGGTACGAGAAGTATGGAAGGGAGGGAACCGGATATGAAAATGTTACGGGCTATCGCGGCGGAAGAGGGGAATAGTAAATGTGCGGATTGTGGAAAGGGGATGAAGTCCTCTCGTTGGGCTACGATCAGTGAGTGGTTACTATTCTTCTCATCTCTTCGACTCTCCTGTGACCCATTGTTTCTTTTCTCCTCGTCATGTTCAGCTTGCATCTGGCGAGCATCATTTTGTTTCCCACCAGACCCGCCAAGAGCCAAAAATTCGACACACTTGCTAGCTGATTCATTTTGTGAAGTCATATCACCGTCAGACCAATTGACAAGTCTATTTCCTACCCGGGAGCCATTCTCAGAAGATTCGCATCAGAACAAAACTAATGACAGGCTTACGAGATCACCCAATGGTATTGTTCCTCTGCATTCGTTGCGTTGGAATCCATCGTTCACTCGGTACACACATTTCCAAACCTCGATCTGTAGATTTAGACATTTGGACACCTGGTAGTATCCTTCTCGCCGCTGAATGGGGTAATGAGAGGGGTAATGCAGTTTGGGAAAGACGAAAACCTCGTGATTTGATACCGAGTGACGAGTAAGTGAATTCAACATGTCTCTCTCATTCTACCCAGTCCAACGGCCTTTTTCCCGGATCGGTATGAAATTTTCTTCTTTACGAGTTCTCATCTTGTCCGATGGAGGTAGCTGATAGTAGTACAATGCCCGAATGGATCAAACGGAAATACGTTGAAGGGATCTGGCTTTCGGAAGAGGATAGAATACATTTTGGTGTAGCATCAAGACATTCACAAATCGTTTCGCCTCGTTTACATGGACATACTCATGGAAGTGGACATGGTGCGATTACGTGATTCTTTCTGTCTCGTCAGTGATATCATCATACCGGTTGACAAGAGAAATGTTATGCATAATATTTGACGTCTTGCATTTCATGCTGCCTCCACACGTGTTAGTCGTATCCAGTCAGAAGGTCGAATATCCAAGTTGTGTCCTTGACGAAGGGCAGTCAATCAATCTGTCCAAGATGCTCCTCGCTACAGGTTAAGGACTATCAAAGAGATTAACAACATTCGAGAGAAAACAATGCAATGCAAAAATATGTACTGAAGATTATGAAATATTACACTCTCATCTCATCTTTATCATACCCACTTTAATCAACTCCTCCACTTCCCAACTCAAACCTCTAATCATCCTCATCACTTTCATCTACAACACCTACAACTCCACCACCTTTCTTGACTTCTCCTAATCTTCGACCCATCTTTGATAACCTTTCACCAAAAGCTTTCCTAGCACCTGGATTACTAGCAGCATCCCAAATCTGTACCACGGCCCTACTACCCGCTGCGGCAAGAGTGAGCGGTGTATCTGGATCTGGAGAAAATCGAGCAGTGAAAACTTTACCTACTCCAAGATCTCTAGATGTCACCATACTGATTTCCCTTTGACGACCTTGTATCTTTGTAGAATTTTTCTTCCCTTTCTTAGTTTGACTTGAAGGATCTTTAACAGTTTCAGAATTTGAAACATTTGTCACAGCCACATTGGAACCTTCGGTTTCTTCTTCTAGTATATTCCATAATTTCACCAGTTTATCTTGTCCGCCCGTTAATAGTAAACCGGGAATATGAGGACTGACATCTAGTGCAGAGGCGGCGGAATCGTGTGCTGATATTGTATATTTTGGTTGAGCGGATGAAAGTGATCCAGGGGAGGAGGAAAGTGTACGTGAGTCGTATGCTAGTATGAGACCGTTTTCTAGTGATACCTGATCTTAGCGCATTCTCTTTCCTCCTTCATATACTGTCATAAAACAAGATTGGAAGAGGTTGAATGAGATGAGATTCTGCCTATCGTGACTAAATTGTATACTGAATGATGGAGGCAAAGATATTCGAAGTGAACTACTCACGTAGAAAGATGTTGATGCCCATGGATCCCATTTGACACATTCCACATCACTACTCAACTTTACACCTATCCAATCTTCAACACTCCTCGTATCCCAAACTTTAACAGTTCTCTCTCCAGCACTTAAAACAGCTTTATCCAATCCAGATCCAATATTTTTATTCCATTCCACAGCTTGAACCCTTTCTTCACCTTGATGGACACCATTCCAACTTCTCAAAGCCGTCATAGGACTTTCTCTTGTCAAATCCCACAATTTAACAGTCGCATCGGCTGAACATGATAAAAGTAAATTACGATGATGAGGTGTCCAAGATAATCCTAATACGGGTCGAGTATGATATTCATCTTGAGCAGCAGGTTCAACAATTTGTTTTCTCTTTTTCTTTCCTGTTCCTAAAGCTTTTGCTGTGGGTTTTTCCATCATTGGAGATGGACCAAGGATTGCTTGTGGATACAAACCATCAATTAGATCCGCATCCCATATTTCGATAGATGGATCGAACCCTCCTACAGCGATGAAATTTCCAGAATGGGTGGATGAACCAGATGGAAAATCTAACCATTCGACACAAAGTGGGAAAGCAGGGAGAAGGAGATCATGATGGACTGTGAGGGAAGTGTTAGGGTCGTCATAAACGTGAAAGTCGATAGAGGAAAGATCAGATGTTGTACGTGCTGAAATGAGCATTTGGTCGGTTGGAAGAAGTTCTAATTCTTCCTCCTCATCATCGTCATCCTGATCGTGAGCAACATTTCACGTCTCACATCTCCTACAGATCAAATGAAAAGCTTGGAAGGAATGATCTTACCTCTTTCAAGGTGATATACGGATCATCATTGTTATCCTTGTAAAATGCTAACCCTTTAATATTGGCAAAAGCTCCCATAGCTGTGAATCAGCTCCGTAAGTGATTGTCCCGAGAAAGTGCCTCACCAACACCTTTGGAGTCTTCTTCGTCATATTTGTCCAATCTAAAAGCGGACAAGTCGTTAGGATTTGATGATTCTGGATCCCCTTTCATCTCCACATCTCCATCATCATCCGTTTGACCATCCTCGTCGTCTTTCGATTCTGCGGCAGAGTCGTCCTCACTGTCAAGGCTGAACATGAGCTTTTTGATATCATTAGTGTAAAGTGCAAGAGATAGATGGACTCACTCCTCCCAATCTTCCGACCCTTCAGATTGATTCTGCTCCCCGTCACTCAGATCCACCTCGGCCATCTCCTCCTGCAGCTTCTCCAACGCCCCAGGTCCACCCAGCTTACCCACTCTTTGTATCTCGTCTTCATCTAGGTTATATCTCTTTGGTTTGAGTGCCGCACGACCTTTTGGGACCCAGACGAGGGCAGATATGAGTGTGCCGGACATTGCGTTGTTGCGACAGGGCGAAAAGTAAGAGGTGGACTGAAATTTCTTCGTCGCCCTGAAAATCAATGAAACTTGTTCGCTCCTCCCACTTTGAACTCGACACTGAGGAATGACGCTGAACATCACCAGCCATAGATATCATCCTCGACGACGATAAGTACTTGCTCGTACAGCAGGCGGTTTAATTGGGGCAAGTAATTGGGGCAAGTAATTGGAGACAGACACCCAATCAACATGGCCATGGTCACAGATGTTGGGTAAGAACGCGTCATGACCCCCTACTCGTTCACCACTGACAATTCAGCTTCCTCCTCCAAGCCATCCGACTCTCCGCTCTGCGCAACTGTGACGACCCCTTGACCCCACGTATCATCTCACTCGATCCTACCTTCTCCGTCAACCCTTTTATCGCAGCTTCTGGTCTGGCTCATGTCGACCGCTGGCCCGAGATCAAACGCGCCCTCGACTCGCCCCCTCCCTCACCTACCGACGACTCAGTAGAAGGTGGGATACGGAATCGTAGACGAGCAGCTTCGGAACGTGATGCTTCTGACGTTCGTCCTGGAGGATTGAGATATACGCAGACTATCATACCTGCCGGTAGGACAGGTGGAGCTGGTATGCGAGTGACTGGACGAAGGCTCGAAGCGAGATTAAATCAAAGGGAGCGAGCGAATTCATCTTCAATAGCTCCACCGTTATCTCCAACATTGGAAAAAACACCTACCAATATTCAAGGCTTCGAAGGGAACATGCTACATCAAGGTAGACCTAGGTCAGATTCAGCACCGGCTCCTTCGTCTGGAATGACTCAAAGAGGCCAATCCGTTCCGGGTAATGCAAACTTGGCGGGTCATCAACTGGTTGGCATGATGGATGATATGGAACATGAACACGCATTGAGTGTCTCTATCGATGGGGAATTCATGGATGATGATGATATCACCGAAAATTCTGCTGTGAACGTCAGGATCAATGATGACGCCTATGAAGGAGAACCAAATTCTGTCGGGATGGCTAATAGCGCTCGTCCTCGAGATCTTGGTCTTGCAGCGGTTAATGGAGCTGGTTTAGGTGACGCAATGGACGAAGGGAGTGACGTTGATGAAGACGAATATGATGATGCTCATGAAATGCCAGTGGATCGACGGAAATCTGTCGCCGCTCTGATTCAAGACCGACCATCGTCCATGGCTACCGACGACGCAGAAGTAGAGCAATTGGAGTTCAAACCGGTCTCCCTACAGAATAGCCCCGGGAAGAAAGCATCTGCGTTGACAGCAGCTCTGAACAAACATATCCCACATTTAGTATCTACAGCAAATGCCATGGCGGAATTCACCCTCTCCAACCCGTTTACATCGCTATACGCTTCAGTAGCCGCACCATCAAACGCACCTTCCGTATCTCTCGAATTATACTATCCTCATTCGAAACAAGCCACCAAACCTCTCGTGGCTCGCGTTCGTAAAGACGCCACTGTTGAGGAGACGATAGGCCATGGATTGTATAGGTATTGGGAAGAAGAGAGAGAACCTAAGTTGAGCGAAGATGATGGCGAGCATAAAATGTCAACTGTCGGCTGGGGTTTACGTATCGTGGAAGATGATGGAGAAGTGGATGAGGATTTCCCTCGTGAGCATCATACCATTCTTCTCCAGTTCGATGATCGATAAGCTGAAAAGTTCGATGAAGGTGGTATTGACAGGCAGCACTGGACAGAGAAGGCCAGATCTCTAAATTTTCTTACGGTCAATTCGCCATAGTCGAAGCTACAGAAGCGCAAAGTATGTCCTTTTCTTTTCTTTTCTGAGACAAATACTTATCCTTCCCAGTTCGACAAAATCTCGCCAAAGCACCCCATATTCAACGTCGACCCTCTCGTGTCATCGCTGGGCCCTCACGTCTTCGACCTCCAGCGCCGAGTCGACCAAATCTCACTAAACACCCATCAGCGGACGCTTCGGTCACTTCCCTTTCTTCGAATGATATGTCAGTCATTGGGGGTCCGAGTCTCAGTTCCACAGGTTTGAAAGGGAGTGTTGGGTTGAGTTCTACACTGAGCAAACCGGTATTACTGAGAGTGAGAGTAGCGGCGAGCGCAGACGTTCACTTTACCACTACTATCAGTGTGTGAGTTATCATTGACTTCCATGTGCCATCCCCTATCTCAGCCCCATCCAACCATTACCCCTTCCTCCTCTTCATAAGTGATATTCGCCCCCATGTATCTGTTGATCATTTGATGACAAAACGAGCCGAAGTCGTACTGATCTTAGTCCCTCCGACATGTACATAGCCGACCTCACCGAGGTTTTATGCAAGAAGAAACGGCTTCAGTCTCCCTCATCAGATTGGGTACTCTGTCTCGCCGACCTCTCTATTGCTCTTCCTCTAGACCGAACGGTCGCGTCTTTGGAAGGAAAGACAGATCTAGCTCTTGTGCGACGACAATGGGCGGTGGAACATGGTCTCCGGATCGGAGATAGAAGAGGTGGAGATCCCAGCGGTGAGTCATCTCACAAGTTCGCGCCATATACTGATGTGTAAGCGTCCATCTTTAAAAGACAAAGTGAACCGGCACCATTGCAGAAGTTCGGTCCGGGAGTCGCGGACTTTACTCAGACATATAAGGTAGATCATCTCATAAAGTGTGATGAGCGGTATTGATCAGGATAGAAATATGTCGTACAGCGTAAAATAGCTATAGGACGACATGAGAGGGTACTTGCTATCGATGGTGATTACATTCATGTGAGTTTTCTCAGGTTGTCTGCGCCCCTCTCCACTAGACCCTACCCCTATGTTCACACAACTTTCGACAACATCCGCCGCTCCTCCCTCTGCGATATTGTCCGGCAGTCGTTGAGGGAGAGCTAGGTCAGTGGAGAAGACATCTTTACCTGTTGCTATGTTTCGGTATCGCTCGACAGAAGGACACTCGTGTTATTTCTTCTTGGCATACACACTTACGCTTAGATCATGCCTTCCGATTCGCGCACTTTCTTTGATAGTATGAAAACGACATCATTCCATATTTCTCTGGTGGCAAGTTGCAAGTTGTCCGGTCGAGCTGGCGGTTTCAAATTATATGTCTGGCGCGAGGGAGGTCAGAAGAGATACGAATTCGAAGCTGAGAATGGCAAGCAGGCAGGTGGGTCAAGTTTCACTCGGTATCAACATTCCTGAGATACATCATGTTCAGCTCTCGTAAACTTTCCATTCTTCTCCTCTAGACTGACGGACTCTCGTTATATCATCATGTTTCTCACGTAGCCTTGAGTTGCGTTGCAGAGTTCGTATGGAAATTGGTAGCACATGATGAAGAGCTGACACCTCAGGGGAAATCATCAATACCATTCGACAATTGTGAGTTTCAAAGTGACCGAGAAGAGCTGGACTAATGGACAGGATGAAACAATATCAACCTGACCGAACTTCGCTTCTACCGCCTCCGAGGAATGTACGACGATAAATGTAAATTTGGTGAATTTGTTGTATGACCATCAGTATGACCATCCAAGGTATGATGTGATGAATTTGTAGCAACCACAAGATGCATGAGAGCAGAAAGATACCATACAGTACTACTCGTACAGTCTAATGTTGAAGAAAAGTAGGGTATCAAGCCTTAGTTGTCAGCTTGCAAGTCGATATGATCTTCCTACTTGAGATTTCCCCTTTCTCGTGTCGCATATCAAACGTTGAACTATCAATTCAAAGAACAACATAACACGCCAGCTCCTCCCATTCATGTAAAAACTCCGGAACGAACGAAAGAAGAACAGATTTCGAACTGAGGACGAAAATATGATTTTCAACAAATGGTCAAGATAATCAAGAAGAGGAAAAAAAAGGACTCACAGACATCTTCATCTCAATCTTACCTAATGGTTTATAACCTAAAACTTCCAAATCATCACTTTTAAACCCATCAATATCACTAATCTCTTCTTTACTCCTCTTCCAATTCAACTTTGGGAATTCCCTAGGTTGACGTTCCAATTGTATTTTCAAAGGTTCGATATGATCCTTATAAACATGTGCATCACCCATTTGTAATATCAATTCATGGGCTTCACAATCTGTTACCAGGGCGATCATATGAGTGAGTAAAGCGTAAGAAGCTATATTGAATGGGACTCCTAGACCTAGATCGCAAGAACGTTGATACATTAAACAACTTAGTTTTGGCTTGATATTTGGGTCTCGTGGACCTGAAGGGTCGATAGATGAGTCTTGAGGAGAGTCGATATCGGAGGGATTGGATGGATTGGAGGGGTCGGAAGGGTTTGAGGGAAGAAGAGGTGGTAATGTGACGTAAAATTGACAAAACATGTGACATGGAGGTAGGGCCATAAGTGGAAGGTCTGGAAATCAGTCTAGGGCCTTTCTTTCACTTGTTCGCGGGAACATATGGGGTTATCCGGGAGTCATCTCGTGTTTCACACAACCTGCACAATCTGATAGCTGTGCGTTCGGCAAAGGAGCAGTACCTCGATAGAAGAAAAGGGCGACATTTCCGATCGTGAACGATGAAGATGAGAGATATTTTACGTGAGCATCATTCGGCGGTCACGAATTATCATTCTCAGATCATATGGAAAAAGACGGGAAGAAGAAACTAAGGGATAAGAAGACTTATGGGAAAGGACAAGGTTCATGGAGGAGAAAAAAGAAGACTCTACAGACCTTTAGGATTCCAAGCACTTAAAATTATCCTTCTATCCGTAGGATTATTCTTAATCTTTTCAATAACATTTTTCAATTGATCAACACCTTTCCCATTATAATCATCATCACAAGTCCCATATTCGGCACCGAAAAATCTCCATTGAAAACCATAAACAGGTCCTAAATCACCTTCCCTCCTATGACTCAGACCGACTTTATCTAAATATTCTCTACTTCCATTCCCATCCCAAATATTTATACCTTTTTCAGAAAGAAGTTTACCGTCTGTTGAACCTTTTACGAACCATAATAGTTCTTCCCATACTCCACGTAAAAACACACGTTTCGTAGTTAACAATGGTAATGTTTGGTTGGACAAAGAAAATCGGAGGGAAGGAGGAGCGAATAGGGAAATGACACCTGTTCCTGTACGATCTGGACGTGATTGACCTGTTGTTATGATACGTGTTATTAAATCTAGGTATTGATATTCTTCTGGTGAGAGTCAGTTTTGAGGAATTTATTCAGGAGATGGATTCTTGAGGGAACACGAAATGGTGGTGATAGCATGGATCGCTGCTGACACACAGGTTTGCGTTCGGGGATGTTGGGGGTAAGAGGATTGAGGGTATCCTCCGACATTACATGATAGGATTGCAATACTAAGTGGATGGTTTTATTTGGGAGAAGAGAGAGGCGTTGTCAACAAATCGGGGACGCAGGGGTGGAAAATCACCTTTTGTGGTTTCGAATTGGTGGGGGGGTGGGGGAGAGGAGAGGGGTGAAGGGATTGTCAATAAGGGCAGAACACGAAGACATTCTGTACTCACCATGCTCTGGATTGGTACGACCCGAGCCATTCGTAGTGATTGCGGTGGGCATGATGATGTTTTCTGGTGACGGAGCAGCTAGCAGAAAAGCAATGATGTAGTGGTGAGTTGAACAGAGTAGTAGAGTGGTAGAGTAATTGAAGGACAATCCGAGTGGAGGCAAGACAAAATTCCAAAACACGACGCGTCCTCTTCAAAGACGCGTTTGTCATCAACATGACCATCTCAACAGCACACAACCTCACATCCATAGTGCGGCCACAGACTTACAAACGAACAGCTCGTGATACATTCGTAAGATCATTAGATCGTATCTCTTTTCTCAACACCCTATGTGATATATCTTTCTTTGAACATTCAAACATACACATTCGATTCTACACCAAGATAATTTCAAGATTCCACTAAGATACTGCTCGATCCTCAAGATCCCATGAGACTATCCTTATTGACGTGCCGTACATGATCCATCATGCCACCTTCGCTCCCAGTCCAGCGCGGAGCAAGCTCGCCTTGGTCGGTCTAGGTCCTGGTCCCATGCTCATAGGACGAGGACGGGATGAACCTATACTGCTCGCTGCAGATGCCGATGGTGGCGATACCTTCTTTCCACTCGAGGCAGGAGGGGTAGCCATGGTAGGAATAGAAGCGAGCGTGGAAGTCTTTTTATGTGTTGGTCGAACGGGTGGATTGGGGGAAGATGTGACTGTGGGTACAGTGGAAGATGAGACGGGAGCCCGAAGAAGGGCGGCTTTGTTCATCCTTGGCATCTGTAATTAGCTCATTCCTTCCGGATAACTCAATTGAGATGCTACACGTGGATGATGAGGAGTGTACGTTGGTATAGGACACGGATGATGAAAGACGAGGCAAGAGCAGGATAAAGGGAGTCCATTTCTTTCAAGAATACTCACAATTGTAGGCGTTCCAAGACTTGATAATCCTGTCAAACTACCTCGACGCATTTTCTGTCCTACAGCAGGAGATGCATTATTCGAGCCAGGGATGACATTCGCCGCTCCAGTTGGGGACAGTGGGAACTGAGGTCGACGAGCAGGACTGGACATGGATGGTTGACCTGTTCTCAAAGCGGCAGCTTTGTTCGTCCTTGGTACCTATACATCAACATCTCCCAAAATGTGGTTGAGAATGAACATTGAAGCAAGCATGTTTGATATTTCATGGGAAGGGATTGAAGGGACTCACGATAGACGGCGCACTCAAACTCGACGGAAGGGCGATACTCTTCCTCCTCATTTGTCTTTCCTCTCCATCCCTCGCCTTATTAGCAGCTGCGATAGCTTCTCTATCTTTCTTTGCACTCTGAGTGACATCACCTCCAGCTCGAAGTTGAGAAGCTTTAGTTTGTCGAGGGGTCAAACTTGGCGTTGCTAGACTTTTGACCATCTTTCAATCAGCTATCGACTCTCACCAACGACCACCCCCTACCCTTGCATCACCCATGTTTCTTCCATCCCATCAACATGTGGCATAGTGTCATGCAATAGTTCATCTCGAATCAGAGGAGGAATGACAACTCACCAAACCCAATCCAGCTCTTTTATGTCCAGGTGTATTCTCAAAACCCACTTCTTTCCTCTCTTTCTCATGTTTCTTATCCAAAGCCTCCCAATCCAATCCTTGACGTAAAGCAGCGCTCTTTGTCATTCTCGGTCCAACATCACTACTAAACTTTGGAGCTGGTTTCGCCTTGAAAACATTCTGTCTAGTTGAAGTATTCGGACTATCCACTACTTTCTGAGCTCTGGCGAGAGAAGATAGTATAGGATCATATTTGATATCTGATGAAGTGAGGGAAGCAAATGTTTTATCACCTTCATCTAAAACCTCTTCTATCGCGTCGTCAGATTGACTTGGAGAACCGAATGATACGATGTTAGGCATGATGTCTACTTGTGCTGAGAGAGGGGTTTCGAGGGTGAAATCTTGAAGTGAAAGTTGATCCATTTTAAGATCGGATGTGATGCTCATGATATATGATGTTCGCTTGTTGTTGTTGTTGTTGATGGTAAGAAACAAGGCCCAAGGGCTCGTGCGTAGAAGATTGATGATCGTTGATCTTTCCGGTTTTCACAGTTGTTTCAGAGAGATATGTATGGAGGTGAGAGCAGTAGTAAGTTGATGTTGGATGCAGTGGAGAGTAGAAGTGGGATCGAGATTGGAAACCTGTGCAAGAGACAAGAAACAAAGATCAACAAGACATCTGACAAGAAGAGGAAGGACAACCAATTTGTCCTGTAGTCAGGCACATTGGCAGAGGAAACCAGGGGAAGGAGGGGGGGGAGGTTCATCCGATGGACCCCCTTTTCTCTTTCAGGTCCTTCACCACTTCTGTCGTCGTCGTCCTTCACCGCTGCAACCCCAGAGGGTTGTCATGGCCAAGGCAATCTAAGATATTGATGATTGGAGATGATGCGTATAGATAATCCTTCCTCTTGGGACAGAGTCTCACTCTAGCTGCTAACCTCCGGTATCCGTTAGCCGTTGAGCTCAATCTCTTCCCCACTTTACCCCACTTCCATATCGGGTAGTATCCGCCGTATCACAGTATCTCCTCCCCAAGGTCGGTCTCCCTATTCTCTGATCTTTGAACACGATTTCCTCACTTACTCAAGCTGAACCGTCTACGCCGCTTATACCACCGACTCAATATGTCTCAACCGGCTTGGAGACAGATACTTGAAAACCAACTAACAGAGAACCCAAAATATACCAGTCCGTCTTTCTTTCTTCTCGTCTTCACCTCCACCGCCCCACGGCTGGACGAAACGTAAAATGGTCAATGATCAATGAGTTGATTGGCAGCTTACGCACTGTCCACGCTATCACCGGAAGGACAACCAAAAGTACGATTTGTGGTACATCGTAGCAGTGCGTTCCCCTTTTCTTTACTACTCCATTTATGCAAGCATTCTCCACATAACTCATCCCTGGGATATCGGTACTGCCAATTGCTACCGTGAGAGAAAGACTGGTACCCCTTCACGCAGTCTTCTGGCTCTAGATACACAGAAGAATTGCATCTCATCTTGTTATTCAAAGCAGATCTAACATCCCAGTATCACCCTCTGGTCTATTGATACTTACCACCGACACCCGTATGCAAAAACCCGTTCATCTCGCATTAAACCATACGGTCGAAGCTGCTTGGTGGATCGAACCTTCCAATGTCCAATTCCGTATAACAGGTCAAGCTTATACTTTCCCACTTCCTTCTTCTTCCCCAACAGAAGTATCCAGCGCTTTGCAAGGTCTAGGTCTAAAAGACATCGAGGAATCTCAAGGGGAAGAAAAGGAGGAATGTACTTCGGAATGGTGGGAAAAGGAAAGAATTAGATTATGGGAAGAATCAATGAGTGGACATTTAAGAGCTAGTTTCGCAAGACCTAAACCTGGTAAATCTCTTGAACAAGTTGAACATCCTAGTGAATGGCCTGTCAGTCTACCTGGGAAAAGTGTGAGTATTCTTTACTCTTGATTATTCAAATTTCCGCTCGTTAATCTGTTGCTTTTGATATGAGTTAAATGGGAGATATAGAGGTATTGATAATCAGGAAGATCCGAAAGAAAAAGAACTTATACAACTCGCACTTACACATTTTGCTCTCATTGCTATACGTCCTACCGCAGTGGAATTTTTAGAACTCAAACCTATACCTAATCGTCGTACTCAATGGACTTTGCAATCAGATGGGACATGGGAGGAAAATAAGGTAGCTCCATGATCGTCTGGGTATCAGGTATCCTTCGTATCCGACTTGTCGTGTTCCCAATACCTTTTTTCTCAAGAAAGTCGTCCCTCATTCTACTTTTCTCATGGAGATCAAGTCATGTTTTATTGATCGGTTCAAGATACTCAGTTCAGGTATATTAATGTGAAGGGAATTAGTAGAACTAGTTCATACATAGCATGCAGAGATACAACCAAAGGTCTTGACAAATTTCCTTGCACTTAGTTTTCCTTAATATTACCCTCAACCTGTAGATGGTACATTCTAAGTATTCAATCATCCTCCGCTTCACCCAATTCGAACGCTTCACCAGCGACGATCCTCCCCCAACCCATCTTGGGATGTTCCGGAGTCGGCCGTGCTTCGGGAGTATTACGCAACAAAGGTCTAGCTTCTGGAACATTTGAATTCGAATGTGATTGTAAAACCGGCAAACGATCCATGTCAGGCATGGGGAATACTAATCCTAGAAGACGAGCGAAAAAGAGCCAACTTGCAAACCAAGCAAGAGTGATGACTGTCGTACTGAGAAAACAAGTCATTTGAGCTTCTAATTGTCCGACAGGGTCTATGGTGGGAGCAGCGGAAGCGGCAGGGTTGGCGCATGCTCTATTAGGGACAGAGGGAAGTAAGGTAAAGATGATTGCGGCGACTACATGTCAGTCAACTTATTCATTTGCTCGCTCCCCGTGCATTTTAAATAGTCAATGATCACTCACATGGCCAGAGAAGAAAGAGAAATCCAGCACAAGCCACTTCGAGAGCTCGATCTTGTCGATCGAATATTGATTTTGGATCTGTAGATTTGGTCGTTCGAGAATGTATTTTGAGACTGCATCATTGATCAGTTACAGAGATAGACATTATGAAGGGGAGATACGTACAAGACGATAGCGAATGCTGCACTGAAGATTCCGACGATGATTATGAAGATACTACTACCCACTGATCGTCAGCCATAAGCTCTGTATTTACGTTACAAAACTTTAAGGATATCTATGCGACATGGATTCCAACTCACCACTTTGACCATAAGCCATGACAAACCCAGCACATCCCACGACTACTATTGAACAGATTAGAAGAGGGACATAATTCCATACTCTCCCTTCTGCGAATTTATCCCTCTTCTTCGGCACTCCAGCTTCACCGGATGTACCATTTATATCAGACTCTGCTGATGGAGAATAAGGATTAGTCGGTTGAGGCAATCTCTGTGCCAAAGGGGTTGTAGGTGATTGAGTCCCATATGACATAGCTGGTGTTGAAGGATCTTTGAGTTTTGCTGAGCCAAGTTTTGGTGATTGTGGTGGAGAAGCAAGAGCCATTTCCCACATCACGAACACATCCGATTCAATAACATCCTTAGTTGCGATCTCTTCGGAGGGATCCATATTCGAATATTGTAGATAGTAATTCGGTGAAAGGGCGGTAGAGAGGATGACGAGTAATAAAGATAAAGTGGTCGAAGAGAGGAGATGAAGAAGGGCTAGGTCGAATGTTAATAAAGGACAATTGGGTAAAAACACTTCGGAAATCTCAAAGCTACATACTCCTTTTTCAAGGGTGAATGCTGAGAAAGCCATGGTTGCGGCTTATACATCAGCTATATCAACATGAAGGAAGGAAGGTGACGGACAAGTCCAACATATCCAAAGCATAGCCACTATGGTGAATTCTAGTCGATCCACGTATATTCTCCATGGTTTGGGTAGTAATACATTAGCAGCTCGTCTGGGAGTCAGTCTATGTGCTTCTGTATTCTTTCGATGTGAGAGAAACGTGGGCGAGTAGAAGATGGACGCAGAGTTGAATGAGATCATTTGGAAAGGAAAACACCAACAAAATGGAGACACCTCCTAAGCCACAAGAACCCAAGATGACGGTCAACCCTCTGATATCACCCGCCTGACCGCTATACATCTCAGCTCCTGCCAGTCAGTCAACATCAGAACATAAAAGGGAGAAACGCGCCTCCGGCACTTGGTGGAGCAGAAGAAGCAATTGCCACCGCTGAGAGAACACCGACGAGGATATGCAAAGCCCATCTTGATTGCGAGGCTGTGAACAGTGCCGAAGGCATGATTATGAGTGACAAGATACTATGACATGGATGCGCAGGTGTGTAAGCCGGGATGAAGGATTCTAGAAAGGCAGGAGGAAAAGGAGTTGTGTGACAAGTCTGGCCCGAAAAAGCCGCACTTGCTGCAAAGCTGCCCGTCAAACACGCAGCAGTAACAGTCAAACGTCAAATGATGGGTTCTCATGCATGGTTTTTGTCATTTCAAGTTTACAGTGACTCGATATAGTTCATGGTAGATCTGGGTATACTTCACGTGGATATGAGGGATGAAGAAGAGGATGCAAGATGCTCACTATTTGATGACCATATCACCATCTAAAGAAGTCGGGCCCCGGCGGCGATGAGCGATCGAACACACTGCCACTCTCTTTCTCTCTCGTCGACTTTTGCTTAGTAAGGAAGGATTTTTCTTTCCTTTTCAAACCACTACGAGTACTACTCTCTTTTCAATTCTCTCATCCTCCATCCCATTCATCAACTCCTTCTTCATGTCACTGCTTCAATATCGCTTCTACATATAGCTCCCACCCTTTGATATCAACCATCAACCTTGATTTGCCCTTTTCAGTCTATTGCGATCTTGACGACCTTGACTTGCATCGCTTGACAACGGAGCACGGTAACACAAACCACCCATCATGTCTACCCTCACCAACGACATCGGACCCAATGGTCTCTCACCTCAAATCACTCAGTCTATCCCTACGTACGATGCTGGTCCTTCACGTCAAGTCATCGATCCATCTATATCCGTGGATCTAACAGGCGAATCCGATGATGAAGATACACCACCCTCTATAACCAGGACGAATGCACGAGCCCCTTTTACACAGACAAACGGTTTTCTTCCTCCCATTCCATCACTAGATCATTCTACTTTTCCTTTTGCTTCTTCCTCATCACATACACTTGACTCTCCATATCAGCTTACCGCAGCGAATCTACCATCACCTGGGGAAGCAGTCAGAACAACTTCTTTTGAGCAAAGTTTTGCCCCCTCATTTTCGAACAGTCCCAGATTTCCAACTGCCCCTCTAAATCACTTTTCGCCCTCACTTGGATCTTTGGCCAATATGCCTCCTAACAACTTTCGCCATTCATCCTCTACATCTGCCTTGGGGAGCAGTCCCCGAGGTCCCCATCCCTTATCTACAAATGGTGTTCCCAGCCCTTCTTCGGGGAGAAGGATCGGAACGGTTGGCGCAAATTCTGCCAGCGCCATCGATCTCACTCGGACGAATATCCGTACTCCACCTCCCGTTCCTGATAAACGTCCACTGTGTATAGGTGCTATCATGTCGCGCGCTCTCATCTTTTACCCCACTCCCCCTATTTTCACTGGCAATCGCGCTCCTCAAGGCTCGCCCGAGCAGTGGGACGTCATCGATTATCTGGGAGCTGAACTCATAAAGGTCAAGCTCAAAGTGAGCTGTTCTCTTTCTAAGACTTCTCGGACAAGCTGACGCAATAGTATCGCAAGGCTGGAGCAGCGCCACGGAGGGATGAGGTTTGGACCTCTGTGACACGTGACGCGATACAAGTCATGACCCGTGAGTGCGGCTGGAGAGTTTTGGCGACTGGCTGACTCAAGCAGCGGGAATGACTTCATATCTTGGTGATCTTGATGCCTCACTCGCGGCAACTTTGATACCTCACATGGCCAAGGGAGTTCTTCGGTTAGAAGGTTTTGCTCAACGTTTACCACCGGGAGAGGTGAGCTGCTCAACTTGAGCGCACTCGATGTATCAGCTGACTTATCAGCATGTGTATGAAATGCGTCTGAGCGTCCTCCTTTTTACTCTTCCCGCAAATGTCAGATATCTTATCGATGCCTTGGCCAATCACGAATTATACCCCCTCGACCCAACGCCCCCTTACGATCCCCGGCGTCACTCCGGCAACCCTCCTTATCGAAATGGATATGGCAGTGGTGCCGAAGCAATGCGAATGTATCTCCTCGCTCAGAGTCGGCGTACTCAGTCATCTTACGGCCTCTCGCAAGGTTCACAGGATCGTGTGAGTCAGGTTGAAGTTCAGCGAAAACAGGTGGATGAAGTCTTCAAAAGTCTTGATAATGGTGCCGAGCTGGAACAATCTGATCCTGGTCCGTTCATAAAAACCGACCTCTTCCCGCATCAACGTATTGCTTTGACCTTTCTGCTGCAACGTGAGCAGGATTGGTCAGCTCTGAAACGGGCTCGGAAGTATGCCGATAAGGCTTTACACAAGAGCAAGTCAAAACGGGCGTCGAGCGTGGAAGTCGAGGATGCAGGGAGAAAAGGAAATTCAAATCACTCTCTCTGGGAACCGAAAGTCACTGAGAAGAGCAAGCATAAGGTATGGCGGAACAAGGTCACAGGGGATGAGATACGGACGCGTCGACCCAAAGAAGGGAAGGGCGCTATCTTGGCGGATGATATGGGTCTGGGTAAAACTCTTTCGATTGTTTCCCTCCTCGCAGCTACTCGCCAATCTGCCCAGAAGTGGGCCAAAACGGAGATGGACGACATTGATCCCGTGACTGATGAGGAAGATGGGGAGGAAGGTATCAAAGCTTCTGCAATCGGTACAAAGGTCTTCGGTATGCCTGATCTTGATCCGGAGGAGGAGTTGTCTTCCAAACCGAAGAAAAGAAAACGCAACGACGAAGCTAGTCGTTTGCTCGCAGCGCGTAGAGGAAAGATCGTCAAACGCGCCAAGGCTACGCTGCTAGTATGTCCCATGTCGACCATCACCAATTGGGAGGAACAAATCAAGGAGCACTGGAATGGCAAGGTGGAGATCTACGGCGGGCCCACTGGCCTCCCTCCTCAGCAGATGAAGTTGGACAAATGGATGGCCCCAAAGAAAGGCAAAGAGTCGGAAGAAGACGAACTGGACGAAGATTGGGACACTATTCGTGTATACGTTTACCATGGACCTGGAAGAACGGCTGATCCACATTTCCTTGCCGAATTTGATATCGTCATCACTACTTATCACACTTTAGCCGGTGAATTCTCGAAGCAAGGTGGGGAAGATGAATCGACACCGGGAGACACAGCTCAGAATAGCGGCGACGAAGAACCAGCCGAGATTTTCGGAGATACTTCCCTGAACCCACGGGCTGTATTTCCTGAAGTGGAAGCCGAGATCAAGGCGGTGGAAGTTGCGCAAGCTCTGCAAAAGAAGAAGAAAGGCAAATCCGCCAAATCCAGCAAGACCTCGACCCCCGGGGATCAACGAAGTCCTTTGCAGGCTATCGATTGGTTTCGTATCGTACTTGACGAAGCCCATTACATCAAATCGCCTGCCACTGTAGCATTCAAAGCTTCGTGCGCCCTCGAAGCCGACCGACGTATCTGTTTGACGGGTACGCCCATTCAGAACAAGATCGAAGATGTGTGGGCGTTGTTCAAATTCCTTCGACTTGGACCTGTAGATCAAAAAGAGTGTTTCACGAAATTCATCAGCAATCCCTGTAAATTTGGAGAACAAATCGGTGTTGCTCGATTACAATTAGTCATGCGATGTTGTACCTTACGACGGACCAAAGATTCCACGATGGAGAACGGAAAGAGGATACTAAATCTTCCTCCGAGAAAAGAAGTACAACTATGGCTGGATCTTGCGGAAGACGAACGGGCTGCATATGACGAGAGAGCCAATCGTATCAAACAAAAAGTCACGGAATTACGAGCGACGAATCAACTATCCAAGAATTTCGCCAATGTATTACAAGAGGTCCTGCGTTTAAGACAGATTTGCGACCATGTGGATCTTGCACGCTCAGGTGCGGTGGAGGAAGACTATGACGGCACAGTGATGGATTACACCCTTGCCGTGCAGGGCATCGAAAGATATGGTTTGACTCAAGCACGTGCTGTGTCGGTCGTATGTTTTCTCAAAGACGGAGCGGGAGCACAGTGTCTGGCGTGCGGATATGATTATGGAGATTATTTCCCATCGCTAGGTCTTGTCGGTGTGGAAGATCCTCAGACGGAGAAGGACAGAGTAAAGAAAATGCCTCATCGTCCTCTTCTCACCAAATGTCTGCATCTCTATTGTCAGCTCATCTTGATAATAATTGGCTCAGCTGATGTGTAGGTCCAAAATGTTTCAAAGCGAACGTTTACCCTGATTGGTCCAAACGGATGCGCGAGGCCCCCGCAAGGGAATGTCATCAATGTCGAGCGGCTTTGCGTCTATCAACAGACGTTTTAGAGGTTTCTCCACCTGGTTCTGAGAATACAGAAACTACAGATCAACCGAAGAAAGTGGTGAGGCAAAAATACGTTCGTCCTCCAGGTCAAAAACCTGATTTGAGTACGAAAATGAGATGGTTGTTACAGGAATTGATGGGACATTCCAAGAGGAATCCCAATTCACCGCATTATGATCCTTTTGCTTTGGACAGCGGGGACGTGGAGGAATTGGATGAAGAGGGGAAGCCTTTTGTCACGAAAAGTGTTGTATTTTCTCAGTGGACTACGATGTTGGATCGGTGAGTGAACTGAAATTTCTTCTTTGGTCTTACTCTTCCACATGTCATCATCGCCTGTCTCTCCCGATCAGCTTCACATCGTTTCACTGCTCTTCTTATTCGTCTCTGAAACAAGGTCGTCAGGATTCACGATTGCAAGGAATCAATGTCAAAAAAGTCGCATAAAGCTGACATGTAGTATTGGGGATATGCTGGATGAAGCCAACATTCGTTATGCCCGTTTGGACGGTACGATGACGAGAGAAGAACGTGCAAGGGCAACGGAGCAATTGCGCACCAATAAGAAAGTCGAGGTCTTGCTAGTTTCTACTCGTGCTGGTGGTGTCGGTTTGAATCTCACAGCGGCGTCAAGATGTTATCTCGTGGATCCATATTGGAACCCATCGGTTGAATCTCAAGCAATTGATCGTATCGTGAGTATCATGTCCTTCTTTCTTCTTCCTCAAGTCGTATCTCCCTTCGAACTTTCGCGACCCAACCTCCTCTGGCGAGCAATAGTGACCTGGCTTTTGGAAGATTATTAGTGCACTTGTCATCGACACCCACAGTCGAGGCCGTCTATACGTTATCAGACGCTAACATTCAGCACCGTATGGGTCAAACTCGTCCAGTGGTAGCGGTAAAACTCATGATTAACGATTCTATAGAAAAACGTCTTGACGAAATCCAAAAGAAGAAAGCGAATTTGGCTCAGTTGTCTTTGAAAAACATGTCGAGAAAAGAATTGATGGAGCAAAAAGCGGAAGAATTGGCTAGTTTGTTCAAGTGAGGTTGCGGTTTTTTTCTTGAAAGGTTTATCATCGTACTACATTTGAGGATTGAAAGCACGAAAACATGCATGGTGTCGGCACTTGATATATCACCAGAATGGGTTTGTTCAGATATGCACTGGATTTTCAAGTTCAAAAAGATAAGGCTAGGCTTGAATATAGAAGAATTAAGGAAGGGAGTGACTAATGGAGAATGTGATTATAGTTTAGCTCGTGAAGATTCTTGCTCGATGGCTTTTCGTAATGTTGGATCATGTGACATGGCCCAACGTATTCTCTCGGGCATGTTTCGTTGACCTGGGGCGAAGATGGGGAATGTGGGAGGACGGTCGTAGCCTATTTTGGCGGCGTGTATAAGTATGGCCCTGATATGAGTGTTCCGACAATTCACATCTTTTTGAGAGTCTCCTTGGTCGATCTGATCCTTGTACTTGAAACAACACACCTGATTATTGGCAGGATGTACACCAAGCTTTGTACTGTGACCAACACACCTGACTATTGGCAGGAAGTACACCAGACCTTGTACTCTAACCAGCAGACCTGGCTATTGAAAGGGGTAACAAAGAATAAGGATTCAATACGACTTGGAACAGTCGAGCGGAAGAGAAAAGAGTAGTAGAGTGGGTAGGATAGAGTGTGATAAGATAAGATTGAACAGAAAGGAGAAAAGAACAAGGATGGGTGGGTCATCATGAGATTTCACCGACATCAAGGAAAGAAACATACGAAGTCAGTCCATAAACAGGTTTGACCCTTCCCATTCCACCGTTCCCTGATCCCGACTCCGACTCCGATTCCGACATCGACCTGAATACTTTACCTTGTTTATTTTCCCTTCCTACATCACCCAAAAGTGTTGTTCCATCCAAATATCTCCCCTCTCTCCCAGTCAAAAACCTATGCATCCTTACTGTACCTTCACCCCATTGGACATCTCTAAATGCATAATAAGCTCCTTCTTTACCTCCTACTTGACCTGCTCCTTCTGCATATCTTACCAAAGGAGGAGGAGGTACGAGTTCTGGAGGAAGAGGATGGATCCTGTCTGAGATTCCAAGTGACCAATTGGGTATGAGAGAAGGACGATGAACTAAGAAAGCGGATAGTGGCATGGAGAATAAGTGTGTGACCTCTGATGGGTTAAGAATGGGTGAGATGGTGTTGTCCGTAACGAGAAGGACTACCCTGATTATGAGCTTTTATCCTTGTTCTTTCACAGATCCTTCGTGTCATCCGACCGGAGAATCTCTCCGCCAAGTAATGTCGGACATCCTTCCACCAAGACGACAGTGCTCAGTCAGGTCCGGTCATCAGATATCGATGTTCAGGACGAGCAATGGAAACTCAGAGAATAGGGGAAGGAGGAAAGTATGAGTTAACTCACGGTGTTACGACGAGAGCATTACCAGTGAGAAATTGATCAAGAAGACATATGAATCGAACTTTCTCACGATCCATTGGTAGACCAATCTCTGTTGTCAGTCATCATTTGATAGTCTGACAAATTAAGATCACCTCCTCATATGCCTCCCGACGCTGACTATCAGTGAGTACGAATATGGGTCAACAAGCAACTCACAGCTGTCTCTTCTTCGTCGGCATCAGTGGGATCGTGTTTACCCCCGGGAAGGGCAGTATCGGAAGCATAGGATCGTAGATCACCAGCACGTCTGTCCGGTCAGTATGCCTATATACCATGAATCGATGTAAAGCAGAAAACATTCAAACGGCATGGGTGTACATTAAGGCGAGAAGATATAATTTGAACAAATTGGGCATAGGATGGTTATTCATGTGATGAGAGTAAACCACTCACGTCGATAACAAAACGTAGAGATCGCCTAATCGTCCAACGAACAATCTATCAAGTCAATCATCACCCCTGCCCTGGCGGGTGAGATTATATATATAACAATGGACTCACACTATGGCGACAGAGGCTGTTCTGGACTTGGGTATGGCTATCGGATCTGGACGATGATAAAGTTGTAATCGGTGAATACATCTGAACGATCAGGTTTGAAAACAACGCGACACAATGTTTGAAGTAGCTTACTGGAGAGATTCCGCCTTGAGTGGGGGGAGTATAGAGATGAGGTTTGAAGATGACATTGCATTGTCTCTCGTTCATGTGGAGAAGACTTGATTGGATATGATTCAATGTCAGAAACATTGACGGAATACCGCACCCTCGGATCCTTGATTGCCTTCCCCGACATGTGCCCATGGAGCCCCACACTTCTACCCCGATCCACTCAAGATAGGACCGAATAAATCTAAGTACTCACCATATACTTGTCACCGACTTATTCCTCTTTCTTCCTCCCATACGTCATGCCCACTGCTCCCTTCTTTTACTCCTCCGACTCTTCTTCTGATGATGACGAATCTATATCCGACTCAGATGTGTCTATAAGCACTACCTTCATCGTCGGATCTTCCACCCCTCCTTCATCCCCTTCAGCTCCCCCATCTCGACCCCTATCACGCAAAGCTCAACGAGTCCGAACTGTCCTTCTACACGGTCTACTATGTATATTTGTCATCCTTCATCGTAATGAATCAGACTCCGAAATCAACTGGCCCCCTCATCCTAGAGGTATGTCAAAGTATAGAAAACGTCCTCGGCCTATTGGGGAATTAGAAACGATCAAAAAGCCTTGGTGTGAGATACAAAAGATTATCGATCATTTATCAGGAGCTGTGATACCTTCTCATCCTCGTGCCAGAACCGTCCTGGGTGAGTTCTTCATAAATCCTCATCTCCGAGAATGAACGAGTGAATGGAAGTACAAGAGCTGATCAGTAGGATTGTTGATCTGGTTTTGTGAACGAAGATTATTACCATTAACGAAAAAGAAAACATACATCAAATCTCTGAAGAAAGATGAAGCACGTTCAACACATGCATTCTTGGAGGTCATGTCGAATATTCCTTCTATCGTTCTAGACGTTGGGAAAGAAGTCAATACGGCCATCGAAGAAGTATCACTGTACGATGCTGATTATCGTCTTCTTGCACGATTAGCCATCTTCGCTCTGGCCGAACATTCAGTTGGGACTCTCAACCTTTCCTACTTATTGGATTTACCCCAATCCCCTCCGTTGACAGAGTATATCGACTTGTTCGGTAGATCAGCGGATGAAGTGACAAACTTGGTGATGAGCCATTGCGAACTTGAAAGTGAGTTTTCTTCCCCTTTTCCTTTTCCTTTCCCCTTCTCCTTCCATTTCAGTGTGCGTTAATTTCTTGCATGTCATTTCGCCCCATCTTACATTGAACGTTACTATCATCCGAGCTGATCATAACAGTAATGTACGACTGGGTTCCCTGGCCATTCCCCAAAGCCCACGCTGTTGATCTCACCCACAACCCTAAATTAACGATTATCCCTTTTTATCTCGCCTTCATCCCTCATTTTCAATACGTTCGACTCACACATCCATCAGGCTACGACATTTATGTTCTTCGTACCGAAAACAACCTAAGACTGAATGCTTCACCTTCAACACCTACATCACCCTCACAGGTATATGCTTTACCTAGATCCGAACTTCAGAAATTGCCTGCACCATCTCCAACCAGATCAAGGAAATCTTCCTCGAAGAAAAAACAAGAAATCGGAAGTTCGTCACTTGTTACGATTCTGATCAAGAAGGTATTGGATAATTTCGCTTGGTACAACAAATGGCTAGATGAAGGTATACCACCTCACTTGAGATCGATTCTGAACGAAAGTTACATATGTGAAAAGTGTGGGAGATTCTGTCGACCTGATTCACCACATTATAAGCAACCTTTGGAAGTCCCTATACTATGTAGAGCGAGCAAGCAGAAAGACGAAGTGATTCATGATAGCGACGTGAGGAAGAGAACGGTTTTCAAGCTTATTTTGGAGGGATGGTTTTGTGCCACTTGCAAGATTTTATTACGTGAGAGGACGAAACCACCTCCAGAACCACCAATGGGAGATGGGATACCACCGCCAATGCCGGTGTGGCCAGAACCTGAAAGTGAAGAGGAGGAGGAGCAGGGGGAGGAGGACCAAGAAGGACAACAAGGACAACAAGAAGACGAGGAGATCAACGTTGCCACCCCAGCGACAATTTGATAATGTTTTGAAGGTTTAGTGATGGTTCACCAACACGAAATGACTGGAATTGGTGTATAAATATTCATGATAACATGTTTCTTGTTGACAACAAATGTAGCAAACTAGTTTCCTGTATAACTTGATGTTTTATGTCTTATATGCTATATATGTAGATAGGTACCTAGATGTGATTGTTTTTATCCTCCTTTCCCTTTTCCTCTCGCCCTAACCTCCTTTTCGATGCGTGATATGGACTTCCTGTGATCTGATGGGATACAAATACAACACAACAACACAAAACAATCGGAAAAACAACATGAGTTGAACAACCGAAGATATTCAATGACTTCACAAAAGCTCAAGTCTCTTCCTTGATATCCCTCATCTCTCTCGTGGTGCCATCGCTAGTTGCCAAACTGCCTTTCCGTAAATACAACGTTTGTAAGATCGAAGGTGTCTCATGTTCTTCCATACCTATTGACCCCATCGGACCGACTTGTGAAGATGTAGGAGGGGCAGGAGAAGGAGCTTGTGAGACGATCGGACTGAGACGAGTGACCGTTTGATGAGGTGGACGGACGGCAGATCCTCTAGAACCGAGGAATCGGGAGCCAGTCAGGAAAGAACCTGTTTGGTTGGATTGATGTGTACCAGAGGGACTAAAATGACCTTTACGAACTCGTCGGCGGACGACACGTTTTGTACTGCTTCATCAATGCTTGTCCCCTGTCATGGTGCTTGATTCAATGTTGATTCAATGAGGAAGTAACAGGAAATAGATTTGAACAAGGGGTGTGACGGAGATATGATAGTAGAGACTCACTGCCACTCGACTAAACCATAGATGATAGCATCTAACATGCCTTGGGCAAAGATGAACCAACGTGATACTGCTCTAAGGGCAGTTGGGGGAGTACCTACAAAGTCGTCTTTTAACAATCAGCTCAAGTCTCATCTTTGAATAACAAAGTTAACTCACAGATGATACGGATGAGAGATACTGAGAACAAGAATACATACTATGACCATAAGCACTAATCTCTTTCGCTATCTGATAAGAATAGCAGATGAAGGAACAAATAACTCACAGCGAGAGGAAACCACAACATCAACAAAGCCGTTTTTCTATTCAGATAACTGGCCATTGATTCAGGTACAAACTCCACTATCTCTCCTTCGTCCTGAGCGACTCTTTCATCCCCTGTTCCTGGTGGTCGAGATTCTTGTAACATTCTCATCAAATCGAATTCATCCTCTTCTTCATCTTCCGCCCCACGTTGATTCTCGACATCTGTTGAATCTCTATCCGATAGACTGGGCTGGACGAATGGTGGTGGTTCTTGATGACCACCTGTCGTAGTTGTTGGAACAACGATTGGAGGTCCTGCCCCTGAAGAATCCTTTGATTCCACAGTGCCAGCCGTAGTCGTTGATAAAACGGACGGCCGACGTGTTTGAGGATCGTATGGTCCTGAGGGAGACTCGTTGTTCGCTAACGAAGGAAATGGGATTGCTGCAGAATGATCGAGGGATATAGGAGAGATTCCAGAGAGTTGTCGAGTACGAACTCCAAAGCTCGAAGCTATGCTAGCTGAAAGTTCTGCGGATCGTCTTCTTCGTGGATCGAGGAAAAGTAGTGGTTGGGAAGAGTGAAAGGATGAAGGTAATTGAGTGGGAGCATCATCGTCATCAGGAGCGAACTCGACGTGGATAGCGGTGGAAGTGACGGGGTCAAGACGATTAGGTTGAGATCGAGGAGAAGAAAACGCTGTAATGACAGATCGACCAGAAGAGAGAGAGTTCATACGTGTGACTTTAGTTCTAGGACTTGAAGATGATGCGATGGAAGATCGTTTTCTATATTCCTTTCCACTTAATCCGCGCCAATTTCCCCAAAGACTTGTGGTAGAAGATCGACCAGTTCCTGACGACCCACCATATCTCTGTCCGTCCACTTGGAAAACAGGTAATTCGACATGTTCCCACGGAGGGGTTTCACCACGGGCGACTTCACCAGAAGGGGCTCTGTCAGGAGTCATAGGTTGTGTAGTTGAACTTCGTCGTCTTGCTTGAATTTCTCCTACGTTCGGCGATTGGTCGGATTGTGGTGATTGTGGATCTGGTGTTTGTTTAGGTTCCACAATATGAATTGGGTGATTATTAGGATCGGAATGTTTTTTCCTGAGGAGGGACATGACACCTTTAGCAGGAGCCCGAAAAACGATATGTGACATATCGAAAGATCCTCCAGTAGGTGAATTCGTATATGGAGATCGGATTTTATCGGGTCGACGGAGGAAGACGAAGAGTCTAGAGTAGAAGAACGTCACACAGATGAAAACAAAACCTCTTGGGATAAATTGGATGAGTTCACCATAAAGACCGGAGTTTTGACCATAATAACAAATTCCGCCATTAGGAAAGTAACCATAAAGTTCGTAACCTAGTACCCCCACTGCTATGGCGATAATATATACTGATGAGTCAGTGTGCGCGTACTGCACACATGCAACATGTAACGACTTACCTGATATCCATATGTAGATCCAACGTTTTTCAATCAGAGAGGTGATGGAGTGTAAGGGCTATCATCATCAGTTTATACTACTTATGAGTGGGGTCATATGAGAAAGAACTCACGTAGATGAGTATCATATAGGTTGTAAACGCCAATAAAAGTGTACACATGTGTTCTATGCTGATAAGCTCAATCCCTTGAGTACGCGAAGATCAACATGGACTACACTGGAAAGGTCAAGTCAAAGGGGAACAAAGATGAAACCTACGTATCCAAAAGACGGTCGTTAACATGAATCCTAAACCATCACAAGTTGGTGTCCCATCTTTCAAACCTATGCTCATGTCTACCGCATTTCCTATGAGACCGACGATCCTGTAAATCAGCTGTTATCCTCCGATACTCCCCACGACTTGCGAACCGAGGAGACAAAATGACTCACCCAAGCATCAAATCCGACACAACCAAAGATTCTACAGCTCTTGTTCTTGTTGTTGTTGGTCTACCATGACATTCCAACCATAACATTGAAGAAAGGATACCCAAAGAACCGATGATCGTCAGGGACTGTTTTACCATCAACACATGTTTCCTTTCCCTTCTTCCATCACGTCATCCCCCTGTCTTCTCTTCATTCTCCCCAGAAGCGATATCAGATATACGTGAACTATTAAGAGAAAAAGGTTAAACTTACCAATATAGCGATGGAAACGGCGATAACATATCCATCACTTTCAACCGCACTCGTGGTATTGGCTATCCTAACACCATTATCTCCGTTTAACAAGGCGAGTGGCCAAGTCTCATTGACCAAAAATGTCATCTCCCTATTCGGTCTTTACAACTCATCGATATTTTTCATTCGGTTCCGTCTTCCTCCACTCTGTTGGAGATCTCTACGTCGGCTTGGATCACTCTGATACTCTGAACGGATTCTGATTCTTCAAATTCGATGCCGTTCAAAGATCGCACGCGTTGCTAAACCCTTAAAGAAGATGGGGGGATAGGTTAAAAGACCAGCCACAAAGATGAAATGCTTCGTATGGTCGTACGTTCAGCGGTCGAAAGACGGACAAAAATACTCGATTCTCAAAATCGGAGGACGTACTCTACTCAACAAATCACCCGGCAAAAAGGAGAATTCCGAGAATGGGCGTCCCTGTGAATTTTTAAGATTTTTGCTCCACACAACCCTGACCCTGTTCCGATCGCTCTTTCTCCTTTTGCTTGAGAAGACTGGGGACACGTCGGCAGATGGAGATGAAAGAAGCTATGCTAGTGATGAATAGTTTAATAACATGAGTGTCATTAGCACAAGTTTCTGAAAGTCGACTTACTTCAGCATCCTCACCCCCAAATTTCACTCAAGGGTAGAGTAAAAGTGTCGGCGATCGGTGAATACTTCTTCTGAGTCCCGCCCTTGGGGGCGTGAGAGGCCGTGGGCCGTGGGACATGTTCCCTTCGGCCTTCGGGAAGGACGGAAAGTACGACATGCGTGAGTGCATCACATTACGATCGTTCTTCTGGCGTTCCGAACATGCAACTCATGGATCCCGGGCTCTAAAGGCCAAAGGATCCATGCATTCACAATCCCCACGACCCCACAGACGCCTTCGGACCTCCGGAATGCTTACGTCTTATTTGACGGTGGGGCGTCGGTCACCTTCCCTGAATCGACGCCTTTTGTCTGAGATGCTTGGATGTTTCAACATGTCGCCTGGCCAAGCGCATCAATAAGGTATGTGGGTGGTCTTGGAACAATCAACCCCGAGAGAAAACCTTCGAGTGACTACCCACTCGGGACATGTCCGCATTTGGTGCTTCCATTAACAAGGCAATAAGCACAACCCAGACGCGTCATTAATCATTGACCTTTCTCATACATCATACTTCATCGTTCAATGTCAACAAAGGGAAGATGATACCGGAGCTGAGTTTTCGATCACCAAGTTATGTATGAACTCTAGAGTTTGGAGCGAGGCAAATTCATGCATTTCGTCAACCTACAATATATGCACAACATTGACCCACTATCATTAGATTGACTGCTGTTCATTAAAAAAGATTGATACAGTGTATGTTCAGCTAGGAACACGACCAGCGACCATCCTAGCTCCGCTCTCCACAAATCCTAAAACACCTTTGTGACCAATGGGTAGAAATCCTTCCCCCACACCGGCAGCAACGGCAAGTGTGTTCATCTGATGAAACAAATGATAATCGCGAGGATGGATTCCAGACGGGCTGTACAAGTGGGAACCGGCAATGATACCAACTAGAAATCAGCTCCTGACTTGCTCTGATCTATCTTTGATCCAGTGCACCGTCGTTTGGTGGATCTCTTAACTGACAGAGCTGTGGGAGAAAGGGAAGTTTTGAGGTACTCACCAGCAAAGACCAGAACAGACCATACAGCAAACTTTCCCACTTGATCTTGAACTGCAGTCCTCGAAGTGTAAAAGAAGTAGTTGACGATCCCTGGTCTCTGTCCCGATCGACGACGGTCCGAGAATGATGAAGTGCGTGAGTGCGCCGATGACGAGGGAACACTATCACTCAAGTCCCTCTTAACTTGCGCATCTGATCGACCCTTGAGTTTGTCTTCCAAAACGGTACACCGCACACCTAGAGCTTCGACTACCGCGTCATACTCCCCATACACATCGCCCTCGTCATGCGAAGTTTCGATCCGGGGATGCGCATGGTCGAGCACTTCTTGTTTGTTGATAGGAGGAGGTTCGGCAGAGTATGCAGGTGGAAGAGGAGATAGAGGATCAAGTGATGATCCGGCCGTCGAAGACGAGGGAAGGTCGGGGAGAGGATCAGTCTCCGTGGAAGCGTCCGCATATTCCTTGATCCCTTCTTCCACTCGGATAGACGGCACTGTACTAGAAATATTACGATTCCCAACTTTCTGCAGTGTCAGCTCTGAAGAGAATGGAGAAAAAAACCTCCTCACCCGAGTGCGCTGGGTGGTCACTATAGTCTCCACGTAGCCATCCTCTTCATCATCCCGGGCCTTTTCCGCATCTAAAAGTCTCCGGTTCAGCTCGTCACCAAGGTTCCGAGACAATGTTGGATGGCCAGAACTGCTAGTGAGACCTTTCGAGTGTCCCGACCCCGTTCCAGCGTTGGCCGCGGCGGTTCTCGCCTCGTCGAGATCAAAGCGCATCCGATCAATGGTCTCCTTCAATTGGAGATTTTCCTGCTTCTGCGTTTCAAGGATATTCTCGGCTTGACGAGCAATCGCTAGATCCTCCTCCAAGCGCTTGACTTCGTGCTCCAAAGCTTCTATTTCTTGACGGGTCTTGTCCTCGTCGGCTTGATGAGCCTCAGCAGCTTCCTCAAATTCTTTGATTTCCGTGTCACGTGCGCGGAGCATCATTCGAAGACGTTCTGCCTCGTCTTGGGAAGTGTCAGCACGTCTCTTATGTTATCTGGCAGGCTTACCGCATTGAGTGTTGTACATCTTTTGCATGTTGGCGTGATTGGTTTTGGAGTTTTCGAGGCTGCGTTGTAGGCTCAGAATGTCGGCTTCAAGCTGCATAGTCAGCAGCCGGATCAAGTCAAGAGGTCCGTCCGACTTACTCCTGCAATCTGAATATTGTTGGCACGCTCCTTGCCTCTGAGGTCATTCTCATCCTTGCGCTTCTGTGATATCTCCATGCGAGCGTCCTCCAATTTGTTCTGAAGGTCTTCCACCAATCGTTCATTTTCAGATCTGGTGTTGTCAGCTCACATTGGCATACCATATTATTAGCTTACCCCAGCACTGCCAATTGCCTCTCTGACTCTTTCAACTTTCGGGAAAGCTCTGTGTTTTGCTTTTGCAGCGCTCTCAGTTTGTCATGTGAGGTTCGTAACGAATTGGTAGATTCCGTCTGGTCATGAGCTTTACACCAAATTCCACCGTGAGACGCACCGATAAGTGACTGAGACGAGGGTTTAACGAGTCTTGACCCATCGCAGACAAGGTGTCAGACACTAGATCTCCATCGATCTCATCTTCGTCGCCTGTGCTTTCATGGGGTTGGTCATACGCTTGAGGGCCGCTCATCAGCCTCTCAATGCCCTCCATCTCCTCTTCATCTGGCGATTTCCCGCCCAGGTGGAAAGAAGTGTGATCCAGGCCTGTAGGGGAAATCGGTGAAGTCGGTAGACTCTTGTCTCTTGCAGACATTGCGGGTGAAGCCGTTGTGATAGACATCGAGCTGGCAGTCCTCGTGAAAGGTCTTCCTATGGCCACATCGACTCCTTCCTCGTTGGTAGCTGAACCTGTCGCACCTGCACTTCCACGGCGTCGTCTACTTATAGGACTAGGTCGAGCAAAGCCGAAAGCACTCGGAGGTTGGGCAGCTCCACGTACACGAGCAGTCAGAGGTGAATCAAACCTGGACGGATCAGACAATGTCTTTGTTCGTTTTGGAGGAACAGGACGTGGAGCGAATGAGGCCTGAGTTGCCGACTGAGGGAAAGCGTGTCGAGCTGTAGGAGCTGATTGTCCTTCGAATCGTTGAGTAACGTCTTCGTTATCCGAGCTGGAACTAGATGAATCGGATGGAGAACGAATACGATCAGAATACCTTCGACGTCCTGGTTTCCTCGCTTGTGGGGTCGATTGGTCGCTGAAGGATGAGGGGGGCATGGAAGAGGAGTGTGGCAATCCTGGAGCAGGTGATTGTCTTCTTTGTGGTTTAGGAATCATGCTATTGATTTCAGCGACGCCCTCAAATGAAAACACAGAGATTCGCAGGAATATACTGACGAGAGGAAACTGAACATCTCCTTTGGTCCGAGCTCTAGGTCGGCATGTTGCACGCAGAGCATACGAAGACTCTCATACTCGCTAGGATCTAGGATGACAATGTCATGCTCCTTCTCATATGTGAATAGGACTGGACATGATCAGCGTTGTCCGCTACATGGCGGAACGTTTCGACCTACCATCCGGAAGGTCCCCAGAGAGAACGAAGCCCGCGTCTCCTATGAGACTATCAAGGATGCGTTGCAAGTCCGCAGCGGAGCGTCGCTCAGGAGAGTCCATCTTGGCAACTTTGGAAGACTAGTTATCAGCAAAATGGACATAGATGATGTTGACCCTGGGGAGTAAAGAGGATTCAATGGATTGATGGACCATCAGTACATGGTCCTGACAAGAGGACACGACATCCTTCCAGACACGATGGGGATAGATCTTCAGGCAGACTCACCATGTGTCAATTACAGGTGCTGAGATGTTAAGAATATGGATGTTGTGATCATTCCCCAAACAGCAGCAGATGGAGCATGGAGCATGAGTGAGGACAATGAGCTTGCGAAGCCCTTCAACTTTGATGGCACCAGGCAACCTGAAACGTCCTAATGGCTGGGACGACGCGGTCGTCGGGTGGCCAAAATCTCATTCTCTCGGCCACGTCGGACTTAAGGCATTCCGAGTGCCACACCCTTCGGTCTCTGACACCGTCCCTTATCTCCGAGATTGTTATTCCTCCCAGGTTCACTTGACGACTCATTCAATCGTCAAGCCTGTATCAAAAGTGAGTCCTGGTGCCCATATCCGCATCAAGCAGCCCCACTTCATGGTTGAAAGAGGTTCATGACGCTTGGCGAGGAAGAGACATAGGGGCAATGTCTGCATCCTGACGAAAAATCCGGGCTGGCTGGGTAGTCATGAACTTTTCAGTTCTCAATGGCATCCGGGGGCCCTCGGAGCCAAGCGTCATGTCTGATATTTTCCTCCGCATCTTATCTTTCTGGCAGGATCTTGTGGATATCAGTGAAAAACATCAACTGATCAACAGAATGGGTCGTTTCATCGAATATTCCGTTGTCGGTCGCAAGCTTCCCACCGATGCGGATCCTAACCCCAAACTCTAGTGAGCATATATATCCATTGCATCTCTTTTCGTCGTTGACGTGGTAGCCGCATGCGAATCTTTGCCCCTAACGAGGTGGTCGCAAAATCTCGATTCTGGTATTACCTCCGTCAATTGAAAAAAGCCAAGAAGGCTTCTGGAGAGATTGTCGGTGTCAACGTGGTATGTCTCGACTCGATTGTGTGACCCGAGTGACATGTTGACAGAGTAGATTCACGAGAAAAAACCTTTGAAAGTGAAGAACTTCGCGATCTGGATCAAGTATGACTCTCGGTCCGGAACCCACAACGTGAGTAGCTTTGCCTTCTTCTTTCCTTGGACTACTATATCTTGATCTGCAAGTCCTCTCGTTGGAGAAAAGTCTTTCACTCGTGGGTACATCTGGGCAATCGTTGACGCGGCAGATGGTGAAAGAGTTCCGAGCTTTGTCCCGTGCCGAAGCTGTCGAAGCTATGTACCAAGACATGGCAGCCCGCCACCGTGCCCGATTCAGAAGCGTTCAAATCCTCCGAGTTGCCGAGGTCGAGAAGAAGGACGACATCAGAAGGCCCTACATCAAACAACTCCTCGAGCCCGGTCTTAGATTCCCCCTTCCTCACCGCAACACCAAGAGCAAGGCTTGGTTCGCTGCTTCCAGACCCTCCACCTGGGCTTAAATATGGTGCCATAGTGATACTGTATACGAGAACTGGTCTCAGCATGCACCTGTGCATCATGGCGGCGCTTGGCTCGTTCAATGCTCTCTCACTGCCGCAAAAAGATTCAGTAAATGCAAGATTTTGTGCATGATCGTGACATTCATTATTCCACAAGTAAAGTGCTTGATTGTCTTTGGGATCTATTGGTCTAATCTCTTTATATACAACCTCGGGTTCATCCACCACGTTCGTCACCTGTCAAAGATCCATCCCATCCTACTACTCAGACTCTCATAGATCAGAAATATGAGCGCACTACTGGGAGCAGCCCTAGCTACCGTCAACCCACACCCTGCATACATCCCTCTCAGCCCTCTTTTGCTCCATATTCTTCCCGCCGTAGTCCAGAACCCCTCTCTGGGTAGATTGGGATTGAGTTCCGCTCGAGTCTGCATGGCACTCTTCACACTGTCCGCGGGGAACAAAACGATGTTGTATGACATCCCTGCCAAAGCACCGGAGAACATGAGTTCCCATGTGGCTAAATCCGCCTTAGTCAATCGTGGAACGTCCCGTCCGGCATTGGGGAGAGAGTCCATTTTCTTTTGACGTTGAGCGAGGAAATATGCCGATGAGAGATTGTAAGCTGTAAACCAAGCGGATGAACCGCCGGTCTCACGGAAGAGAGTACCGATTTGACCGAGCCATAGACCGCGAAGACCGTGTTGTCGAATGGTAGAACGAATCAATTGAAAAGGTCCTTCCAGAGGAGGTAGACCCGGACGAGGAGGATGAAGTGTGGAAGTTAAAGTTGAAGTGGAAGGTGAAGATGAAGAGGCAAGTTGAGTTATTGATCGTGTTTGGGGATGTATTGAAGTAGTTGGGATAGAAGTGGTATGGGCATGTGAGTGGGAAAGAGGACCGAAAGCTCCTTCACGAGCTAACATTTGAACTTGCATTCGACATTTGATGAGTTCGATGGGAGTTCTGCAAGTCAGTTTGAATTGACATTCGTATCATAGAGTAGTGATCTTGTCGATGGAAGAATCCCGAAGTTTGAGGAGAAGAGAAGTGCGGAGAGGAATGGAAACAACGCACAAGACGAAACTGGTGACTGCTCCTGCGGCTGCAGCTGCCAAAGCGAGCTCAGCTTGACTCAATTGTCTTTTCTCCAAACTCGTGTCGGTCGTTTCACCGGGCCGAAAATGAAGGATGATATTCTGAGTTTTACCATATACGAGAAATAGACAAGCGTTCTCGCATGCTGCACCGAGGAGAGGAGCCGAAAGACCCTAAAACGTGTCAACTCAATCCTCGTGTGTCATCATTCCTGGCATTCCTCCTACACAAACCAGTCCGAATGTGATGTGAGTAAATGTCAAATAGACACAGCAAGAAGGTTGAGAATAAGATGTAGAGGATATACTGACTCGGTATAAACCTTTCCATCCTTCATGAAGGTAAGTTTGCTTGAAACAATCCCATGGTCCGGTAAAAGTCAATGCTCTGTCCGTCGGTTGACTTTGCAATCTTACTTTGACTGATGAGGTCAGCTACATGTCACATTCTTCGATTCTTAATCATATATAACTCCTAAGTCTTATTATAGTGGGCGGAAAATGGGCTTACCAAGATCGAACGGATGCTCAAAGAGTTTAGCTACCATCCCTGCGAACTGAACATCAGCGAAAGGCTTGGAGCATGGGTGAAGACTTACACTACCAAACACCATATCCTTCACTCCTGAGTCTTCGTGTCCCATCGTTGACTCCACTATCTTGTCTTTTATGCTATAAGTGGTCTGAGGGCCGCATGGGTTGATATCCGGAACGTGAAGTAGATGACAAAAGGAATTAGAAGACGAAGGATGGAAAAAAATGTTGAAAAGCAGGCACGGTTTAAGTTTCTTTCACTAAGTAGCCGACAGCCGATCGAACGACACTAAACTTGGCAACGACCATTTCTTCTCTTTCACTTGCTAATCATAATCATGGTGAGGGTCCAATATCTATTGAAACAGAGAAAGGCTGACAACCAGCCGATACGTACGAGACAAGCGGACAAATACAGCGATGCAGATCCGGAATTCTTGGCTTTGACGAATAGACAACGAGCTGCCATCGATCGTGCCTTCGACCGAGGCCTGGCGACTATTTCTCAACGAAATCAACGACATGAGAAGCGACGCAGGATCGATCCCACTTTCTCCGAACATGACGAAGAAGGGTACATTGTTGAAACATCCAAGCAAGACGTTAGATCGGATGAACAGGAGGAAGGAGGGTTCATACCTGACGACGAAGGAGGTTTTTTAGATGAAGCCGAGGGAGGGTTTCTCCCTGAAGATGACGAGCGTATGGGATCTCCTTCCCCCGACCTCATTCTTGATACAGATAACCCTTCCATATCCGAAAATAATCAAACAGCTAGAGTACCACTCCATCTTCTTCCCACGTTATTAACATCTCTGGGTTTACCATCCGATTCCGATGTCTTATCAGTCTTCCGATCCTCCGCCTCTGGTTGGGATGCCGAATTTGATGCCGATAGCAGACGTCGTAAACGGGGTGAAGAAGAGGCGGGAGTTGAAAGAAAAGATTTCCGAGCAGTCTGTGCTGCTCTCATGGGACCTGATGAAAATGAACAAGATCTTGGATCCGAAGATGAAGAAGCCGCCGATGCTTTTACTCTTCCCGATGACTCAGATTCCTCTCTGTCCCCAATCTCCTCAGAATCGTCCTATGGTGGTCGGAGAACATCTAAGGGTAAGCAGAAAGCGACGGAAGAGGATAGACCCGCGAAAGGGAGGAGGAAGAAGTTGGAAATGAATGGCCCGGTCAAGCTATCAACGCAACAGAAGGAAGCAGTGAGAGATATATGGGAAATGTTGAAACCACCTGGGGAACAGGGCAAGAGAGGACATGCGGCGAACATACTGGGTGAGGAAGAGGTAAAGAAATGGGCTAGGGCGTTGGGTGAGATGTGGTCGGAAGATGAGGTGAGTCGTGTCAACTTGTCCGATTTTTCAATCACTCATCGTCATTGATGATTGATGGTCACAAGACATTATTCACTACAGTATGTCTATGATTGTTTGGACCATGGAGCTGATATGTCAGTTGTCCGAGATGGTGACGTTGTTTTCCACACAGCATGAGCAAAGAGGACTCAGTTTCGACGATTTCAGTGCTGTCATGCTTCGTGCGGGTTTGGTGTGAATCGTTTGTGCATGATGCATATCTTCACTATCTTACAACGACTTCACTCGCTGAATGCAATCATATGGTCGGTTCCCGCAAGACAAAAACCCGAGTGGACTGACTTTCACAGCCTTCCACAGGAATCGAGGTTGTGGCGGATGGGCTATACCGGTATCCAAACGACAGGGCTGAGAACATCTCGACAATTCGATCGTCGACGAGTCACGGTGACGCGTCGAAGTCAGAGATCAGAAGAGTCGAGCTTTCCGGGGGAAATGCTCTAATTATTTTACTGCTCCACCGTGATCACCCGGGTGACAGCATAGAGATAAGGATGCCGTCACAATTTGCCAAGGCCAATTGAGCATAGAAGGGAATGCAACATAACGTTCCATGAATTGATCATCAGAGCCATGTCGAGTCATCTCGAAGACAGAAATGTATATCCATGCATATACGGTGCATACATACGATTCTACCATGCTACCAAACGCCGAGGTGACAACCCGTACCAACGAAGAAACGGAGCAGGAATTTTCTCGCTTTGGTCCACTCGCGTGCCAGGAACCCAACCTCTGTACCTTTCTGTATGTCCGAAGCTGGTTGGTTGCCACACGAATCTGAGACTTTCTCGGGCCGTTCGGTCGAATCGTGACCGACCCGAAAGGCCGTGTTCGAGCGGGAAAAATTACAAGGGCGATAAGAGAGACTTGATAGAAAAGTGACGGCTGTACTGTAAAAGGTGAAGAAAAAGGATCCGGTTCTGCCATTCTGGGTCTTGGCGCTTGATCCGTGCACGTGGTTCCGATTGGTGGTTGACCCTGAAACCGAGATAAGGGAATGAATGACCAATCAGAATCGAGTTACTCATGACAGGGCTATCAATGGGAAAAAACTCGAGTGAAGGGGAAAAAAGTGCAGGTTTGAGACCTACGACTACTGATTTACCATACGCGGTGTTCTCTCCTTGTCCCTTTTCTGCTCTTTGCCTCTTTGCCTGTTCCCTGTCCGCCCCGCTCCCCGCTTTGATTTTTTGACCCGCCTCAAACCCCACATATACAGACTGAACTGATTCTTTTCATCCCGTTCTCTTTTTTCTTTGATCTCCATCAACAATCCAGCTACTTTAGCTGTTGTCTCACCAATTGAATATAAAAGATCATTGACAATCTGTCAAGATGGTGAATGTGACGTATACGGAAACGTCGAGCGATTTGCTTTATTATCAAGATGATGGGACTCCCGTTCTTTACAACCTGGGTGATATGGCCTGGGGTGAGTCTCTTGTATCTTACTTCGTTTTGTGAAGAGGATGGCGGATTGGTGTAGATTGGGTATGACGTGTGGTCACGGGAGACGTACATTAAATAAACAAATAAAAAGAAGCTGTGCTGATACATTTAGTCATCGCTGCCATGGCGCTCGTGTGGATCATGATTCCCGGTGTTGGATTCGTGAGTCGTGTGTCCTTTAAGTCGCGTGCCAAAATACTTACACCCCTAACAGTTTTATTCGGGTCTGTTGCGACGTAAAAACGCCTTGTCGATGATTTTCCTTTCCATGGCAGGTGTGGCCGTCGGTTCTTTCCAATGGTTCTTCTGGGGTTATTCTCTTGCTTTCTCTGAAACCGGTTCAAAGTAAGTTTGTCCTATCCTACTTACTGTTTGTTTTTCAGTCCTCGCTGACCTCTGCAGGTTCATCGGAAATCTCAAATACTTCTGTCTTAAAGGCGTTCTCGCAGAACCTTCCATCGGATCCACTCGTATTCCCGCTCTCCTCTTCTGCATCTACCAATGTATGTTCGCCGTCATCACCGGTGTCCTCGCCATTGGTGGTTTCGCTGAACGATCAAAAATGGGACCTGTTCTCGTCTTCATGTTTTGTTGGCTCACCTTGGTCTATTGCCCTATCGCCAACTGGACTTGGAACTCCAACGGGTGGGCATTCATCATGGGAGGACTCGATTTTGCCGGTGGAACTCCTGTCCATATCTCATCCGGTACCGCCTCTCTGGCCATTGCCATTTACCTAGGCAAACGTCGTGGATACGGGACTGAACGTCTTGCTTACAAACCCCACAACACGACATACATTGTCATCGGTCAGTTGAAGGGCTGTGATCAGAATTTCCCATTGCTGACTTGTAGGAACCGTTTTCCTCTGGTTCGGATGGTTCGGTTTCAACGGTGGTTCCGCTCTTTCCGCCAATCTTCGTGCCGTCCAAGCTTGCATTGTCACCAACCTTGCCGCTTCAGTCGCCGGTCTCACTTGGATGCTCTGGGATTGGCGTCTCGAACGTAAATTCTCCGCCGTCGGTTTCTGCTCTGGAGCTATCGCCGGACTTGTCGGTATCACCCCCGCTGCAGGTTTCGTCGGTTCTCCAGCAGCCGTAGCTATCGGTTTCCTCGCTGCTACCGGTGCGAACTTTGGTACCAAGCTCAAGTTCCTCATCAACGTTGACGAAACCCTCGATGTCTTCGCTTCCCACGGTATCGGTGGGATGATTGGTTGTGTCTGCACCGGTCTCTTTGGTCAAGCTTCCGTCGCTGCGTTTGATGGAATCACGGTTATTCCCGGTGGTTGGTTCGACCATCACTACGTTCAACTGGGATACCAAATTGCCGATGCGGTCTCTGGTTTCGCTTACTCTCTCGTTATGACAACCATCATTCTCTGGATCATGCACTTTATCCCTGGTCTTAGACTACGTGCTTCTGAAGAGGGAGAGATTGTTGGTATCGACGAAGCGTATCTCGGCGAGGTCAGTGCAATTTCTAAACATATCGATTCCTTGTGATTCCTGTGTCAATCTTCATAATCTCAAGCAGCTGATGGGAGGGCAATGAGCTGACAAATAGTGGGCATATGACTACGTCGGTATTGACCCGGAACTACGACTTCACCGTATCGAGTCCAAACCTCATCTTTCATCTGGTGATGTCCTCACTACCACTCCTCCGGACGAAGAGAAAGCCGTACCTGCAGATGCCACCGGTAACGCTCTTGCGGGTGGTGGTCGAGTAGATGTTTAAGCGATGAGCATGATGATATGTAGAGGGTTTATAGTGTTTCGCTCATCTTGATTTTAATTTGCTTATGAGTAATAATTTGTTCATTACATATTCTTTGTCGTTAGACGTAGACTGAGATGCACCGTGTCACGTATATTGCTACACTGCCACATCCCTCACTTCTGACACCTCTCCCTCTCGTGTCCTTCGACGTGGTTGATCTCATATCTATCCACTCAAAGGATGTAGTCACTCGATGGCAGCATGGAACACACCGTGATGAGAATTATACACTCCGTACAGTATCACTTTGTCAGGCTTTTGTTGTTGACTAGTTGACTGCTGTATGCTTTATGCTGCATGCTGCACGGTGCATTGTCTAGACCAGTCCCATTATTCATGAGCCCATGAGTAGAAGCGAATTTCTTACATCAGCCATCGTATCAATCCCAACGGCCAACGGGATACCCGAGTTTTTTTCCTCCGACCTAATCGGTTCAAACAAAAACCAGTGGCGTCAGGTCCGAGATCTCTGTCTCACGCTCTGTTGGGTTTCTTATCCAGTACGATCCGCAGCCAATCAGATTTCGTCAATCCTTTTCTGTCCCAGTATTTTCCATCTCCGATTTTACTAATTCCCTTCTGTCTCCCCCATAGATTCGAACATTCTTGGCCAAACCCTGATAATCGTCCTAAACAACAGAGGACAATTGAGAAATCTTTTGAAATCTGGAATTTAGAAAATCTGCTGGTGGTCTTAGTGACGAGTAATCACGTGGGGAATCGTGCCTCTTCAAAAACCCTGGATTGACGGTGAAAAACCCCCCCTTTCCCCGCTTATTTCGCCACCGTATTCTATTATTTGTGAGAGGTTTGAATTTACGTATTGGGACACTTTTACTTGATTTGCGTAAAGTCGAAATTGAGGATAGACAACATGCCTGGTCAAGATTCTGAAGACAGGGGTCGGCAGCCTATAGTGAGTTCTATTCGTCATCAGATGTTGGGGACGTTAGCATACATGTCAGTAAGAACTGTGTGAGGATAAGGGTCGTTTGAGGGATAAGGGAGCGTCCAGATGTGCGATTTACCTTCAAACTTGTTCTGAGGTTGAGGCGTCGAGACAAGGACCTCATGAGTTGAGGGTAGATGATTCATTGAAGGAATGGAGCAAGAGGATGCAGGACGACACTTCGGAGGAACGCTAAGAGGAAGAAGACTCAAATTGGGGGGAAAAAGAGATGCTGATGTTAGGTTTCCACGGGTCGAGGTGGAGTGGGAAATTTGGTCAGATCCGCAAGTAGAGGTATAGACCCAGAGGTTAAACCGGGTTATGAGAGAGGTAGGGAGATTACTCCTTCTGAACATCCTGTGGATCATGTGAGTGTTTCACTTCCATCCTTCCTTTTAGTAGTAGAATGACATTTCATACCCTCTGGCCCGTCTGAGTCCCATACGTCCATTCACCAGCAAAAGCAAAAGCGAAGAAATGTTGGCCCAAGAGGACCCAGTCATAATGAGTCAAATCGTGGTGGTCAGAGAGTATGGTCGATAAAAAGTGGAGAGACTCAAAGATGATGACGTTGAGGCTGACATAAGGTAACCCACGCTGGTCGAGGAGGAGCAGGTAACATTCGTTCACCTTCTCGTGAACCAGGTGTCCGCAATGCCGAGGCAGACGAAACTGCATACGAAAATAAACTCGTGGCTGAAGTACGGGGTCGTCAGATCGATGAACCATTTTCCACAGGTCGAGGTGGAGTTGGTAATATATCAAGATCAAAATCTAGATCTCGTTCTGCTGTCAGGGAACATCACGAAGTTTCTCATGGACGTGGAGGTTTTGGGAATATTTCAGAAGAAGATCAAGCACTTGAGGGAGGTAAAGAGAAGGAAAAAGACGGTTTGGAGGGAGAAGTTGTTGTGAAACATCATCATGCTGAGGAGAATAAGCCGTAAGTTGTTTACTGCCATTTTCCCCCCAATACCCCCAGCCCATCCATCTCACCTCCCAACAACATATCACAGAATCACCAAGAGGGCACGATGAGGGCATGATTTGTTGGACATGAATAGTCCGTGAAGTTTTATCGCTGACTTTCAGACACACATTTGGGAAAGGCGGAGCGGGTAATTTGATCCCTCATGAACCTCACGAAACTGTTGACCCGTCTACTCTGAATGCGGAAGAACGTGAAGCCCACGCCAAGATACATGCACAAGAACATGGTCATTTCACCCCTACTGGAAGAGGGTGAGTCAATCTTTTCTCTTTCTTTTAGCGTGCCTTTCACAGTCCCCCCTCCCCCCCTCTTTCCCCAATCATGTATGTCTCCTTGTAGGAGCCAAGCATCATATCTTCACCTTCCATATTTCTCCAGGCTGAAAAGCCAATGTGAGAAAGAGAAGTGATAGAATGATTAATGAAGTAAGTATGCTAATCCTTCAGCGGTGCAGGCAACTTCCATCCCGTTGACGGACATGAAGAACGTGGTCGGGATGCCCATAAAGGTGGTTTGTTGGGTAAGATCGGACGTAGTCTCAGTAGAGCTACAGGTAGGGAGAAAAGTTCCGAACGAGCTAGAGATTAAATCATGTGTTTTCTACATGTCAATCTATCGATTTATTGATTGTGTTGAGGAGTTTTCTTTTTGGAGATATCTTGGAGTTGGTATATGTAATGCGCTTGTTAGGGAATATTCTTACAGATGTCGATGATATGCACTTGTGATCGGTTTTACCATGTCCGCCAGATGTGCGCAATTTCATGCCATTGGGTAACAGGTACAACCATGAACGATGATAGAAGGGACAAGGAGAGCATTGTTCAGTGGTTTGCCAATATGTAACCTTATTGGGAGGCCGCGGAGCGGACGACCGGCGTGTCTGGTCTCACTGAGAGGAAGGGAATGGGTAGAATGAAGGTGCTTTATTATGAGGGAATGCAAAGTACACCTCGGTGTGACATTTGTTATCATGGTCAATCTGAAAACATATGAGACCCATGGCATGTCCAAAAGTACCCAATCGTAAGTAAAATGAATGCTGAATCGAAACTTCTTCCCATGTCATTTCCCTCTTCCCTGTCCATGTCCTTCACATAAAGCTCATCAAGTCCATCTTCTCCTGTCTATCCTTTCTCTTTTCTCTCTTCTTCATCCGGGTGATATACCTCTGACCCATCTTGGTCCTCTCCTTCCCCTTGTTCTCCCGTCCTCTGTCTCATCCTTCCGGGCCTCATTTAATCCATCTCACAAAATGACACACGGTCTATCCTTTTTCCTCCTCCTCATCCCACTGGAACCATCAGATCCCCTTCGACCCTGTATAATACCCCTAACACAGCTTTTGAAAGCAGGTTCAACATTCGCATTCGTCCTCGCGCTCGCCTCGTAGAAATCACATCCCAATCGCATGGCCAACCTCTGACCCTCTTCGGTGGACACTTCTCGAAAGGCGAACTGATCACGTTTGTTACCTACTATCACTACTGGTACTCGGACGGATCGTTGTGGATTTGAGAATTGAGTGGGATTGAGTGTTTCGTCTTTGACTCGTAGGATACGTTGGACTATACGTTCTACGCGATCGAATGTGGATCTTGAACAGATTGAGTAGACTACTAGAAAACCTTCGCCGTCACTGTGTGTCAGTCTTGAGACTTTTCCTGACACGTGGTCGAGGGATGTGAGTCATCTTTCGATGAGATGCCAGGGCAGAGATGTGTTTTCCAGTGACCAAACGACATCGCGATAAGATCAATCAGATGTGAGATATGAGCTGGCATCACGAATTGGGGCAGAGATGAGATGGTAATTGGTAAGGGCATGGGATTAAAGGTCTGTAGACTAAAAAGGACATACCGAATCCATTGATCTCTTAACGCCGTATATTCTTCTACACCACATCAGTTCATTGGTCTAAGAAGGAGAAAATGAACTAACCTTGTCCAGCAGTATCTAAAACCTCTAACAAGCAAGGTTGATCATCCACTACCCATTGTTTACGATAACAATCTTCTATCGTTGGATCGTATGTCTTCAGGGTCAGTCACTTATAACACTCTCTGATTCTTCCTTTCATATCTGGCATTGTCTTATGTCCGTACACATTCCGTCCTGATACAGGTCAGGTGTAGGGGAATGGACGAAGGGTATATGAAAAGTCGCCCGGGAAAAGCGTCAGATCGAGACTTACTTCGACAAATGAAGACATGGTGAACTGTTCATTAGCTTGTATCTGGCGCTATCTTTGATGAAACCTCCAAACAGTGTCAATGATCCATGAGGAGGAAACAAGGGGCTGACAGTTGACCATAAAGTGCAGGGGAATATGGTGGGCGATAATAGACCCAGTGGTCCAGATGTGATTTTAGCAACTCAGAACAGTTATGTAAGAACGGATATGGAGTGAGGAAGACCATTGACATCGTGGAAAAGAAAGAAATATTTAAACAATGTGAAAGGATAACTCACTTGAACAGTTAATGCCGTCTTACCCACTCCTCCATCCCCTAAAACTGTAATCTTGCATAACATCCGTGTTGGATGATGTGGCTTCTGATCAGTTCCTTCATCCATCATCATTTATATCGCTTCTTTTGACAGACGTCTTATCTCTATACAAATCACAAAAGTCTTATCTCCCCACGAACCACACAGAAGAGTGAAACCTTTTCAAACATTCTCACACATCTTACCCCGCGTAGTCTTGTGAACCCGATGGTATCCCTTCATGCTGAGGATGTAAGGAGAAGGTTTGGTCACTGAGATACACTCACCATGATGAATAAAGACCAAATTCCAAATGCCAAATACCAGATATCAAATCCAAGTTACAACGTAAGAGCTAATAAGAACTCGTGATATATTCGTTTCGTTTGGTCGTTGGCATGTGCTCGAACGATCAAGTCGATCGACTAGCGTTGAAAGTCTAACGGTTGATATATGTTGTTTGCGTTACGTATTGGAGACGAATGGTAGTAGGATGAACAAGTTCGTTAGGAAGGTAGGAAGGGGAAGGACACTTTGATCACCGGGACCGGGTGGTGGGTGGGTGGATGGGTGGGAGAGAGAGGATGGAAAAAAGACGCTAAAAGAGGGAAGATGAAAGGACCTCTTGAGCGAAAGAAAAAAGTCAAAGTCAATCTTAAGGTTAAGCCGTAGACGGTGGATTGAAGGAAGGAAGGATGTGCGGTCGAAAAATGTACCTTGTACCCGTGATTCGTATCAATTTCTGCTCCTTTGTCACCTAATGTTTTGCCAACAAGTATGAAAGTTTATTTGATCGTATACAAATGTGAATGTTCGTTAACCTCGTGTTTTATCGTAGTATCGTTGATTGTTTTGAGAATCTGGTACCAGTTCGGTAGTGCAGTGTAGTTTTGGGCGTAGACGAAGGGCGAAGATCTACAAATATTGCTCCCCACGAAAACTGAGCCGTAGACTGACTGAGGACAAGATCTAGGCTCTTGACTATTTTTCTTTTACTTTGACGATCAGCGAGCGATCTATCTCGTCGTACTTTCTCCTCTAGTCAGGAGTCGTGGGTCGATAGTTCGGTAGTTCGGTAGCTTAGAGGATGTGGGAAAAGAGTTAAGTCAAGTACGAGATTTTGTTCAAGGTCTGAGCGTTGTAATTCTAGGGTGGATGGCGTCAGATCGGCGTGTGCCGATTATAGGTTGTTCAATCTCCCCTCTTTGGAAAATGAGTCAAGAGGCAATAGGCAGGAGGTAGCGCTCAAGAGGAAGGAGGAAGAAGTAGCAGGAGATAGGGTGAAAGTGTGAGTGTGAAGAAAACGATTTGTGAAAGTTTGACGGGAAAACAATGCACAATGTACTCTCACTTACCTTGAGGGGAATCACTCTAGTACTTCTTCCGGTATTCACCCTAAAGCACGAGCAACTACTGTATATGGGTCACGGCGACGAGTACGCAATCTTTCGTAGACATGCTGATACAAGATGTGATGCTTATGCACATATATACCCTGTACTCGAGAAGAGCGGATCAACATGGATGAGATAGTACTAGGTCGCTCATCATTTAGCAAGAAGACGTTAGACTCTTTCAAAGACGGGCGGTGCCATGGTGCATGATTTATTCAATGTATCAATGTCGGCATGCTGGGATCATCAAATTTCGTCATTTGTCATAATTCTCACTCTTGGTAAGCATATACAAAAGCTTGGATCCACTCAGATCACACTGTCCAATGTCCTGGCTCCGGCTCTGAACTCTTAAACCTTCCATCTTATCATCGAGGGCGAACAGCCCATTGTGTAAGACACGAATTGTGATGGTAGATCAAACAACTCCTGATATTTGACCACGAGCCAACCCTTCAAAAAACACTCTCTTCCCTCTTATACTAGGACAAATAGCTTCTCTCACTCTTTCACCCTCTTGCCAAACCCCATGACTCATCTCCATAACTTCCACCAATGTCCTTCCCACTTTCCTTCCAAGGAGCGCACGACGGACTTGATCTTTTGCTATCTGACGTTCTAGTCGGTAAGCCATGGCGGAGATACTGGCGCTAGTTCGACGAGAGGAAGATGGGAGGATACGTTGAGCGTGAAGTGAAGTACGATCTGGTCTAGTGAGTGGTGATAATGCTGCTGCAAGAGAACGTCGGAGATGAGCTAGATGAAGTGTTGCGTGTATACGGGATAATCGGACGGCCTGATATCATCAGCATTGCTGTCTATGCGAATTACGGCGTGATGATGATTTGAAGGAGGATCAAGAAAAACGTACCGATTCAGAAGCCCAATATCCATGACTCCTCACCCCTGATATGATAGCTACACCTCTTAACGTCCCTCTTCTTATCTACACATCAATCTCTCTTCTTAGATTCTCACAGTTTGGGAAAACTCACCAATTCCGCTGGATCAGGTCGACAATTGAGTGGTGAGAAAAGTTTAAAGTCGAGTAAAGACGGTGCGGTCTGATGTTAGATATATCAATATACCCAAGTGCAGCTATTTTGGTCGTACAGAATATCTAGATGATATGAGACTATTTATGGCTGATTGGGAAGAATGACTTGGAAATCGACATACCTTCTTAAACCATACTCTTCGTAAATACTCATCTTCCTCTACACCAGCGAGGTCTTCCACGCATCTAGACAATACTCCCAGGTCGTCGGGTGATAAATATAGAAAAATCCTCGTTTGTAGCTCCGCCGGTAAGGCGAAAAGACCAAGGGCGAATGAAGTTATTTGATCATCTTCTTTGTTGCGTACGGGGAGGGTGGACATGTCCAGTTGAAGGATTGAGATAATCACGGTCAGTCTCCTATGTTCACAGCTTGGGGCGATTGGGAGAGACTTAAGAGTCGAAGTCTGCAAGGTGGTAGTGGTGATGTTATGTACAATGTGTAAAATGTGGTGTACAATGGATCGTTTGGACAGGAACAAAGGTGGGGAAGACTAAGTCCGGAGTGGCTGGCGGGGTAAGTGTGCAATCGGACGAAACCCAGCCGGTGATCGGTGATACCATGATACTACTCAGCTGGTATGCATTCATGATATGTACTTGTGACTCTGCGCTGCCCAATGTGATTAAATATACAGATACGTAGGATATGAAATCTAGAGAATTGAAGATCACACTCATAAGTCGGTAATTCTCATTCCTTCCGCTGCTAGAGTAACATAAAACAATTCCGTCTCTCCTAAGATGACCATCCTCCCTTTCCCCGCGAACTGGAATCAGCATGTTTCATACTTTCCTCAGAATTTCTGTTCACTGAAATGAATTGGTTAATCTATACTCTGGTCTCCTCGAGCGAGAACCACCAGTGATTCGCCTACGATAGGAGTATATGTATCCAGGAGGGAAAGCAGAGGAAGTGGGAAAGGATTAACAAGAGAAATTCGAGATGGAATCGGCTCACTTGGAAGTTCGCACTGGTTTGACCTATATAGATGATGCCTAATAAAGTACCAGAAGGGGACCAAACGTGTACTCCATCTCCACAGCCCGCATAAACGTTACCTTTGGTATCTGTGTGTATTCCTGACCATCAATCTCGCTTCTTCACTGTCTTGCCATACCCCATTTGGCTACCTTTTTGGTGTTTCTTGAAAGAACCCGATTTGATGAACAAACCAGGATGATTTACGGACAAGTGTTGAGAAGAGGGCTAGCGGGAAACATACCATCAGGAGCGCCAACGTTGATATATGCGAAAGTTATTCTGTCCGATAATGTCCCATCTAAATTGACGGTATACCTGTATCTATCCCATTAATTACACCCAAAATCCTATTATCACGCACTCACATGCTGGAAGGAGCCATGAAATCATGTGGATACGCTCCCTTTTATCTCAGCTCCACGAGTCGCTGAAGAGTTTAGGAGGACTTACAGCTAACATACCCGTATCAGCAATATAACAATATCTCCCATCTGGCGAAAAAGTTATTCCTGACCCTCGTAAGCTGGGCAAGCTGAAAGCGAAATAATTAACGTACCATTACATTTACTAAACCCATCCGCTACCACTACCACCGCACCTGTGTCTACGTCGAACTTATACACTTGGTTCGGTAAGACAGACTCAGGTCTGAAATGTTGTAGGTACCCATAGTTTACGTCGGTGAAATACACTTTGCCATTCTTGGGATGAATGGCTAGGTCGTTGACGGAGTTGAATTGTCTGCCAAAGTAATTGTTGAGTAAGACTGAGGGTCAGGTTTGACTCTTCACACGGCATGGTTACCATAGGATACTCGGGTCCCAAGTTGAGTACTAGCTCTGTGTTTTTTTGAGAGAAGCAAGCAGGAGGCAGGTTCCGCAAATAATGTAGTGTGCATGTAGAGAGAGGGAGTTGATGGAGTATGAGGGAAGCACGGCACCTTGCAAGAACGGTGAACTCACCAGTCGTGTTGTAAGGCGGTAAGGGATTCATGAGACATAAAGAAGGAGGAATATGTTCTCCCATTCCTTCAGCCATGAAAATCATTTCTCCTCTAAAGTTTGCTCCACCTAACACATCAGTCAACGATGATCAGCCCTAAACAGATTCCCACACTCACCATTGGGGTTGATGATAGGCGGATAGGCATTCACGGTCACCACTTCCACCCAACCCGTCCCATTTCCAGCAAGTGACAATGTTTCCGCTTCGGCCAATGATATCTTCTGGATGATAGAGCTCTTATGAAGTCCAGTACCGGCTGCGGGTGGACCGGCCGATTGAGCGAAGAACATTTCGTCTGTCGGAGGATACCTGATATCAACCCTGAACATTCCGCCCCTCTTCCCTCCAACCAGAAAAGAGTTGTCGATCAAAAGATTCAGTCGAAAGTGTCACGATGATATGAAGATGAAGCAGAGAGCTCACCAGACTGGGGCTTCATGAAACAACGGATTCGTCCCACCCGTCGCTATCATAGTTAATGTCGGGTTTCCCCCTATGATCTCCCAGAATCCATCATCCAATACCAAAAACGGTTTCTGTTTCAATGATTCCACGGTGGCTCCCGGAGGCGTGAACAACTACCTTTATCAGCCTCCGCCCACTCGCTTTGAGGTTGGACACAAGACTGACGGTAAAGCCGTTGGCTTCTGATGGTGGGGGTACATGGGGTAGTACAGCAAAACTCTTTGGACTGATGCGTTGAGCTTGGGAAGGAAGTTCGGATGGTACCCATGGTTTTCGACTTATAAAGCTCGAGGGCGAAAGGTAGGCCTGCCATTCGGGCGTGAAACCATTGAGGAGGGGTGCTAAGGTTGCTATCAACGTCCCGAGGATGAGAGTCGGGGTGACCCAGCTCGTTGGAGGTGTAGAAGTGACAGGACGTGGATCCCTCTTCGAAGCAGCAGAGCTGGACATGTCGTCTGGGTTCTAGAAGATAGAACAGAGTGGACGGTTTGCCCCATTGGTGTAATGTGATCGACCATGGTGACTACGATGGACGGGTGGAAAAATCGGGCCGGAATGAAATTGATCCGGAAGAAAGAAAGAATAAATGTCAATCTCGTTTGGGGATCTCACATTCCACCCTTCTTCCTCCGTCTTCCCCCTTCTCATCTGTCATGACTCTCCTTCTCCTGCATTCTGCCACCACGTACCTCGACTACCAGAGCTAGTCGCTCAGCCGTTGGACGCGGAGAACGTGGACGTGGGGCAAGATAACTTCACTTGACGACCGGGTGCCTCATGCCTCATCCTTACCGACCGTTGCACGGATCATCACGCCCAATTTCGATGGTGACCATCAACCAACCCCATGCTGGCGACTCGGTATTTGCCGACGCATCTGCTCTCTGCTCTTTTACCTCGTCTATGTGCTTACTCTTCTGAAAACCAAGATGGCCGAGGGGGCGAAGGATACGGGCGCTTTTGTCTGGTCCGGGCACCATGCCACCATGGACGAGGTCGACTATCGACTAGTGGTGTTCAAGATACGGACTAGACCGAGGAGCTGAGGAATGGGAGTGCGCAGTGGGCGGACAGGCGCGTCACGCGTCGTTGATATTTGTCATTTTTGCTAACTGTGGTAAGTGAGGTAGCGTATTGGCACGGATCTGTTGATGGTTTACTTGATTGACCTGGCTGGCTGCAGGCGACGAGGCCCATGCTGACCAAAGGGGATATGAAAAAAAAGTTTGAGCTCGACAAAACTTATAACCTGTTCTCTCATTATCACTACTTGTTCACTATCCGACTGCCTAGCCTCACTTGTAACTCTCCCTGTGTCTTGATATAGCTACTTACTCATATAGCTCCTCCTAATCTTACAGCATACATCTATCAGTTGTACACATCCTAGACCGGCCAGTCTCTGCTCGTGCCGCCCTCGCAACATGGTCCTCCATCTCGGTCCTGTCAAGAGACCTGAAAAGAAATCTACCCCAGCTCACTTTCCAAAAACACCTTACCTTCAACCTCCCCCTTCCAGCCCTGGTCGCCAAGGACCACATTACCATCGACACAATTCCTGGACGCGAACCGACCCCTTCGCTCCTCCTCAAGTGGAACCTGATCCACCTCCAAAGTCACCTGCTCCTGCTTCCATATACGATCAATTTCGTTCTCGTCACCCATTCGCGGCATCTTCACCATTACCTTCGATTCCCCAACCTACACAACGTACATCCTCAACCAAACCAACAGAAGGATCGGAAAGAGTGATCGAAATCAACGCGTTAGATGATCATAGCTCCCATTTCAAAACCACCCAGCCCACCACTTCGGTCCAAGCTCAACAGGCTAATGGTAACGCTCAACTCACTCGTGAACGTCCAAGACTTCCTTCTCGTACTTCTTCTCTCGACGTCTGGTCACCAGCAAGCACGGCAGCTGATCTTCCCGATATTCCAGAACAGGTTCATGTACAACCTTGGTCACGTACCTCCAACCCCACTCTCGTTCGCCCTTCCCCACTCAACCCCAACACTTTGAACAACGGCACATCTGCACCGACCATCTCGGCACCCGTAGAGTCCGGTTACGACACTTCTTCATCTGTCCCTACTTCGGTTCAACCGCGAAGAAGTGCTCGCCAACAGCCCAATCCTCGCGCTCAGTCAAACATCACCATCACCGAGATGAGCGAACATGGAGAAGAACAAGATCAGCTCCATCAGCTGAGGGATCTCAAGCCTTCCAGATTACACTCTTTGACCAACCTCGATGCTAGGTTCAATCAGTCTGCGCTCAGCGTGGGAAGTAGGGTCAAGGCGGATAAATTACTCGGTCTCGAACCTAATGTCACATTGGCATCACTATATCTAGTCAGTGGTCTGGGTAAAGTGAGTAGATTTCACCCATTTTCTATCATACCCCCAGACATCTAGGAAGTCGCTGACGATGAAGGAACCCGAACAATGGTCTCTAGCCGACCCGGAAGCCACTCGCGGTATACAGACCCTCCCCGACTCTATGGGTCTTTTCTGGCGACCTGAAGTCCTTGGAAACGCCTTTGCAGGGGATACGATCGATGCCTTCAATGATCTCCTCAAGGACCCAAAGGGAAACGTGAGGAGTGGACCGAGATTGAATCCAGCGCTCAAAGACCGGGTCGTGCCAGACGCTGGTCCTGATGGACCTCGAAAGTTGGTTGCTAAGGCTCTGAAATTCGCACATCCTCGTGACCGTGAGTGGTTTCGTGTACCCCCTTCCCCAGTTCGCCCACTCTTTGATGCAGAGCGACCGAGCTGACATCACAGTCGAAGTTGTCAACTCTACTTTGGCTCCCACAGCCACATGCCATGGTTTCTCATTCACTCTCCCTCGTCATGACACCTTGGCTGCTATCGCTCGTACTCGACTTGACTCTGCTCTTCCTGCCCAAGACGGGCACATGGATTCATTCTACGACAATTCCATGCTCTCCTCCATCGACCCCAATGCCTCTCTCGGACAGCTCTCGACCACCAGAGAGGTTCCCCGAGGTATGACCTCCGCTTCTGAGATCCAGTATCACGGTGTCACCCTCACATGCTGGATGCACGTCGACGCTGTTCGTCTAACCCGGTTGAAGCAGATCAAGAAAGGGGTCAAGCTCGCTTCCGGCCTAGGCTCAGTCGCTTCGTCCGTCCCTGGAGCGGTGGGTATGGTGGAAGAGAAATTAGCCAGACGACGGAACAACATGCCGTGGATGAAAAACTCTGCCGCTGGTTCTGAAGCAGAGGTGACTGGTAGCGAAACCGAAACGGGAGCAACGGACTCTGAGATGGAAGGACCTCTAGGTAGAAGAGCTATGAAGAACGCCATGCGCAATGTTAGGACGGCAACCGAGGACATGAGCTTGCCGATGGGCGATGGTGCTGAGTTTGATGATCCGGGAGATGTGTTCTGGTTGCCTTACTGCATTACCTTGGGTATGCTTCCATTATCAAAGTCGACTAACCGACACTGACTCTCAGTTTCTCGATTCCCAATCTATGACACTATGCAGGACTTCCTTCGCCTCAGCGTGAGTCTGCATCGTGACTGGAGAAATGGAGACTGACGATTAGTGGGCCAAATACTCCAAGCAGGCAAAGTTGCACATGTCGTGAGTTAAATGGACACGGTCAAGTACCATGTTGCTAATAGCTCAGACAAGTCCTTAAAATCCTCAATGCTGAACCGCCCCGTCCTGGGGAGCGATATCATCTGACCATCGGTTTGAACCAAAATGATGAGACTACTCTTGAAGGTCACATGCCTGGCGCACTTGACTTTGACAAAGGTCTCGTCAAAGTCGACATGCAACTGTGGCCCCTTTTCCAGGCCTTAGACATCGACCACATTCTCTTTTGCATCGATGTGAGTTCTCTCGTAGTGTGGAATCAAGTATCGTGCTGATGCCATTAGGTGGCCCTGTCCAACTCTGGTAGGGTGGTATTTTGCTCGAAACATGTCGCAATGCTCAACATCGCTGTAAGCGCATTGAAATATATAGTGGAGATGAGAGGCTGGGAAGGAATAGCTTTACCTGTTCTCCATGCTGTAAGTGCTTTGTTCTGTATCGAGAATGATCTGACGTAAATAGAGGGATTCCACTCTTCTGATTGAAGACCCTGGACCTTATATCATTGTATGTGTCCATCTTGCGTCGACTGGATTAGCTTAAAAGATAGGGTCTGACCAGTGAATGTCGATACGTCGTAGCGCCTCCTGCTGAGGTGGTCGTGGTGGACCTCGATACCAAGTGAGGCAATATCTCTGGAAGTCAGATTATGATGGTGTTAACATATAGCTCTCTGGCATGTAGGTCACCGCCGGCCAACGTCGTCACTCCAAAACATAAGCGCGACAAGGCTCGTACCAAGATTCGAAACGCCCTCGGGCCGTCTTACCGTGAGCATGACCAACGTCCTTAAAGACGATACTGAGTGACAGCGGTGGAGAAAAGTATTCCCATGGAGTTCAAAGTCTCGTACCCCACTTCGGCGTTTAGGAACTTCAACAAGATTTACAATACTAGAGATCAGGAACGACCTCGTTATCTGGGTGACAGGTTCAAACCTCCCGGGTGGTGGAAGCACGCGGAAGTGCTCAGCGTATTTGATAAAGTTATGCACGACAAGGTATGTGATCATCGTCTGCTTTGACATGTGCGAGTTGCGATAGGATAGCTGACTAGCAATAGCATAAGAAACCGACTTTGTTACAACGTTTGACAAGGAACGGAATGGCTCGCGGTGAGGCGCAGTTGACCGTGGGCGAGCAGTTAGCAAAACGTATGATGCGGAGACGAGCATGTGAGCTGGAATCTCCTCCTTCTGCGTGACCCTGGCTCATCGTCTAGTACATTATGTGGAAACTCGGGATGACCTTGAGCTCAAGGTGGCAAGGATCAACAGACGATTGTTGAAACTCATGCAAGAGGGAGAGCATGTGAGCCACATCTGCGCCTGTGGGCGATTACGCTGACGAAGGCTAGTGGAAACAGCAATTCGAGACATTTGAAAAATACGCCGATCGTTTAGCACAAGAGGCCAATGAGTTGAAGACCAAGATCGACAAGGAGAAACGGGAAGCGCGGAGGTTGTCAAATCGTCAGTAGGACACTGATACCTGGCTTTCTTGCTGACAATGTAGTCGCGACTGAGCAAGGCAAAGCCAAGGTGGAGCTGGAGGATAGATTGAAAAGAACAGAAGATGCTCGTGCTGAAGCGATGCGTCAGCTGTCGGACATGAACCAAATGTAAGCTTTGACTGGATGCTTGACGTACACAGCTGACCCGGGAAGGATCCAAGAACTGGAACGAGATCGGGAAGAAATCATGGACGTTTTCGAAACTCAAATCAATGGTGTATTACAACATCTACCTCCTGGTTCCCCCCTTTCTTCTTCGCGCGCGACGACACCTGCCCAATCTATCAACTCCCCAGCTGGAAGATCCATGACCTTGCCCTCTCGTGGCCGACCCCTCACACAACAGAGCAACATGACTTCTTTGTCTCAATTGACCGGAGGGACTGTACGCTCTCACGTCATGGACGCATTGGACCGCGTGAGAGCTGGGGGAAGTATGACTGACCGATCTGGACTTCCTGAAGGCGACAAGGCAATGTTCGACCGTAGCGATGCTATAGCTCATCGAATCATGAGTATCCAGGCTAAGCTCGAACTTGCTCTTAACTCCGTTACCGGTCAAAGAGGGAGAAGTGGGAGTGTGTCGTCAGCACATCCGACCGAGGAAGGGGAATATGAAGATGCCGAAGGTGATACTTCGCAAGATACTTTGGGGTTACACGATCTCACGTTACAACCTTCGAGGGGAGAACAAACCCCAAGGGCTTCTACTGCACCGAGACCGGATGAAGATGTACCGGATCTACCTCTCAATGTGGAAGGTAAACTAGAGGTTACTCAAGGTCCTGAAGAAGATTCTTTATCTGTCTCATCGAATGGTACCCACACTCCAATATCAAATGGTTCCTCACCGACTAATGCTGCGCATTCTACCGACCAAACCTCTATGAACCTTCCTACCAAAAAGCATGCTCATGAATCCATCAAAAATCGTATAGAGCGACATGCCAACGAAACCAAAAAAGCAACGGAAGTCAAAACAGTTGAAAAAGACTCGCAAAAAGAATGGGAAGCACGATTAGGTAAGATGAACCTCCAAAACCTTCCTCGTGAAGGTACGATCCGTCTTAAAACCAAAACTAGGAAAACATCCGATTCACCTTCTTTCGTCAATGGTCAAATAGCCGAAGGAGAAATATCAACTCGATCAAGTATCTCACTCTCCACCGCTGACTCGCTCCCTGGTTTAGTGGGTCATAACGACAGAGAAAGAAGTATGTCGGTGGACGATGAAGTTTTGGTCAGTCCTAGTGGGAGTCAAGAAGATCTTTCGACTAAAGAAGTCGGTCAAGGGGAGAAGGAGGATGTGAGGAGATTGTCAATGATGTCTAATGCTACGGTAGCGTTTGGATAATTTGGATACGATTTCTTGTCTGTGATCAGCCCTTAATTAGCTGTAGAACGATGTGGGTGCTGTGGGATAAGTGTGGAAGGAGTCTGTCTGATACATGATACTTGCTTTTGTCTACATGCAGATTGTGGATTCATCAGGACGTCTTTGTCCATGTAGTAATACAGTAGGAGTAAATCACTGAAGGAAGAATACGCTCAAAGGTGTCCGGGTTTAAGACCGAAAAGATGGGTGTGTGCCCATGGGGCCCCCGATTTCGCCTGATCCGCCGGAATAGCCGATCCCATCCAACCCCATCCCATCCCATCTCTTCTTCCCCACCTCGTTTACTCTTCATACGCCCAATAACCAGTTGTCCCATCTTCCGTCTTGTGTCTCACCCTAGACGGTACACTTTCCTATCACTCCCGAACCGCTGCTTATTCTGTATTCACCTAGCTTAACCCGGTTCATATAACACAATTTTTCTCCGGCTTCTCTGTCAATCCTCAATCATTGTATAGTCAAGTTTGGGTAACACACAGTTGGATTTTGGGGAATCTATATTACCAGACAGAATACAGAAATGTCATTTCGACCGGGTCTGAGACTTTTCTTTCCACGGACAATACCTCGCACGTCAAGGCCCGGTGTGAGATGGGAGAAAGGGAGTAGATTCGTGACTACTTTCAATCCTGGTGTTGAAGAAAGAGCTAGGACTGGTGGATTTTCTGTTGTACGGAAATGGGCTGTTAGACTTGGTGAGTTTCTTCTCGGGTCTCCTGAGTTTCGCTCTTGAGATCATTGGCTTCTATGGCGTTCGTGATCGGTCTCATAGCTGTATCCTCGGAAGGGGGGCTGTCATGCAAGTCACACGGGTCGCTTCGGTGGCAGGTATCTCCTTCAAAGTAAAAGTCACGACTAACCTTCCTGGCTCAAGTGACGGAAAGGCATAGTAGACTCAGGGGAAGACTTATGTAGAAAAAGAAAAGAGAGTAGAAAGTCACTGATATGTGTAATATGAGAATAATCTCGGTGTATACCATGCAGTGCGAGGACAAAAGTAGTTGACACCTTAGCACTCCTCATCGCTTTCCCAACTGTTTACCTAGCAGGAGCCGCTTTCCCACCTCGATTCGTACTTTTCGTATTTCCACGTTATTCACCTCCTCCTCCCGAGAAAGATTCTCATCGTGGTAGAGCTTTGACGAATGATGTGGAGAGGGAGTTACAGGGTTTGTGGATAGTACAACAGATGAGGGGGAAAGAAGGGTGGTATGAGGCTCGTCAGTATCTTTGTTTTCTCCTCTTGTCCTGTTTCCTCCTTTTCGTTCTACCTTCATACTCGTCCCGATGGTATTTACCAACTGCTCCTTGTTGAACTTACGCCTCTTGATTATAGGCAAGACCCGCTCCGCTGTAAGGAGTTGAGAAAGAAAAGGCAATTATCGCAGCGAACATGAACAGACGGTGGTATAGTGTACTCAGATGTAGGTCGAATAGACTGAAGCTGATATATAGGCCCATATGATAGATTCGACCCTCAAAAAATACATAATTCTCTCACTGCTGGATCATTAAGAGGTCCTGGTAAACTTGCCATCCCTCCGATAGTATTCGCCAAGACGGACGAATCGGAAGCTGTGGGTGAGTGGGGGTTTAACCATTCACTGAAATCGCTTGGGGGATATGCCAAGTGTGAAGGGAGACGATACTCATCAGGCAGCTATCGTTCATTTAGGTCGAGCTCTCTGTGGACATGATGGGATAATTCATGGAGGTCTCATAGCTACTGTTTTTGACGAATCATTAGCACGCAATGTAAGTACATTCATTTTCTCAATAGGAGGAGAATGGGAAGTTGATTCGTAGGCTTTACTCAACATCCGAACGAATATCGGTGTGACGGCCAAACTGAGTGTGGATTACAAAGCGCCTACTATGGCTGATCAAGTGGGTCGTATCTCTAACTCCGTTCTCTTTTTGAACTTACTTTCTCTCTGGCCTCATCATTGAAATCCTCCTATCACATTGACATGGTTCTCATACTATGACGACATAATATCTTTCCAACTCGATCTTCCGAAGAGGAAATTTCTCACCCCAAGAGTTACGCTGAAATCCAGTTCGTCATAGTCCGCACAAAACTAGAACACATACACGGTCGAAAAGTCTCTGTATCAGGAACGATGGAGACGCTCGACGGGGAGAGAGTGGCAGAGGCTAAAGGTCTATTTGTGGAACCGAAATGGGCCCAGTTCTTGCAATCTTCTGGTGTCACTCAGGCTTTGGGAAGAAGGGTTCCTATGCCAGAGGCTGGTCCTAGTTTGTTGGATGACGATGTTGAGCGGGAGGTGTAAACTGCGCCGTCATTCCCTTCACCTTTCATCTTATACCCTTTACCAATTACCCATCCTCTCCCTCACATCCCTAGGAGTGTCCCTAGCCATTACACCCGTCGAGATTCTTTCAATTCTCCCTAGAGACTCTTCGCTCTTCTCCCGGTTCGTTACTCATATGGATAGGAGCACAAGTGTCGCACGAAAACGGGACGAAGGGAGAGGGAGCAACATACAGCAGAAGGAGAAGGCGACCCTGTCATATCTCGGATATCTGACTGGGAAGGACGTTATGGAGACATGATCTAGAATATCGATGATAATCTTAATGTGCTCATTTTGTCAAGAAAAGCATTATGGTTCTTTCATTCAGACAAGATGACTACCTCTTACGACACTACGGTTAATTTCCAACCTTCCAGCGCTCTATACTGATGATACATGTCATGACAAGACGTTACAGTGACAAATTAACTTTTTCGACTCGGGCGCGATTCATTCTTTCTCCACTACAGTTTGAGTAGTGACGACGATGTTGAGGTCGACTGGACCTTGTCGGTAGTTGTTATCCAATGGAGCGACAAAGTGTTCAAGCTGTTGATCAGCGCTGATACAATGTACAATCATCCATGACAAAAGACGAGATATATTCCAGTGAGTAGTGAGGATAGAGAGCTTAACACATGATTATTTGACTCACAGCAGTTGGTATATCTCCAACTTCCTCTCCTTCCCTCAAAATCCTCGCTCCAGGTTGAGCAGAAAACGGCATACTTATCCTCTCACTGGTTTGACTAACGGCATGACTCTCAATTTGACTCTCGGCGAATTTAGTCATTTCCATTTTATCCAAATTCAATCTTTCGTTCAATACACCCCAAGGATCGATAAAGGCAAATTCTGCAGTTGTAGGTGTTGCCAATTCCGAATCTACGGAAGCAGGATCATGACGATATTGATATGGATGAGGTGGATAAGCGTTATTGTATCTTTGTTGTTGAACGAATACTGGGGTTTGTTTATGAACTCCCGCTTCATGTGCCATTGAACGTGGGAGAAGGATCATTATACTGATTGCTGTGCTAGCGAAAATTGTGGTCATCCCAATGATGAATAACATATCGGACCAGAAGCTAGTTAGTCAGCGATTTATCTCTCATAACAATTCTCATCAACGACACCTTCTGTATTACACGACGAAATAACAGTCGCGAGTGACTGACATGGTAAAGAAAAAAAAATTGGGATGGATACATTGACCGAGAGGAGGAGAGAAAAGTGAGGAGGAAAAGAATGAAACTCACGGAGTGGTATTGATATACCTATGTTTCGTCTTTCCATCAAAAGCAAGTGTAGCGATAGCAACTGAATAAACAGCTCTGAGGAAAGTTCGAACGGTATTGAGTTCTTTGAAATATTGTAATCTTGCAATGACGTCCGGATTGGCACCTTGTTTAATCGATTCACGGATGAAACCAGGGAAAACGGAGATGAGCCAAAAACTACTGATCATGAGGATAAGAGCGGAAATTGATCCTGCTAAAAAGAGGTTTTCTTCCATTGATAAGAGGTCTGAAGGGTTGATTTGAGTACAACCAATCATGACTCCGTATCCCTGTAAGTGAGCTGTTATTCTTTCACTTTTATCACCCCTGATGTTGCTTCTTTGCATCTTTAATTACAGTGTACTTCCCTCCCCCTTCCTCTCCCCACCGCTTAGAATACTCTACTGAGTCTGATCTTGAAATCAGTCGAGGTGAATGAACATGGCATGAACTTCTGACAAGTGAGGTGAAAGAAGAATGAAGTTGGAAGAGAATGATAAGATGTGTTCACTCACAATGGCAGCACATGCAAGCCAGACTTTGAATTGTAAACTTTGAAACCAACTTCTAGGATCACGAGTACGAATAGCTCGGATCAAGTACATCCAATAGAGTGTTTCTTCGCCATGTATAGCAAGAAGACATGCCCAACCGATGGCCATGCAGTAGTAAGCCGCACGGACGAGCGCTGTCTTGCGTTTGGACCACTGGACATCAGTTCGGTGATTGACAAGTAGATCACTCCCATGACGAATGCGAAGGATCAAGGATCGAGAATGGAGTCATGGAATGAGGAAGAGGTAGGAAAACAATCAAGACAATTACTCACCAGTAGATACGGAACGGGCATGATCTCGGTCTCTGTCGGCGAGAGCGGGATAGCGGCATATCCTTCGGTATATTTCACATACACGTTGAGCCCATCCCAACTCATAAACTACATAATCAACAATTCCTTCTACTTGAATTAGGAAAGAAGCAGACTTACGAGAATCAAGGAAAGGATGAGCATCCACTATTTTCGGTCAGCTAATTTTTCCAAATGACATCTTCACATTTTTTCTACTCTTCTTGTTCTTCCTATCATTGGTGTCGGAAACCTGATATCAGATGGTTTGGGAGTACTTTATAGTGGCGAAAGGGAAGAAATAGAAGAAGAAGAAGACACTAACAGTGATTACCCATCGGAAAGCTCCTCGTCGATGATAAATCAAACATCTACCACGATCGAAACTCCAGATATGCCAAAAAGCGAACATCACCCCACCTATGGTAACTACAAGACCCAAAGCTGTCGCAGCAGGAGATTGATGACACATCTTTCTTCTACTGTCTATACGAAATCTTCGCTTTTATACAAAGTGCCAATGAGGACAAGTGGACGATCTCGACCGAACAAGGATGTGAGAATGAAAGAGGTAGAGAGGAATTTGTCGTTCTTTCCGGATCAAGTGGAGAATATATATTCTCAAAAAGGATGAAATGGGGAAATGAGATGATCGTCTTCCGACTGGACAGGCCGCCTGCGGCTTGGTACGAGAGTGAATTAGTCCCACTCAGTGTGGAGGAATGAATGTAATGTAATGAATTGATGGATGAAGTTCAAAGTCGTGTGGTATGGTGTGGAGGTGGTGTGTAAAGAGGAAATGTAGGTACAAACTGTATGAAAGACACAAAGAACCCTTTTTTCCACCCTAGATCATAGAAGAGAAGTGTGGAGGGGGAAATCCAAAGCTTTTCTTCACCTTCTAACCGAGTGTCAAAAAATCTATAATAATAATGTTAATGAGACGAACATTAACGCGCGGATCCCTCTCTTGGTCAATGTGTCAGATGTCAAGTGTCAAGGTCAGGATTTAGAAGAGGTCCGGGCATCTTTCCTCGGGGATGACTTGTCCTCATTCCCCATAGTATACGAGGTACGAGGTACTAAGGGGATTCGAGGGGTTAGATTGAAAGATGTGTGATGGAATTGATTGGGTTGTGAAGGGGAAAGAGACGAAAAAAGAGGGGGGTTTGTTCCTGGAAGGAAGATGACAAGTGTCTAGAATAAGCGCTATGGTATCGCTCTATAACTTTCGCAACGCATGAGAAATGGTCGAGGTAAGTAACTTCCTGAGGGGATAGAGAGTGAGGGGGGATGGGGGGAGGAGTGTATAGGAGAAACAAGGAGTCCTCGAGCGAATGAGTAATAAAGTAGGTATGATAAATGAGGACAACTTGAATGTCCAGACAATCCCTTCCCGACCTCCTCACGTCACATCCATCCATCTTTGTTGCATGATACCATGTTGCCGCAGAGGCGCCGGTGGGAGGAAAGGTCTTAATTACGCTTTTCGGAACGTTTTTGGACTTAAATACGCCTTTTCCGAGATCTGGGTCTTAACTACGTCTTTTGGCTGGGGGAAGGGTCCTTTTTACTGCCCCCCAGTTAGGGTGGACTATGGGCACCAAGTTAGGGGGGGTATTGACCATGCATAACGACGTTAGGGGGTTAGGGGAAGTTAGGGGGTTAGGGGGTTAGGTGGTTAGGGGTGGAGGAGAGTATTTTTAATGCATGCAAAGCATGCATTGGGGGTCCAGGAAGGGAGGTGTAATTAAGATAACGACTTAGGGCACCACCCTAAGTGACCCCGGGCACCACCTTCGGTCAGGAACCTAATGAATCGAACTAATGAGTAGAAC